TCGATGGCAGCTTGAGTGTAGCCGTCGTCACCGCCTCGACTCTTGTCAACTGTGTCTGTGCGAGCTCTTCATCGCAGGAACAAAGAAAGGCGCACGTCGTGTAGCGTATCTGCATGTCCACATACGGCTGAAACATGCGGCTGCACCCCGACTCTCGTTGATGCAACGCTTTATTCTTGTTGTTTCTCACTTGTGCCAAGGCCTCGCACGCAGACTCTGCACGGAGACTGGACGACCCCACCGGCGTGCGCCCGGTACCATCGCGAGATACGATACATCGATGAAACATGGACCCCGATCGCTGATGAGAGCACCTTTTTGCCCTTTTCTCCGGGGGTAGCGACATGACAACAGACTGCCGTTTCTGCGCCTCGTATGCGAGTGGGAACCAACACTGCTGGCCGTCGAATTTCTCCGTCCCTCAGTCTCCTATTATGACATACATGCGTGTAGCCGAACGCTTGGCTTCGGGGGTGGCTGCAAGCGACCAGCCAAGAAATGTCAAGTTATTGCAAATAGACCGACATTCCTCTCGCTGGCGCCTCACCACCTCCACGACAAGAAAGCGTTGCGCAAAGACCCGCACAGAGCAAGTCTCGAGGGGCGTGGGTATACTCCAGTACCATGTCTGCCACAACATTTCTTCCCGCAACGACTTCCCCTTCCTGGCCTAAAGGGACGCTTGTCAGACACACCCGCTTGCCTCACTGGCACTCAACCACATGGCATTCAGCAGTGTGATACCATACTTGGGTGCAGGTCCCCTGTCCATGTCGCTTGCTCTACCACACCTGTCCGGCATCTGTCTTCTTGCGCCTCTCCAAGACAAGCTCATTTAACCAAGAATTCAATGGGCATGGTTGACAACAAATTGCGCAGCGTCTCATCAGGAGAGAGCTGAGCCACGGCATCTCCCCGAGCCTGTCTGTGGATTCCCATCGGTGACCGCTCTCGGCCTTTAGGGCCTTTGGGGCCTTTTGGCTCGCGTTCCGTCGTATCAGACCTAAGCGTGCTGCAACTCATTCAGTCTGTTCTCGACGATCGACGCCGTGGCCCCATGAGCAGCAAGGCGTGGCAGAGTAGGGTCATTTTTGGGCTCAATCCTCTCTTATCCAGCCTCTGGCTAGTATGTAGTTTGACTAAGAAGCGTCAGCTCAGAGCCTGCCGATTGGACGATCCAAGACGAGCACAGTTTCAAGTCGTGGCCCCAGCTCAAGTCTACCTCGTTGTGTCGAATAAACCAACGACCCACGGATTGAGTGTTTGGGCCCATATCTGCAAGTAACCCAATCAACTACACAAGACTGCTAAGCCATTCCTGTATCCCGCCCCCGCCCCAGCGGTAACTAAGCTAGTGTGGACAAGGATGTGTGAACCAAAGTCTTTGGTTTACGATTTGGTTGCAGGAATGGGTGGCTCAGCGGAACTGTCGTGCCAATACAGTACTGCTTCCGATTTATCAAGGCACTTGTCGCTTGCTCGCTTGCTCGCTAAATGACTGGGTTGTTTTACGAGATCACACGAGAGGGAAAGGGGGAAAAAAATAATAATTCAGCTGCTAACTGATTCGAGCCAGCTGAATGGGAAATGTTTCGTCGCCTGAATTGTCAGCTCCAAATTTCGCCCTTGTACGTCTGTGAGCAACCTCTACAGTATCACGCCTAATTGACAATCGTCGTTATATCCGGCATCATGGAGCCTCGACCTCGCCGCTACTGGTTGCCGCTCTCGCCTTCGGCCAAACGGCGCAGATATAAACAGAACAACAGTGCAACTCTGGCATGATCAACACCTGCACAGTTTCTCAAAGTGCCATATGTACGTACAGCGTTGGACAATCCAATGACGAGGTCGTGGGTGTCGGCCCACACTCCTGCTCCCGGCTTGGGCAATGCGTTGTCCTCTTGTCTTACCCTTTCCTCCTTTCAGGTATCGTCAATGCTAGCAAACAATCCGGCTCCCCGGCCTTTTCACATCGGTCAACTCCCATCCTCCGGACTTTTCTCATTAAACGTTGCTTTACTCAGCCTTACCTACCCACCCCTAGTAGATCAACGACGTGCCTACTAGGTTAGTATCCTGTCGCATATTGCGTCTCATCATATGCCAACGCCCCACGCCTCGCCATCGTTCGGAATATATTTTGCTATTGTAAAAATAGAACTGAGCTACTTTTACTCTCCGCTATCCCGTTTGAGAAAGGAGAAGAAATCTCATCAGATAAAGACAGCTCCACGCCGCTGTATGATCCTGGTTTCTGTATGCATAGGTCTATTTGACCGGAATCCAGAACAGGTACAGCACAGTTTTACAGGGGCCCCAGAAACAATTCCTCTGAGGTTTCTAGTTTCGAAAAAGTAAGAAGATTTCGAACCTTTTCTACAAACTGGTGGTTTCTACTTTACGAACTCGATAAGACGCCGACGAGTTTTACATAGCCTATTCGTTACTCAGCAATCTGGTCATTTTGACACCAATATCCATATTCTTTGTCTCGTCTGGTTCTACAACATCCGCCATCAGAAGATAAGCGCGCGTTTCCAGGACCATTCGAGGCTTTGAAAGGCATTTTCATTCAACATATCACCAGCCACATACTCACTACCTGAAACGCCGAAGCAGTCAACTTACCTGGCTAGAGGACGCATGACGCGCTACTTCTTGTGCATCAGATCCAATTGCGCCTGAGAAAATAACCCTGTTCCAGAAACTTCCTATAAAAGCTCCAACCGTCGCCATCCTACCGCATCACGAGCTGTCGTCGTCACTGCCTATGTGAGGGTCTCGTCTGCTCGCCCCGCACTTCTCTTACGTTGTGCTTCCTATCTGCCATCTTGCCGTAAGCAGAAGCACTGATGGTTTTCTGCCTTGAAGAATCGAGAAAATGGATGTAACTTCGCTGCTCAACAACGCTCAGCAGCCTTGCTACGGCAGAGGAGGTATTGCGGATTCATCAAAGAATCTCAACCACGGCAAACTCCTCTCCTCGCCCAACGCCTTGGGGATAGCTTGGGAAGAAGACTCTAACCAGAGTTCTGGTAGAGATAACAGGCAAAATGCCAACTTTTGGGACGCTAGAGTAGTAGGAGCAGCCAATGAATCGGATTCTCAGTCAAGAACTGGGCCTCCGATTTCACCAAAGCATGTCCACGGGGTGGCCTTCGAAGCGGGCAGCCGGCCAACGCGGCCTTCAGCGGGTTTTACATTTGGCATTACGTCCCAATTACCGATACAACTAGCTAGGAATAGTCTATGTTGGTGAGTAGAGCTGAACTTCTTCGTCCCTTGCTACCAAACAATGTCATCATCCAGCCAGCTTGCTCTATATGTTGACATAAATTGAATGCCTTTACGGCTGGCATCGTGATGGCAAATTTCCTTTCAATATCTACTTACCACACTTTTTTTTATAATAAGCTTACAATCTTTATCCTAGTGACGATGCTCAGACTTGCTCGACTCAGTAAGCCTGCAACCGACCCTTGATTGACTTGGAGGTTTAAAAAGAGTAAATCTAATGTGGATTATAGAATTACGCCTCAAGGAAGCCGTGTCGGCTTTTTAGGAGACGCATCAACAATTCCAAAACATAAATTATCATTCAGCAACAGCAGTTTCGTGTCATCGGAGTCGCCACTGTCAGAGGGTCATTCAAGGCTATCGTCCGTGGCATCTGTCAGCGGCATATCTTCTTCCAGTATACCCATCGTAGAAACGCCGTTGATCTATGCTAAGCGGTTTAAAGCTCAAAGTCCTCAATTTGATCTTGATATCACAACACAGCCTCTATTACCTTCACCAACAGAAGAAGGTTCAGCGGCAAAACCAAATCAACCGAGCATAACGAAACATGTTTCAACTAATCGATCGGATGCCGTTCTTAACTTGAACAAACTCGAGCGACCAGTTGTTTTTGGTGGTGGCTTAAAGTACGTTTTTCTTTCTTTTTCTTTTTTTTTTTTCCTTTTATTTTCATGGGAGCCTTGTGTAAAGGTGACTCTGCTTGGGCGTATCAAACGGACTACTCAAAACAATGCAAAAACTTTGATTTAGAGCTGAATCAAGTGCGTTTGCCTGAACCTCTTTTGACTTTTGTGTTTTCTTTCACTTTCTGAGGCGCAGTCACTCTATTCAGAGCTGAATTATACATGCCATCTCCTCGAGCAAGCGCTCGAGAACCGTCTCATTGTTGAGAAGAAGACGGTGTGCACCAGTTGGCTGCCTGTGAATCACCGATAATAGCCCCCCGTCCGCTGGCAGCGTCTGGCAGAAATTCCTGATAGCCAAAGAGCACAGCTGAAACTTGCTTTGACGGCTCGCGTGACCAAAGGGCCGACAGCTGGCGCTGCATCACTGCGAAATAATTTTCCTCCTGCTGGCTGCCCATATTTCCTACTTATAATGTCCTCATCCCAAAGTTTGGGCTTCCTTTCCTGCACCATCCAACTCTCAACATTTCACTGTCAACACAGCCTCCTATTCCTCCTGGAGACCAACCACACGTCTTGTCATCTTCCTGAACACATAATCTCCCCGCGTTCGTCTCTTTATAATCCATTTAGAGATTCTGAGGCTAATTGATCTAATGCAGTTTTGAATCAACAAGCCGACTTAAATATCACAAAAGAGCTACATCTGCCCCCATACTTGCTTCTCGCACTACAACATCAGCACCATACCCGCTGAACGATCGGTATCTCGCGTCTTCATCTGCCCAGTTAGTCATGGGCAAGTCTCCAGCAAAAGGTTTGCCGAGTCAGGCAGAAGAACTCGAGACGAATATAACTGTCACCTACCAAGACTTCGACCCAGAGCGCCGATTGCACCCTGCACTCAGGAATGTGCATGCAAACGCCGTGGTTGATCGGCTACCTGCTCGTGGGGCCGTCTTACAGTCACAAGAACAAGTCCTCAACCAGGCATCGGATATCACTCCTCTGGCACAGCTGGCCTGCGACATAGCCAGAGAGGCATCACTCGAGGCTTTGAATCCTGCGTCGATGGCCCCGCTAGAAGCAGAGCCTCGATGTATGTTTGTTGATGACTGTCAAACCGGCTCGCAGCTACGTAAAGCCATTTCACACCTCTTCGGACGCAACAAGGCGTGTACCCTTCGCATCCCAAAGCAGGTTTGGGTATACTATTGCCGCAAACACTACCAACGGATTAGGTATCGAAATGCCAAGACGTACCCACTCAACCAGATGTATCTCGTCAAGATGCAGATCAACCGACTTCAAAGATGGAGTGATGAGAATCAACGCCAGGGAGCCGGGCCCTATATCAAACTCTGGACGTTGGCGTTGCGCAAGAGAGAGCAAAGCCGTCTTGACAAAGAGGCAGACGCAGCAGAAGAAGGCGACGATGAATCTCAAGAGACACCAAACAGCTCAGCTGCACCTGATTGGATCATTCAGCGTCTGGGGACTGGATACACGACTGAGCAAATGCTTGAAGTTGCGGATCGCCTGTACCTAGAAATTGAGAATGGAACTCTTGGCCAGGTTCCCGAGGTCGAATTTCTACCCGACATTACAGAGCCAGAGGCCGGAAACATATCGAAGCTGGTCAGAAACCGCAAGCAAAGCCGCACAGCTGCCGTTGCGGCAGAACCCAAAGTCTCCAAGCGACGGATTTCTGAAGATGCAGGTTCCATCGGCCAAAAGGACTCATCACCCCCTATTCAACCTGATGTGGTTGGATTTGAGAATCTTTCGCGGAAGCGGATTCGCCTCAGCCCTCCTGGAGCAGACTACCACCAGCATCCTCTGCAGATGCCCCTTCCATCCATCACTATGACGCCCTACGCAAACAACCGTGTACTTGCACCTTCGTCCGGCATTCAGTCGGCGGTACCACGTACTTTGCCTGCGGTCCCAAAGATGCAGATACCATCTCCTGACCATTCCCAGAGACCTATTGCGCACATGTATGGGCTCTCTTCTAGCGAGTTTCGGCGCCCCAGTGGTCTCGGTGACTTTTACAGCCACAATCATCAGCAAAATGCAGCTCACTACCGTGTGAGCGCCGAATCTCTTGTTCAGCGAAATAGGGATTATCATAACCAGCAGAGACTGCCATCCATTGCTCACCTGGCAGGAGTCAGCGACATTCAGGACTCAAAAATGGCGATTCCTCCATATAGAGGTTCTTGGGCATCGATATATGATGACCCAAACATGCCACGGGCCCCTCGCTTGCGATCTTATAGCGATAATATCCCAACGAGCCAACCCGTGTTGGAATATCCTCGACCAAGTTCGAGCGGCACTTCGCAGTTCGGCTTGACCTACTTTGACAGCAGAGTCTCAACCTCTTCGTCCCATGAACCGAACACCCGCAGCTACTCTCGAGAGCAGTGGCCTGAGTCGAGTCAGGGCTACGCTCCAGGTTGGCCCCAGCGATCAGGCATTCAGCAACAACACAATTACTATGATCAAGTAACTCGCCCTCAACTGGACAGCCTAAGAGCTCCAGCCTACCTTGGAACGAACAAACAGCGTGTTACAGCTGAGAGAGTTGAGCAAGAAGCTCATCATTACGGAGATTCATGGGTTCATGCTGACCCAGCCGTTGCGAAGGCCGCTGGAGGAACACGCGAGGATTAGTCGTCTAAACTTCTATTCTTTACATCATCCTATACTTTCCGATCAAAGAATGAGAAGATTCGAGCTGCCTTGGCCTGTTATCACTGCAGCGTACATTCCTTTGATGCTCTTGGGGTTACATGCGTGCGCTCCATTGTTCTGATCTTTTTCTTTTCTTTCATTTATCTTCATGAAGTTTTTTGGTTTGTTTCTTCCTCTTCTTTTCATTTGAGGTCTTTGTGCTTTATACGGGGGTAATGCCTTCCGCTTACTATGACGAGGCACGGCCGAAGAATTTGTTAGACAAGCATGGAGTCTAGAGGTTTTCTGTTGCTTTTCTTTTTCTTTCTTCTGTCTTCTTCTTCTTCGCTTCTTTCCAGACTCTTTTTTTTCTTCTTCTTTTTTTTTATCGTGCTTAGATTCGAATGAATTGGGCACCCGTGACGGATAGATATGGGCGAGCGAAATTAGCTTTACGAGACACGGCTGCAGAATGGTTGCGTTTGAGCTTTGTCGGGCATGAAATGGTTTGACAAAGCAACAAAGGGATTTAATGGCTGCTTTAAGGGACCGGAAATCTGGGCATTCATGGATGTGCCAAAGGGAAGTTGATCACAAAAGGGGTTTGGGCCACAAAAAAGGAGACATAAGGAAAACGCCATAGGCTTTGTACTTCTATCTGACTCCAAACAATGAAGGCCACCAGCACTTCTATATGTACGTAATAGATAACAAAAACAAAAACGAGCGCTTCTCACTCGGTGCTTTACTCCCGAAACATGACAATGCCGCCGTCCCACTCGCTCAACTCGCCGACATTCGCCCTGCCCACTTCGCGGAAGCCAAACCTCGAGTAGAACACATCGGTGCCCCTGAGCCCAATCAGCCAGACCTTTCCCCTTGCCTTGCCCTCCGCCTTGAGCACCCCATGCTTCTCCTGCCACTCATCCGCCATCCTCAGGCCTTGGCCCATGAGCAGAGCGCCCAAGCCATTGCCCTGGACAGAAGGATGCACGGCCAGGGTGCTGAGATACCACCACTCGTCGCGGTTCTTGCCGGCGAAGAGCGACTTCTCGATGGGTGGGAAGCCGCGGTCAAAGGCTCTGGCGGCGTAGAAGTCGATGTTGGGGGGCGTGATTTTGTTTTGGAGGGTGAGAAAGGCCCGCATTATGGGGGCGACCCAAGCAACTGTGTCCTTTGGTCAGTTGTTTGATATAATCGACATGATATGAGTCATCTTCTAATTGTCTATAGATGGTAGGAAAGAAGAGGAAAAAGAAGAGAGAAAAAAAGGACTCACATAAACTCAACCACCGCTCGCTAAAGCTGATCTCCGCCATGGGTCTCTTCCAGCACGCAAAGCCAACGACCTCGCTCCCAACGGCATCACCTCCCTCCTTGATCACATACGTAAACATCCATTCCACGGACCAGTAGCGCTTCGCGTACAGTCGATACAGGTACTTCTTGTACGCCTCCGGGTCGTCCTTCTTGCCCGGGAACAAGAGCTCCACCAACCTGTCCGGTCCGAGACAGATGTCGTAGAGACGCACGGCGTGCGCGAGATCGGCGGCGGTTCCCGGACGGAGGCGGAACGCGGCGGTCATTGTGTGCGTGAAGTGGGTATTTGAGTTGAGTTGAGTATATGTGTCTTTATTTAGGCCGTGATTCGTGATGGTTTAGGGATTGGTGTGTATAAGCTGACGCCAAGGCCTTGCTAAGGAGGTATTATACGAGTAGTATTATATTGAATAGATGGTAAGACAGCATCTACAGCAAATACACTGCGCCAATTCAGAATCAGAAGCGACTACGTTATAAATCAGCGAGTCCGTCGTTCCCCCCTCTCTAGCTCAGTTGCCGAATGAGTCAAAGTCGGCGGCTCTGACTGGTTGGATAAATCCCCCCGTGTCATCTTATGGGAACACTGGAGAAAAAAAAAATCGCCATCTCCACTTTACTATCTCCGGTTGCGTGGTGCTGAGTAAGTACCCAAGATATGGGATTCGAGGAGTGGGATGGCATTTTGAGATGGTGGAGATTTTGGGAATGGGGTTTTGCGAAATGGGTTCATTTTTGGCTCTAGTTTGCATCTGCGTGGATCAGTTTGTTGAATCTCGTTGGACTTTTTGATGGGGCTGTTCTTTGACGGGATCTGGCGCCTAACAGCCCTACGCCATAAAAGCGCCAAGGCAATTTGGTTAACACAGGTTATGAGAACTTCACGTCGTTATATGTTAGACCAAATGTACTTATCGTAGCATGTTTAAAAGCTGTAACTGCCTGGCGTTGAATGTCATGATGGGTCCAAGGAATAAGTTGAGGTTTTTAATATTATCAAATTGTCATAAACGGCCAAACTGGTTGCTGCAGAACATTTCTAAATCCACATTGGTGGCTGGAGTATATCAGGATTTCACGTTGTAAAATGTCAAGGAAGATGCAGCCATTGTAGGAGACAGTCCATCAGAGTCATCTCAAGTTGCAGGCGAAACAACGCCAATGCTAGCATCAAACTCTGCGCTCTAACTCTACACACCGCCCCAAGATGCACCAGTAATGCCGGCAGAACTCACAGAAGCAAAGAGCATGCAGTATAAATCTGTCCATCTCTTCCTCTGTCTCTTTTCCACCTTCCTTCTTCCTCTCTCCTCTTTTTATCCTGCATCCTTCACCATCTCTTATGTTACATTGATGCACAACACTCTCCTCTCTCATCCATCCACTTGCAACCATCAACACCTCTCACAATGGCTCCTCGTCGCACCGCACAAGCTCCAGTGCCCGCACCCACTAGCAACAGACCACTGCGGGTAAACAAGAAGAAAAGAAAAAAGTCCAAGGCTCGCAAGGCATTCGAAAGGGCCGACAGAGAGGAGCGACGAAGGCAGATACAAGCTGACTATGCCCGCCTCCCAAACGGTGAAGAACTTGAGCAACCCGAGGCAGCAGATTTCATGGGCAGATCGAGACTTCCAAACCTCAAATACTATCGGGCCATCCAAAAGGAGCGAAATGAGCTGAGAGCGGCCGATGAACAAGCGTTGCCTGAATCGCTGAAGGCTCGTAGGCCTGGGGTCCCCGACCCTTATGACGATGCAAAAATACGTCGGCGTTATTGGATGAGTGAAGACGACGAGGGCGACGAGGAAGACGAGGAGAAGGAGGGTGAAAAGCCTTACGAACCATTCAGGCCACGAAGGAAGCGCATGCATAAGAATACCACTGTACCACCTAGAAGACCACCTTTGTCTCAAGAAATCATCCTCCCCGAGGATGAGCCAGAAGATGAGCTTCCTCTGCTTCCAGACCTCAGAGCAACACCCACCTTTATGGGCCTTCCGAGAGAGGTTAGAATGGAGATTTATCGCTATCTACTCACCGTCAAAAGACCAATTGCCGTTCACGGTGGCTGGCAGCAAGTTTACTGGACCAAGGACCTGCAGCTCTCAACCAAAATCCTCAGAGTATGCAAAAGGGTGCACGAAGAGGCAAGCACGATGCTCTACGGATCAAATACCTTTTTGTACCGCCTCCGTGATGCCACTACCAACGTGTGGAATATTGAGAATCTAGAGATGGAGGATTCGCTGTTTCTCGTGGATGAAGAAGAGAGCTCTTCGGAATATGAGGAAGATCTTGAACGAGATGATGAAGACGAAGAAGACGAAGAAGACGACCCGAAGGAGAGCACCATAAATATTGACAAGTACGGCCATCTATTTCGGAATATTACGATCGAAGCCGAGGCAAACAGGTACTCAACGTCGACTCAAGACAGCATGGTTGCTGCTCTGAATGTGTTCCGCAAGCCGGACGACGGCGCCCCAGACGAGGACGCACCCTATGTGAAACCTCGTAACATCCATACGCTGACTGTTCGAATCATGCCGACCTGGGACCGGCAAAACGATCAACTTGAACAGGGACGCTTCACGTTTGTGGACTTCTTCATCGCCGGCGGCCCTGTGATTAACGCTATCAAAGCCGTTGACTGCCAGATGCTCTACGTCGAGCTCCAGACTCGACACTCGAGCAGGCGGTCTGCTCACGTCACCGTGAGCGGCACGGGCTCATGCCGCCTCGCAATCAACAGGCGCCACGAACAGGCCTTGGCCTATTTCAGAAAGAACCCGTCGGCCGGTATGGGCGACAAGGCGTTGCGGATGCGCACGGTGGAGATGGCGAGGAGGAGCATGGAGGCGATTGATACCCTGGCTACGCACATCCAGGAGCAGTGCAACCAGAGAGATTTTGGCCAGGAGACTGCCATGAATACGGATATCAATTCCCTTGACTGGCTTGATCTTGATGAGGAGGATGAGGACATTGATGAAGAGGATGAGGATTTCGATGAAGAAGATGATGATATTTGAAGTGGATTTTTTTTTTTTCTTTTTCCTAACGAGTATTGGAGTGAGGTTTCGGAAATATTTCGACAGAATTCATGAGGTGCTGGGATTCACACGTTTGCTTGATTCACACGCTATTTCTGATTTCGTTTTCTTTTCGCAAGTTTGCTTCTTTTTTTTCACAATATCGAGCTTATATGCCAAGATGAAGAATACCTGACATTTGCAAACGATGAGCGGGAAAAGCAGGAGAAGTTGCTTAGGAGAAGTTGCTTGGTAGTTTTCTACACCCTATACCAAATACATTGCTTAATTCCATTGCTCAGTCTAACCAACAACTAGAGACAGTGCCTACATATCGAATTTCCCAATGAGTCCAAGCCAGCTCTTCTGACTGGTTGGATAAATATCATGTTTATAATATGGGGGGCCAAGAAAGGGACAAGAAAACGCAAATCCCCATCCATCTCCACTTTGCTATTTCTAGTTGCATACAGACAGGTAGGCAGGTCTTGGCTAGTCGAAATACAAAGCACACACATATACACACATACACACACACTCGCTCATCAGAAAAAACGCAAGATATGGTCATGAATGCCTTGTAAATACGCCCATCTTCTTTTCAGAGCCCTACAAACATTCTCGGGGAATCCCAAAAAGAAAATGAAAAAAATCCCTCCATCCGCTCTTCCCGCCCTTAGTCTCTCTGTCATGAATCATATACATACAATATGCCCCATCCAAAGCGCCACCATGCCAATTTACTAGATTGCCGTCGAACTGTGATAACCTCTCCGGCTCCAAGCTGTCAAACGATATAGGAAAAGAAAAACTTTCAGCCGCTGTTTCCGTAGAGAGGACTAGGAAAGGTGGAAAAGAAAAAGAAAGAGACACAAATGCTTCCAACTCCGCAGACCGTGAGTCTGATGCATGCAATTTTGAGCGACAACTAATGAAAATAAACAAAAAAAGAAGAAACAAGAGAGGCGATGCTCTCCTCGCTTGGGCTATTCACAACTCGTCAGACTCAGGGAGCATTGCCCAGGACCAGAATGAGTAGCATGCCATTGAGCAAACAGGTGGCGACAAAGGTGGCCCAGACCATCAGCCGGTAAGACAAGGCAAGCTGGTCCTCTCTGTACAGCGTCATACCGAGGCCGGAGCATGCGCAGAACAAGCTGACCACTACTCCAACGGTGGCACCGGCGTCGACTTCGACTCGCAGCTTGTGCTTGCCAGTCGAGATGAGGATGCCGGCGATGCCGAGGAAGATAAAGGCGGCCCCAAAGCAGCCAATGGTTCCCCAGAATAAAACTCGCTCGCGGTAACGACGCAACTGCTGGGTGCTGATGCTGGGCAGGGCATAGTGCGTGGCATACCCTTGTGTGGGGAAGCCGTCGGAGCTGGCATATGCCTCCTCCTCCTCCGAGTCGGTGTGCACCGCCGACATGGAGCCGTACCCCTGGTTGATCGAGTCTCCGGATGAAATGGACGAAAAGAGGGGCTGCCGCTCAGTCGATCGTGGCTTGCCTAGCCACTCCTTGGCCTTCTCAAAGGGAAATGACACAATGGCCTGCGCGTAGCTCAAGCCGGGGAAGCCCGAGTCCTGGTCGGGGTTGACGTAGATTGCGTATTCGTCCTCTGGGCCACCAGCGTCGCTACCATCGTCGTACTCGTTCCAATACTTGGGCTGCGGTTCTGGGTCAAGGTATGACGGCGGTAGAGGATCAAAGGTGACGCGATGCGAACTTGACGGCTGGCTCGGAGGGGCGACGGGTGTGTCGACTGATGAGGGAGAGCTCGGCTCACTGAAGGCCGGAGTGGCATGGCGAAGACTCTCTTGGATTTCGTCGTGCCGTTCCAACAGGTCGGCAAAGCTGCGTCGGGTAAAGCTCTTTGGGTTGCTCAGCACCTCCTCGTTGAACCTGGAGCTTAATGATGGTGAACCAGTCCATTTCTGTTGCAAGTCAGCCGCCATCCACATATTTTATGCCATCAGGTTCTGTAGTGATAAATCAACACGACATACTCTGTATTTCTTGAGAATCTTGCGAAACGCAATTATCTGAGCATTGGCAAAGCGCGTTAGAGCTTGTATATCCTCCCTGCACCGCAACAGCTCGCGCTCATATTTTATGAACTTGCGCTGGTTTCTAAGCGAGGCACTGGGCGAATCGGAGTCGTGATGTGACTTGGCGGCAAACCGCTTGATGCTGGCGGCAATGTGATCTGGTCCGTGTTAGCAATGAGTGTGCGAATTGGTCATGGCAACAAAGCGTACCCAGTCGTCTCGACACCTCATCGGCCTTGCTGATGACGAACAAGTCCAGACGGTCGTGCTGGTGGCAGAGCTCGGTGTACAAGGCATCTTCGAATCGGCGCAGGTGTGTATCTTGGTGGCCGGGAATGGCGAGGGCCGTGGCCTGGTCGCGGGTTGTGTGGACTTTGATCTCGTGCTTGAGGGAGTTGTAGTCGAGGTTGTCTGCGATTGCGATTTCAATTAGATAATCCATCTTCAATGAGTCAAGGCGATGTGGGACAATTGGGACGGGAGACGCGGGAACATACGCAAGCTCCATTCAGGAACAGACTCCCGCTCCAACTGAATGCCGTATTTCATGATTTTGCTTGAAGTTGCTATCCGCAGGCGTTTCCTCGAGGTCAATTGAGTAGCTGGTGTCGATATGTGGGCATCAAAGGTCGTTGGTGGCGGCCCCGTCGAGTGAAGCAGAGATGATGCTGGTGGAGCAATTGGCCTCGTCCAAGGCTGGTACGGAAGAAAGCGGGGAGAGGAGAAGGAATAAATGAGAGAGAGAAATAGAGAGAGAGAGAGACAGAGAGATAGCGAGATAGCTCCCAGTCGGTCCCTCGGGACGGCTACAATAGAGTTGCAACAGATGGGCTGGGGTGATGCGAAAGTGCGAGCGTTGCCCAGTGCGGTCTACTGTACTGCAGGAAGAAACAAAGGCAAGGCGAAAGTCGTGGAGCTAACGGGATGACAGCCGTGGCGTCTGCGCAAAGGGAGGGGAAGCACAAAAGAGCCTGAAGCTCAATCCAGAAATGCAAAAGTCAAAGCAGCGAGCGATAACGGCGAGCTTTAGAGGAATGAAACAAGCAGGGAAGCCGGGGGATGGCTTGGAGAAGACTGGGCTAGAGATAAGATAGTAGCTGGGAGCAGCTCGACTGTTGTTTTGCGTTTGCGCTAAGGCACGGCGAACGAACCGGAGCCGGAGCCGGGGTAAGACAGAATGAGGTACAGGGAGACGGCAGAACGAATTGAATTGGAAGATTAGCCGTTGCGATATACTCGTACTTCGTATGGAGCTTCGTACGGAGCTCGCATGTGCTTTCGTTGCGTAATCTGGGACACGATGCCGATGACGCACAGGACGCTGCCGGAAAAAAGCTTCACGAACCGCAAATCCCGGCGACAGAAGCAGGGCGAGCGGCGAACTGCTGTCAATGATGGCAGCTGCAGCAAGGACAGAGGCGATCGGCATCCAGAGCAGCCAACGGGCTCGGCGAGTCTGGGCACGGGTGATGGCGGAGTTATATCATTGCTGGGAAGAAATGGAGCATGGAGAATGGAGAATGGAGACTGGAGACTGGAGAATGGGCAAAGGAGGCGACAAAGATAAGGTGTCCACTATGGAGAAGGCAGTCGTCGGCGCTAACAGGGCATCGCACAGCAAGCTGCAGGTTGCGGCAGGGCAAGGCATGGCTTCCAGTTGGGACGCTGCTGGGGTGGGCACCGCTATGGGGGCGCTACGGGGCACCGCCATGCAGTGACTGCACGGGCAGGCTGAGGGGGCCTCCAGCGAGCACGATTTAGCGCTCGTACGCTAGGCAGTATCGCTTCTCGGCCGGCATCGAGGGCAATTGCCACGGCGAACCGTTAATTGGAATTAAATACGACGAGCACGTTGTTTGGTTGTCCACGCGAATTGGCCGCAGGGGAGGCGAACCGCAAAGGGCCCAAGAGTGGCCGCTCGGTGAGACAGGGCAGCCAGTAAGATCGAATGAGTCTGCCATCGTCAACGTTTGTCCACACACATGCCAGTCAGTCCAGTCAGTCAGTCCAGTCAGTCAGTCCACGCACAGAAAAAATAACCTTGGAAAACAAAAATAAAAATAAAAATAGAATAATTTGAGACACCCACTCACACCACAAAACCCTTCAATTGTTTTTCCCCAGGCTCCTCTCTCCTCTCGTCCGCCGCTCTCGTCCTCAGTGGCCGCATCCGGCTTCTCGCACATTGTTGCACAATCGCTCCGCCAAGCCAAGCATCCATCAGCCGTTCCAGACCCCCATGGAGACACTCAAACAGCGGCCCCTCTCTGCTACCCGAGTGAGCAAGCAGAAAAAATTCATTGGATCCAATCCAATATCCATTGCTCCATCAAATCGCTGCCGATATCGACGAAGGCAAATGCCAAGATCCGAGTCAGTCCCAAATCGAAATGGTCAAGATGACCAGGGACCGGCAGCGTATCAATTAAAGGTTTCGTATTCCTTCGTTTTGTCTGCAGGACACGGAAAACTCTGTCACCACGGCCTGTTCCTCGAAACTGGGATAGTTTATTTATTGACATCCCAGCTGCGCTCGAGTCGGTTATATTCCTCCTCCTACTCTACTCTATACCTACTACGCCTGCCGGCTATTATTTCAAAACAGCCCGACCGCGGAGCTTGAAAGCTCAAGCTGCCAATTGCAGCGCCGAACCACACCAGCATGCACGACTAAGGCACGTACTTGGTCGCATCGTGCTTGTGCTTGCAACGTACAGAACTAGTGTCGAGCGAAAGCCTCCATCTTAAATTGATTTCATGCCCGCCTGTCCTTGCAGCATCCCCATTGGCCCAGATGGTGCCTTTTTGGCCAAACCCTGGCCTCCCGCTGCCCTACGGAATTCGGCTAAAGGCAGAGAGTCAATGCTCCGTAGCCGAATTTTGGACCTGTGAGATGCTGGTGCGTGCTGTGATCGTGCTGCTAGCAGTAGCAGCCGTCGTTGTGGAATCTGCTATCTCTATCCCATCTTAGCATGCTGAGTATCGAGTAACTAAAGGGACCAGCAAGTCTTGATATCTGATCCATCGGTATGGCTCTGATTGGGCGTGTATAGACACTGCATATGCCCATTCCGGTACTAGAGATGCCGCAGGTGGCTACCTCTGAATCCGCTCTGCAATTCTAGACTTGCATCCATCAATACGATACTATACGATGCCATCGCAGTGTTTCTCTGACTCAACAGCCTCGCAACCACTGTCAAAAGCAGTCAAGGGTCCGATGCCTGACATGTGCCACGAGTAGGAAACAAGGAAATAAGAAGAAAAAAATATAACAGACAAGGTCCAGAAGATCCACAATCTGCAGGTCCTCCGTTCCCGCCCCAAGCTTCACTCAATCCGTTCACCGAGATGTCCAAATCGATCAACCAACAGCTCAACGTCAAAACTCTTTTTCACCCATAATTCTCCGCTTGGCCCCCTTCTTCATTTTTTTTGCGTGTTGCACTAGAACCGATCGGCCCGTCTGGGTCTGGATATCACCCTCCTTTGCCACTGGTGTCGCGTGAGTGTTTGCCCAAGTTGGATTTTTTTTTTTTTTTTTTTCAGCTTTCATCTCTGCCATCTCAAGGGTGGGCGAATGAAACAGGCGCCTTCGTCAGTGGGGGGCCTCAGGGATTTCGGGCTAAATCTTTGCGTGCGTGCATACTAGGTATGTATTGAATTGTGACTGACCATGTCGTTTATTACGAGTTATGCAGTATGTATGGCACGCTGTGTTGGGTGATTGCCAACCCGTCTACGTGAGGACATCGTCGCCTTTGATTGCATGATATCCTAGCTTCATGATCTCATCATCCCGCGATATGCCGCCCAATATCACATGCAGATAAACCGCCTCAAACCGAAACCCCAAAACACCAAACTACACACTCGCCCAAATTCACCACCAGCACCAGAAACAGCTACTGTACAGCAACAACAACCTCGCTAGCACGGCCCCCGTGCCACGAGCGCTGCCTGTATACTCTGCGGCAGGCCAGATTGCGGGCCCTTGCAATCTAGATTGGCTGGTGGATCGTTTAGCTCTCCATTCCGAGCCGTGCGACTCCATTTTTCGACCTGGGCTCGTTTTATTTCCTCAGCCGAAGCCCGCCTGTTGTTACAGTATAAGGTGGGTTTCTTGCGCGTCTCTGGATGCGACCCTTTGCCGTCTTCCGAAAGGAAAAGCGACAGGAGGCGCTTAGCAGCTCTTATCCGAGGTCATCTCTTCGGATGTGTCAACCTGGCTCTTCTTTTTCTCTTTGTCATGGGTAATGCTGTGACAGGTCAATATGGTTCCGTGTCATTGAGTCCCCATAACGGGAGGTAAGGATAATACCTGCAGTATCCGATAGCCCCTGCTCCTGCTGCTTGATGCGATGCTTCCATGCGGTATGTATGCTTACAGGATAAATTTGCCATCTCCCTGCAATCATAAGCTTCCATGGCCTTCTCAGCACTTCTACTTCCATGGAACTGGTGCAGCATCCGTGTCTGCAGCCTTTACCGCCCTCCTTCCACATCTCACCAAACCTGCAGATTCCCACCTACACACCTTTGATATCAACACCACATCCGTCGCCGATAAGAAGCTGCCCTTGATGGAACGAATGTAAGTACTCCGTATTGCTATCTCGCCCGCAAACTGTCCCAAACCCTCCGGTTTCATGGCACTTGCTAGCAGAGTGGGGGGAAGCACCATCTTCATGCACCACGACAACACCTGCATATCGACATGCACCCGTAGTCTGATATAGAAAACAAATCACGTCGGCCGCTAAGGCTCAGGCCCGGGCAGACATTCCATACATACAAATAACACCATATCGGTGGCATCCCTCTGCTCGATGCGTCAGCGATGGTAACCCTCCGTTGTGACTCTCTGTTCAGCTTCGTACGAGCAGCTCTCGTACTCGTACACCACAAGCCGTTTCATTGATTCGTTTTCTCAATCTTTGGAACAAGGCTTTGGCCAACGCAGCCCTCCCTCGGCTCTACACCATCCCGACCCCCGAAGAAGAAGGAAAAAAAACCCAAACATGATTCCCTATCCGGTAGCTAAACACGAGCCCGATTCAAGCAGGTGACAACGTCTCCCATGCTCGCAATCACCGCTCCTCCAGATAAACCAATCCGGTGCGATAGCGCAATCAACGGCTCATTACTCCCATGTAACTTTTACTGTACAGATCCTAGCCAGCGCACCATTGTTTTTTTTTTCCCTTCAGTGCAACTACCAGTGTGAAAATTGTCACTTATAACGGCGGGCGGAATTGCCCGAAACTGGCGGTCACGCGACACCCAGCGCAGGCACAGCAAAGATAGAGCGTGAGTAAGAGAGACAGAGAGACGGTGTAAGAAACAAGCCTCGTCAGCCCGATCCCTTGGCGATGCCAGCACATAAGATGCCGAAAGAAGGAGAAGAATAGAGAGAGAGAGAGAGAGAAACGACATGGATGGTCTAGGCCCTTGACACGGGCTCTGGTTGCATGCATGGTCCTCCGCCTTTCGGGGGGTCCCAAGTCAGACATGCGTGAAGCCACCGGCTGCGGCATTCCTGGGATTGGACGCCAAAGCTAGCTTAATCCTAGTGCCATGCACGCATCTTTTCTGGTTTGCTGTTGGTTTGTGAGCTGAACGACGTGGAGGCGTCGTGTTTGGCAGTGACATGGAGAGGAGTAAGTGTTGGATGTGTCCACGTTTTGCTTGTGCTGGCATTGATCTCATTTCCCGGATTCAAACTCTTTCTTATCGGCAGCGATTGTTCACTCATCGTCTTACCGCTATGCTCCAACCTCATCGCTGCGTGTACTATGTGATGCCGCAGGGTATGGCGTATACGAGTACCTATGGAATTGACTTCACAAGCCTACATGTACCTAGAGTCTTCCTACCTGGCTAGCCGACGGTAGAAGAACAGTGGCGTCGGCACTTGTTCGTGTCCCAGTGGCTTGTACCTTGTAGCTACAACAAGGAACATCAATTCGACCGAATCGTCGTGACATCTGCTGCCGCCACAATCCATCGGACGAATAACCTTATCCACAGATGGGGATAAGCATTCCTAGACTTTTTCCAATTGCATGCTTGTATTCTAGCGTCTGTCAAAGAAGCCCCTCTTTGGGGTGCAAATTGCTGCTCCGTGCTATCTATAACATCAAGGGATTTGGTGATCCAGGCACACACGAAATTAGATATCGTCGTCATCTTCCTCGGTCAAAACGCCCCTTTGCTTAGCCGATAAAAACTTCTGCCTCAGTATCATATATCGTGGAGAATGTTGCCCGAGTTCCATTCTCATGATCAGTTAGCGTCATCAGTCACTTTTAAGAGAATATAATATCTAGTACTCACTGCTCTCCCCGTAGACCAAGAACTCGAGCAAGCATGTTGTAAAAATGTGCATCATTTTGTGCGTCTTTCTCCCAAACATCCTGGCAAATGCCGTAGATCGATTTCGAATAATCTGGCGTTACAGCAGTTTTAGTGCTAGCCATACCAACCAAGGCATATACCTTATCCCTAAGATCAGCACATTGCCAAGCATGAAACACACTTATCAAGGTTTTTAGAGTTGGCGTTGGAGTGTCCGGATGCCTCCAATATGCTCGCTGCCAGATGATAACGCCCGCTGAGCTCTAAAATACTCTCATTGCAAAGGCATGATGGGTGAGCCAGTGTGTGGATTCGAGAACTTTTAGCTTCTGGTAAAGCTGGATAATGAGTCCCCAACCAAAGCTTCTCGTTCCACACCAAACCACAATATTTTCAGCACTGATGATTTCTTGGATAATCCACATCCGTCTCCAATATGGCCTCTCGCATAGCTCCACGAGAGCTTCCCCTTCCTGCTCAGACCAGATAGGCCGAAACCCCAGGCCCTTGGCTTTGAGTTTCTTTGATGCCTTTTCAGTTATATAGTCCATTGCTAGATTGCTGTTACTTGATTCACAACCTAGCCAAACGTATACGGCTGTAGCATTGGTATAGATCTGTCTCATCAAGCCGACTTGGTGGTTGCGTTCGTTGACATCTGACTGATTAATGCAGATAGCATCAATCCAATAGAATTTAGATTCGGAGAGCGATGAACTTTGTAATCGAAGAAACTGCCAAAGGTTTTCTCGAATGGGGATGTTCATGCCATCGTCGACTTGAATTTCTCCATAAGTCGCCTCGTCTCCCCATGTGTACGAGAGGGCGACGTATTCCAAATTTGCTGACAGCTCCACGTAATGGAAAGAACCCTTAATATCTGAGCCATTGATGCTAGGATACAACTCGAACAGGCGAATCTGTTTCTGTGAGGTATTTAGTTTCGAATACCCAACCGTGACAAAATCTGTCCTTGTTGCGTTGGTACGAAGCCATGGAGGAAGATAGTCTGTGGGAAGGTCTTCTATGAGAAGGGATTCGGGTTTGCTCATGATGCTCTGGTCATTCATGGTTCTGAATACCATCTCGTCGACTAAATGCGCGGTGAGCGCCGCGTTTTTGATAGCCTCTTCTGTCCTTTGAACAACGGACCTCGATAGTCCGGAATATGGGTCAGTATGGGGTCCATCATGATTCGACCGTAGATGGCAATTTTCAATGCCGCAAGGGCGCAAAAATTCATGAGGTAGAGTGTGCCCCAAGAACGAAACACAGCCAGGCTCACTGCAATCGCGCTGATACACACGAGATGTATGGTCCCCATCGTGTCCCCAAGGTAAAATGCAGCGAGATTCATCGCAACGGCGCAGAAATAGATGAGATGAAGAGTGCCCCAAAGGCAACGTACAGAGAAGTTGACTGCACTCGTGCCGATATTTATGAGCCGATTCGTGCCCTGGTGGCAAAACACAACCTGAATTACCACAGCTGCGAGCAACTGAAATGGGATCAGGCAGACGGCGCTCCCCCTCTGAGATTATGCGCTCCCTCTGTGAGATTATGCGCTCCCTCTCTCTCTCTTTCCTTGACTCTGCGGACTCCCTTTGCATCTCCATTATAGCCATCTCAAACCTGAGGTGAGCTATGCTCCTCACCTCTAAAGCGTCTATGCGCTTCCTCTGGGAGAGTATGCGCTCACTCTCTCTCTTTTCCCTCGCTAACTCTGCCTGTCGGGGCTCCACTGCTGCGTCCACAAGCTGCTGGATTGTGCCCTCCCTCTCAAACTGAATTGTGTGTAACCTCTCCAACTCCGTTAACCCTTCCAGCGTTAACTCTTCCCTCGCAAGCCGCTCCCTCTCAGACTGAATTTCGCGTTCCCTCTCAGATTGAACTTCGCCCTCCCCCTCAAACTGAATTGTGTGTAACCTCTCCAACTCCGTTAACCGTTCCCTCGCAAACCGCTCCCTCTCCAACAGAATTTCGCGTTCCCTCTCAAGCTGAACTTCGCGTTCTCTCTCTAACTGAATTTCGCGCTCCGTCTCTGGCTGCATTGTGCGCTCCATCTCAAACAATAGTTCGCGCTCGCGCTCTATCTTTATCTGGCATCTGCGGTACTCCAACACAAATTTGCGCTCCCTCTCAAACTCCAACTGGAGTTTGCGCTTCCTCGCTGACCGAATACGGTCTATTGATAGTACCCGTTGTCTGGGGTCACCGCAACGTGTTGGTTGAGACATCTGGGATGGGTTGACGCTTAAAATTCGTGCAACGTTTGAATCAGACTATCAATTGTCGAATAGCGACTGTCACCTTCCGGAGTTGAAGATGCCAATGGCTGCGGTTCGTGAAGCCCGGAGATATGAGGCGGATATCTAAGAACCAAGTAGTGTTAGCCCAATGGAGTATATGGCTGTGGAAAGAGACTACAAAATCCATACCCTTGTAAGCTGAAGGAGAATGCACTCTGGTAAGATTCTGAGGTCGTTCCTCTGGTATTATCGTCTGTATTAGAGCAAAGATGATGGATCTCAGGGGGTTGGAGATGTTGAGGTAAGATCAAAAATAGAAGGAGGGATGCTGTTACAACGCGACGTCTGTCGAGTATCTGCTTTAGGCAGTAAGGCTTCCACCGAGATGGCGGTGTATGTGTTCGGTATCTTCTCATCCAGTCAACTCAAACAGTCGGTTTGGGCTCCAAGGTACGGCTGTGCCCTTTGATGCCTAAGCAGCCTTGATAGGCTGGTTCGATTCCGAGTTTGCCTCTCCATTGGTTGATTGCTCTTCTATTGGGTTAAATGCCAAGGCAGTGGCCGCCTGCATATAGCTAAACAACACTTCACCTTGCGCCGCTCACAACGAATCAACATATTGCAATCTCTGATAATGCCAGTTGGCCTCCTTGTTGTAATATAATGCCTAGTAGTATATGCACGTTGAATCAATAAAGCCTGCAGCTATTCGTAAATACATATGGTGGGGATGGTAATACCCAATCGACTCTTGCGTGGCCTGGTATCGCTCAAAATAACCTTAACGAAGGTTCCTCTAAATGCATGCTGCCGCCCTAAAAAAATGACACCTGATTACCACATTGTTACACAATGATTGAGGTGGACTCGTCATGAAGCCTTCCTTTTCCCTTTCCTCCTCTTTGTCAAGTTTTCATGCGTCCTGATATTCAAGGACTTGCTCAACCTCCAAAACGCCGATAATGCTCCCGTTGCTGGTAATTGCAATGACCGATCCAGCTCCGCCGATTGCTTGTTCTTGCTCTTCGATTTGAGGCGACTGCATGTCTCCCAATATGTCTCGCGCCTGGCGGACCGTTGTCTCCGACGACATGGCCAACATCTGTTGGCGGGACACCGTGATGCCCATGACCTCTTTGATAGGTCTCACCATGTCTGCGTCACTCAACGCTCGAATCTTACTCGGGACTGCAATCTCGTCGCCGACTCTAACCCAGCCCGCTTTAGACTTGTACGCTGCCCGGAGCAAACTCGATGCAAGATCGTCGCTGGTCAGCCCATCGGCAACGTCAATCTCGTCCCATGGGACTGAAATGTGACCTATAGTCTGCGGACCTCGGGCCGCAGATGCCACTGCAGCACCAATAGCACCGCCAGGGTGGTTCTTGGCAAACATTGTCGAGACACACGGGTGAAGCTCGTGAGCGGCTGTGATGGCCAACGCATCTCCCAATGCCAGAGCAGCTGTTGTTGATGCTGATGGTGCCGAAACCCCAAATGATACATTTTCCGGCTCTGGAATCGGCGCTGGGAGCAGTATCGTGTTGGGCCGATGCTTGACAAACTCGCAAGTATCGTGTCTCATGTGAGAAGTGAGAAGAATTGTAGGGAGCCTCTCGTCCAGGTGAGGCAACGTTAGAAGAAGCTCCTGAGTCTTTCCAGAGTAGGTAATGAACAACAGCGTGTCTTCCGGACCCACAATGCCTAGGTCTCCGTGAAGAGCTTCAGTAGGGTGAAGAAACACCGAGCGAATCGCCAGGCTTTGGAATGTAGCGACCAGCTTCTTTCCAATGTGGCCAGACTTGCCAACTCCCATGATTACTAGCTTTCCCTTGGTCTTAGCCAGTCGGGTAATAGCCTTGATGGAGGCATTGAACCCAGCTCGGGCAATTGCATCAACCTCGTACAGCTTTGTGAGATTTGCCAGCGCCGCGGCCTCGGTGTTTAAAACATGGATGCCACTGTGGAGTCTCCTGTCCATTATGGATTGCTCTCGCGTAGATTCTGTATCCAGACTGAAGCCATCCACAGGGTCACCTATCTCTTTGGCCGACGGTGAGGCTGAAGGAGTTGGCGGAGACGGCGGTGGAATTGATTGGCATTTCGAAGCGCCCAGCACAATCACAGCACTCGTCTGGATGGGCCGGTGGTCGCCGTGGCGTATGTCAACCATGTTTTCCGTTGAAGGTTCGTTTAAGCTTCGCTGGTGATAACAACAAGCGCGGGAAACAAGGACAGAGTTCTGTGCCTCCGCTTCGACGTCTGGGCGCTGCTGACAAGACAATGGCCGAACCAGGGAATACTGCTATCAGTTGGACAGGAAACGCCAAAAGTGATGGAACTTTAAACCGCGCACAAAGCTGACGGCCCCGGTCACAATGACGGCCCTAGGCTTCACAACGAAGTAGCGACCGTTAATGTATCGCCGTGTCACTGTCTGTGCCTTTGGAACAGATGAACCATTTCCGAATTTGCACCGAAAGCTAAATCCAAGACGTCAAAATCCAAGACGTATACGTCAATGACAGGCAAGGCGCGGCGAATTGGGATCTAAGACTCGCAACAAGCTCTCAAGGCATCATGGACAACGCCCCAGAAAGGGAACAAGGAGGCTTGGGGAGAGGGATTGATCGCGCAGATAAGGACTGGAGTCGATGTAGCGTATAAAAAAAGATTAAAAGTCGCAAGTCAGCGATCCGTGTGAGTGGACGTGGCGACGATTGGCGGAGATGCGCGATTGTGTGCTTAGATCCTAGAGCCCAATTGGGCGAAGGCTCGGCCAACGGACGTTTTGTCCGCTCGGATAGGCTGCGGAAGGCTTAGAAATCCACTCTGACAGGCTATTGGCAAGGCATGACAGTTGAACCGACGCTGCTGGCAGTCTGACCGCTGGGCAAAGTGGCTGTTTTGACGCTGGCAAGCTGGTTTGATGGCAGCGTCAGTCAGAGTAGGTGAGGAAAAACTCGAGGTTTCACATGTCAAACACGTTGTTTAGCGCAGAGAAGACACCCAACGAGCCTGGAGCAGAGCTCACATGACGCGGGGTCGGCCCAGCTGTAAATGAGTACATGTACCCAGCATATCTGCATATCTGCATATCCTCCTGTGGGTGCCAGATCAATGTTAATGCAGTCGTGCTTTGCTTCTATTCAAGCCCGGCAGTTCCAGAAATGTCAATTCGTTCCGCGGGAGTGCTTTTCGCGCAGCCCGCGGGCAGCCCCCGCATCATCACGTCATCAGCACGGAAAATGAGCGCTGCGTTCGGCAATGGGAGGAATAAAAGTCCGATTGTAGCCGCAGATTAGATAACGGTGTACCGGTAATGTGTCATGCTTCCACAAAGGGGAAGGGCGGAGATGGGAAGGGAGAGGAGCATCGTGAGAAAGTCAAACAGAAGAGAGAAGACGAGAAGGAAGGGGAGAGAAGAGGGTTGCTTGGCTGGTCACGAACTGAGAAGCACGACTGCTATATAGCCTATGACCGCCGCTCGCTTACATACTATCCATACCAGCTGACTATGCCTGGATCATGCCACCAGATCGCCCACAGGCGGCTGACAGCTTCAAACCCCCCCAAAACGTGGGCATGCCGCTTTCTGTCTGTCTTTAACCAGCGGCCGGGGTTCGACAGCCGCTAATTGGCTCGCCCCCATTCAGCCTCCAGGACTCTGTCTCACGCCAACCGTTGCTGGTCGCCGCATCAGGGCCGCGGAGGGCGATGGACGATATACAGAGTTTTCGCATGCGCTCGTATGTGGGAGTCGAGAAGCCACAAATGCCTACCAAACACTGTCAGCAGCAGACCAGCCCGGGAGACATAAATATGCCATAATCCCAGGCCGTCTCTATGCCCAATGCCGTCCCAAGAGTTGTCGGCTCGTCGGCGCTTCTCCACGAGATAGGAGGCTCATCACCGTGACGACGCACAAAACACCAAGTCCTGTCTGTTGGCCCCGGCTTTCCGGCCCATCCGCCAGCTGGCAACTGAGCTCGCAAGAAACAAACGAAATGGCCCGAGAAATCATTCAAAAGAAATGAGATTTCGGCACAAGTGTTCCTTACGTAAGGAAAGTGTGTACAAAATTTAAGATTTCGCCTCCGGCCCTGACTTGTATCTTTTGAGCGCCACAGATCTCAGTATCTTGGATTAAAGTAACTCATTGCAAAAGGGCAACCTCAAATTTTCACCCGACCCGAAGCAACTTTCGGCTTCTGCGATGGCTTCAGGCCAAGTTGCAGAAAAAGGCCCTCCTCCGGAGTCGCCTGCAGTTCCGCGGGACTTGCGCGGGAAACACAATGGCAACGGGCCGCGCCGAGGCTTGCGTCACTACGCCAAGTGGCTAGCAATGACTCTTGTCGTCTTGTTCACATTCTGCAATGCCGTCTCTCATGCTTTCAGATGGGCCACAGTGCCCGGTGCCATTTACAGCGCCGATATCCCGCAGCGACTGCAGGAGGAGCTGGTGGGCAGGAAGGCGGCGGCTCTGCACCGGCAGCAGGCACAAGAGCAGCAGCAGCAACACTATCAAGGCCAGAAACAACAAAGACTGGGGAGCGAGGGAAAGGCTCAGGCCCTTGCCACATCCGGCGGTGCTCTAGATGGCCACTATCTCATCGGAGTGGGCAAGGCCGACATCACGGGGCCTGTTGTCGAGATCAACATGATGGGCTATGCCAACACCGAACAGGTCGGCAGCGGCGTACGTCAGCGCCTGTATTCCCGCGCTTTTATCGTGGGCGACCTTGATCAGCCTGATGACAGGTTCATATACCTCGTCCTGGATACACAGGCTGGTGACACTGCCGTTCGATACGGCATTCTCCGGGGGCTTGAGGAACTCGGGCCGGAATATGCCATGTATGGGCACGACAACTTGGCCGTCACGGCGACCCACTCTCACTCCGGACCCGGCGCCTGGCTCAATTATCTCTTGCCCCAGATCACCAGCAAAGGATTCGACAGACAGAGTTACCAAGCTATTGTCGACGGCTGCCTCTTGTCCATCCGTCGCGCACATGAGAGCTTGGAGCCCGGCACCCTCACCGCTGGCACCACCAAAGTCTTTGGCGCCAACATCAATCGAAGCCTCTATGCCTATCTCGCCAACCCGGCAGAGGAGAGGGCCAAGTACAACATCAGCGCGGAAGACGACGGCTCTGTGGAGAAGGATTTGACTCTGCTCAAGTTCAATAGAGCATCTGACGGCAAGAACATTGGCGTGTTGACATGGTTCCCTACCCACGGCACATCCATGTTGGCAAACAACACCCTCATCACAGGAGACAACAAGGGCGTGGCTGCAGATCTTTTTGAGAAGAAGGTTCGCGGAGGCATCCAAGAGACGGACGACTTTGTTGCCGGCTTTTCTCAGGCTAACATGGGTGACGCAAGCCCCAACACACTTGGCGGCTGGTGTGACGATGGCACAGGCGAGCAGTGCGAGTTCAAGTCCAGCTCTTGTCGAAGCACCGGCAGGACTAGGCAGTGTCACGCAAGAGGGCCCTTTTTCAGAGAAAAGGATGAGGGGGCCGCGTCGTGTTTCGAGATTGGCAAGAAGCAGTACGAGGCAGCCCTGGCCCTCTACACGTCAATGGATTCGCAACCGCCAAACGTAAAGGGGTCAGGCGTCAAGGCATTTCACCGATTCCATGACATGTCCGACTTCCAATTCCAGCTGCCCAACGGCTCTACAGTACGGACGTGCTCGGCGGCGCTGGGCTATTCCTTCGCTGCCGGGACCTGGGACGAACCGGGCCATTATGAGATAACGCAATCGGGTTCTAACGATACAAACTCATCGCCCAAATGGAGAGTTATACGATGGCTTGTCGGAGCTCCAAGCCCTGAGCAGATGCAGTGTCACGCCCCCAAGCCCATCCTCCTCAACGTCGGCAAGACGCACAAGCCTTATCACTGGACGCCAGACATTGTAGACATTCAGACATTTAGAGTTGGTCAATTCATTATTGTCGTCAGCCCTGGAGAGGCGACGACGATGGCAGGTAGACGGTGGAAAGAGGCTGTTGCAGAGAGCAGCAAGATTCAATTGGCAGAGGAGCTGGACGGCAAGGAACCCATTGTCGTCTTTGGAGGGCCAAGCAACACTTATACGCATTATATCACGACGGAGCAGGAGTATGGGTAAGTTTATTCCCCTTCTTTTTTTTTAAGCACCTAGCCTTCAAACCTCACAAGATTGGCCAGTGCTGACGCGAAGAACACAGCATCCAGCGATATGAGGGGGCGTCAACCCTCTATGGCCCACATACACTTGCAGCTTACATAGATCGGACTAAAGCACTGCTTCCTCTCTTGAAGGATGATACCCCTGGTGGAGATCCCGATTCCCGCGAAACCGGTCCCTTGCCCCCAGACAACAGTGACCGATCCTTTGGTTTCAACACGGGCGTCTTGTTTGACGGCACGGCACAATCTCAACAATTTGGAGATGTGATTGTGGACGTTGACAAGAGCCAGTTTACCCCCGGTGACAAGGTGACGGCAACATTTGTGGGAGCCAACCCGCGAAATAACCTGCGATTGGAGGAGACGTTTGCCGCCGTCGAGTACCGTCGCCCGGGCGAAACAGAGTGGACAATGGTGCGGGATGACTCGGACTGGAAGTTGACCTACCAGTGGAAGAGAAGCAGCGTGATGATGGGCACCAGCTCGGCAACTATCTCATGGGAGATTGAGGAGTGGACGACGCCTGGCGAATACAGACTTTGCTACTTTGGCGATGCCAAGTCCATTGACGGCGATATTACGGCGTTTGAAGGCAGAAGCACGGCGTTTATGGTCAATTAGGCGCCCCCGCAGGTATATCAGATGGTACGGTTATTACTACTACAGGCTCTAGGAGGATAGAGAGGCCGGCTTTGGTTTTCCTTTCTTTTTGGGTTCGTTTGTTTCATTTAGAGAGAGGGCTGCCGGCATTCTTGGTGCGCGAATGGCGTTTCGTAGGTCAAGGTCACTCTTTTTTATTTTACTTTTTAGATATTGCAATACTGGATAAATCGACGCTATTAAAGAACAGCATACGCCGAGGCTTGAGAGAAGAAGACGACTTGAGATGCGTTATCAGCACTGAACTGATGAGCCTTTGTTCCCACGAATCGGCGTCGTATATACGAAGCGACACAAAGTCAAGGAGTGTAGAGTTGAGTTGAGTACCTAGACTTAGTAATCATTCTTCTGTCGATCTCTGGACACGCCGAGAGCCAAGCAAAAGGCGCCATTATCCAACGTGGCCAAAGTCCAGAAAGGCTTGAACCCATGCAGGGAACTCGCCTCCAGGTGGGCCGCCCTATCAACAGTGTTGTTCTGCTCCACTCATTCTCACTCGAAAACCTGCCTGGACGGGAATACGAATTCTGAGACCAGCCGGAATGGCTTGTCCCTATTTTTTTTCTACTTCTTCCATCATTCCTCACTAGTCCAAGAAGGGGAAAGACGCAATCGATGGTCTGTTCAATGGCTTGGCGAAGCGCAGCCGCAATAAAAAAGCTAAAGATAAAGGGTTAAAAGAGAAAAAAAAATGCCAAGCTGCGGATGGGATGGGATGGGATGGGACTGGACTGGGGAAGAATGCTGTGCGGATACTTGTATGCACAGGCTCTTAGATGCTTGGCAGACACGATGAAACAAGCGATGCAGATTCCGAGTGGAATGGCATGTATGTTACGAGCACTTGTGATGCACATGCCGTGCTTGCAGGTCGAGATACGAAGTGGTATTAAGTCTAAAAATAAAGGGCAGCGAACACTGCCACCCCCCTTTGTCAGCCTAGACAATACTACAAGGACAAGGCAAAGCACATGCAGAAAGTTGAGAGCATCAAAGTCCAGGCATTTCCATTTACAACCCCCTTCATTCCCTCCCCGCAACATCATCTTCAGCCCTTCCTCTCCGCGATAACATCATCGTTCAATAATTCCGATCGAGTCATTATCGCCAACGGTGCCAAGCTAGCGATGGGGCGACCCTTTTCCTTCGTCTCCCGGGTTCCCGGTGCGGCTGCGGCAGCCAGCAAATAGTTGCAAACAAATGCAATAGCGCCGAACCGTGGATGGATGTCATGATAGCAATGGCCTCGTAAAATGTGGATGCGGAGTGGGTAAATACACAGTCACAGTCTGTCTTGCAGCGGCGATTGGGTGTGCGTGTTCCAGTTGTTTCAAAACACGGCACAGCAAAAGAGAGGGAGAAGACGGCACTGTATAAGCAAAGCAACCAGACAGATGCATCCCGGGCTGTCTCTCTTCAGCCGAGCTGAGTGAGTAAGTGAGAGAGCGAGTGCCTTGGCCCCATCGATAAGTCCCGACGAGGCCGAGTAAGGTAGTCTCCTCCTCCCCTTAGACCAGGCATGTCCATGATACATTCCAACTGCCAATGTTTTGATGCCGGTAGTACAGGAATAGCACCGGAACTAAACAACCCATCCTTGCCAGTGCCAAGTACCAGGAGACACTGAGCCGCATCCCCAAATGCCTCTCGCTCTCTTTCTCTTCAAGGGTTGGTTGCACAGCGTCGAGATAGATACTGTAGTAGATAACCCCCTAGTCTTTCATAGTCCTCGCTTGTGCCCTTCATTCATCTCTGCCTCTCGGCCTCTTCCCAACTCGTACGACCCGCTGCAGCTGTGCCCGAACTGGCCTCTTTAACCGCAGATTAGTCGTCAATTGTCCATGCAAAGACCCTTGCTCCTGGGTCTTCAGCTCGTCGTCATCATTGCCTGCTTTTGCCCTACGGCCCCCCCTTGCCTCGCGGCGTGTACCCATCCATGTACTGTATACTGTACGGAATCCAGGGCCAGTACTCCGTGCGTGCGCTGGAATGAATCCCGCCTGCTAGCTTAAGGCACATTAGTGGTGCTAGCGCCGCCTGTGCGCTCCGTAGAGGTACCTGGAAAGAAAGAATGGACGAGAAATAGCGATCGCTGACGGAGACGGCCAAGCGGGTCTGCGCTGGGCTGATCTGGATTTCGTGCTGCTTCTGATTTCTTGTCTTTGTCCTTATCTTTTTCTCTCCCATTTTCTTTTTTGGGTCGCCATCGTCGTTGTCTGGACTGGATTCGACTTGATCAGATAATCCATTTGAATGATTGACTGACTGTGGCTGTGGTCTCCTCGATCGATACGCCAGCCACATACGCGAGGTGGAGATATCATATCCTGCCCTCTCCCTCTCGGCGTCAAAATCTCCAATCTCACCTGCGCCGTGCTCGGGTTACGCAATACGAGATAGCGAATCTTGCTTCTGCTCTGTCCTCCCCCCTCCTCGCTTGCCGACCTGTCTTTGCCCCGACTTGGGCTCGGACTCGGACTCGTCTTGTCCCTCTTTCATAAACTTGATCTGCCCAAGGGTCAGCCGAGTTTGAACGTCTCCCGCTTGTTAATTTAATCTTATTCCCAAACCCGCTCCGATATCCTCTTCCTCTCTCCTGCGTTCTCCTATTCTCTCAAGCTTCGCCCGCCGTTTTTACTGCCGTTTTTACCATTGTGCTGTGACCCCCAAGCATGGGAGCGGACCGGAATTGGTCCACGTCTTGGCGAAGCTTTATTAAGATGCCGTCCCGCAACTGGCGAGCCGCAATCATCGTGGGCTGCACGTTGCTGCTGACGCTGCCCCTCTACCAGCTGCGCGACCACCAGGCCACCGGATACTACAAGCAGTACCTCTACGACCATCTGTCGCCATATCTGCAGGGCCAGGGCGTCTACAACAACACGCTGTACCATGAGGGCACCGAGGCCGCCGTCCACTCGAGCTGGAACTTCAGCTCGCCATGCGCCGGCTTCCCCAACATGGACGGCATCATGCTGGTCATGAAGACGGGCGCCACCGAGGCCTATGACAAGCTGCCCACGCAATTGCTCACCGGCCTGCAGTGCATCGACGACTTCTTGCTCTTTTCCGACCTGGTATGTATCTTTGTGTCGTTTCCGTTGCCGTTGTACACGCCCACTCCCGCCTTGGCAGCGGCACTTCAAACAGAGCGGCAAGGGTTTCGCGGACTAACACCCAACAGGAGCAGCAGATTGGCAAGTACCACATCTACGATTCCCTCGACCGCGTCGACGACAAGATCAAGGAAAAGTACAAAGAGTTCAAGCTGTACCAGGCACAGCAGGAATGCCCCGTCTCGCAAAAGGACTGCACCGCCGGCATGGACGGCGGCTGGGAGCTGGATAAGTTCAAGTTCGTCAACATGATTGTGCGGGCTTGGGAGTTGCGCCCCAACCAGGAGTGGTACGTCTTTGCCGAGGCCGACACCTACGTCGTCTGGCCGACTCTGGTCCACTGGCTGCGCAACAAGGTCAACCCCAGAGATAATGTCTACATCGGCAGCGTGGCTATGATCTCCGGCTTCCCCTTTGCCCACGGCGGCAGCGGCTACATCGTGTCTGGCGCACTCATGCGCAAGATGGCCCAGATCCCGGACATCACAAAGTACGACGACAAGGCGGGAGATGAATGCTGTGGTGATGTCGTCTTCTCCAGAGTGGCCAAGGAGGTGGGAACCAAGGTCTTGAACGCGCATCCCATGTTCAACGGCGAAAAGCCTAACACGCTGCCCTACGGACCCGGCCACTGGTGTGAGCCTCTCTTCACCATGCACCACGTGAATTCGGAGGAAATTAGCAGCGTGTGGCAGTATGAGCAGACGCGTACCAAGCAGGTTGGTACTCCCTATGTCTCTTTTATCTCCAACAGCATAAGTGAGAAAAATGAATACTAACAAAGTCGTTGCACAGGATTTCATGCAGATCCGAGAAATGTACTACGCCTTTTTCGCTCCCAAGATGGTTTCCTTCCGAAAGGACTGGGACAACCTGTCGGACGATACTTGCTATATCGCCCCCGACGAAGAGAGTCAGAAAAAGGCCACTCAGCAGCAACGAGACCGACAGGTCAAGGAGGGCGACAAAAACGTCGTCCAGAAGTATGCGCACAACTCACCGGCCGCTTGCGCCAAGGTCTGTGAGGCTGCCGGTCTCGATATCCCTGCCGAGGAGTTCGAGAAGCTGGAGACGGAGACGGACCGTGGCAAGCTGATTCGGGCCAAGTACGACGAGTTCGCCAGCGGAAATGTCGACTTTAAGAAAGACCGCAAGTGTTTCCAGTGGCGATTCCAGAAGAACGTCTGCTGCACGGCCAAGAGCTTCAAGCTCGGCAAGCCCAAGAAGGAGAAGAATGACGGGGACAAGTGGACGAGCGGATGGTTCGTCAGAGGCATCAACGACTGGATCGAGACCAAGGGAGAGTGCCCCGTGGAATGGAAAAACCCTCGATAAACAGCTCGACTCTCTCACAATTTCGCTGGTAATGATGATTTATAACGGCCGCATCGACACCGACGGCGATAATCGACAGCACGCCATAACAGTAAGACGGAGCTGTGCATATCAGCCCGATTCTTTTTTCCAATATTATTTTTGCACGGGACCAAAAAAACGGTGGGATTGTTGAAGACGAGCATCTCTATCAAGTCTTTTTTTGGTTACAGTTTTTTTATTTTTCTTTTGCATAGACTGGACGGGTAAACTATCACCGGCGTTTTTTTCTGAAAGGCATGAGATCAAAAAAGGGAAAGGGAATGGAATGGGAGCTCTCTTTCATTTTTTTGCTTTGCGTTTACATTTTTATCTTTTGTAAAGCCATTCCTCCCAGTTCATCCTTTTTTTGTTGTTCAGTTCATCATGATGTTGGAGAGAGGAAAGGGGGAGGTTTGGAACTGTCACTGGTTTGGACAATATGCCCCATTTGGATCAGGAGAAGCGCGTCACGCATATACATGTTATTTTATTTTACATACAAACTTACTTGGCTGTTGAGGCACTTTACATAGATGGTCATTATTGGCGTTACAATCCTGAGGACAAAAGAAAATAGCTAAAATTCTACTGTTCTAGCACACATGATGTGATGTACGAAAAAGCAGTCATTCAGAGAGACTGGATATTTATGATCAAGTGATTTCTTCATTCTCTATTATTTAGATGAGTATTGCTGTTACATCTTCTTCTTCTCTTCTAGTTGTAGTTTCGTAAAAAAACGAGTCAAATTCGCTGGTGTATCAGTCTCGATGCCCTTCATTAATGCCCAACACCAAGTCCGTAAAAAATCCCCTCCCTAGAGCGTATTCGCGTGCCGTATTTCCCTCATATGATGCGCAAGAAAAAGTAAAAAGATCAAAATTCATCGCCATCATCAATTACACCCCCCATCCTGCCTCCGTCCAAAAGCGCCTTTGTAAAATTCGAAAAATATATCCAGCAATAGCATCCTTTGCTTATTTACTGGGAAGTTGCCGCTACCTTCTTCGCCCCATGACGCCCGCACACATGAGGCTTCTTAGGGGACCGCATGAAGCAGTATCCCCTCGCGTTTGGCCCAGCAGGCGGGCCGTACATCTCCTTGATCTCGCAGTACTCGTAACCCTTGCCGAACCAGTCCTTGAGGTGCCTGTGAAGTTCGCAACGGGAGATGCCGCACTTGCGACAGTACACCTGGCCCTTGACTCGCAGGCGCTCCAGCTCGTTCTCGCTGGCCGCGGGCTTCGAGTGAGGGTGCACAAGGGGTCCGGCGCCGCGCCATGCCCATTCGATGTCGTTGGGGCCGGAATATCGGCTGGACAGCGGGACAATCCCGTTCTTGCGCCGGTGGATGTCGTAGAGCTTGGAGTGCGCCAGGCCAAAGCACGCGCCGTCGATGGGGTCGAGGAAGTCAAAGATGGCATAATGTAACTCCGAAGGGAGATCGAGCAGGGTGAGGCGCGAAGATGGTCGTGGCTGGTTGGCCGGCTCGGGCTCCTTGTCGGTAACAGAGTACGAGCGACGGGGAGGAGGCAGCTTGGGCCGCTGCGGGAGTGGCATGTGCTTGGAGATGGGCATCGACGGCACGGCCGCGTGCTCCGGGATGCGATCAACGGTCGCAGGCACCGCAGCATGGAAGTGATGCGGCCCATCGTTCTGCTGGCCTTGGTAATCGGTCAAGGAAAATCCCCGCCTGGGCATCCTCATCATGCCCCTCTTGACCATCAGCTCTCGTGCCCTCTGGGCGTGCTCCTCCCTCGACGTGACCATATTTTCAGATCTGTCATTGCTCGTCTCGAGTACGGCATTGCCGCTCGGAGACAGAGCTGGGGCCGCAAGTAATTGAACCATTATTTCAGAGTTCAAATATCCAGAAAACCAACTCTTGGTCGCTCGGGAATCGATCGAGTTCGTCGGGCGTTTGGCGAGAGTTGGGGTGTTGCGCGCGGTCCGGTGTTGGAAAAACGGTTGGTAACCCCCACGAGCAAAGTAAGGGGTGGGATGATAAAGCGTTGACTCTTGTTTTCGTTATCGCAGTTGCGTAATGCGGCACAATGTTTTACTATAAGGCGGCAGGCTCCTCACTAACGACTTCATGAGAAGAAACAAGCCATTGAGATGCTGTGTGCAAGTGGTCACTTTCCCCCCACACTCTGGACCGGGGCAACGGCTGGTGGTCTTTTATACTTGCAGTTGCGTGCAGAAAACCGGACCGAGGCCAGGAAACGCCGAAACAAAGGCGACTTCGGGGGGGGTGTGGTGTGACGGCCAGTATGTACATAGTATCCAGCAGAGCGTAAACTGGGCTGGGGCCATCTCCGGGCGCGGGACCCATGCCCATCTAGCAGAGTTTTCTTCCCCTGGGAGGCGAATTTGCTAGCAACGGATGACCATGTGCCACTGCCTTCGCCGTGGACCAGACACACAAACGAGGCGGGTTGTTAGCGCGAGGTACAGCAGGCCACGCGAACGCCATTGGTGCCCCAGGCCAATTGCCCACGCTTGACGTACGACGTCTGCGTATCACCGCAGCGATCATGTGGTCGCGGCGGGCTTCATGGCACATCTTGGTCGTTTGCGGGTTGCCGATAACAAGGCGGGGGAATCGGCGTGATGGCCTGACCCGTGCAAAACCTCTCGCCAGCACCGCAGCGGTGGCAAGATGATTGCGGGAGGGGGGGCATCTCCCCAGGCATATCAGTGGCCCGGGCGCGGAGATCTTGCCATCCACACTCGATCAACAGTGAGGCGGAGGCTGGGAGGGTATCACCAGCGTGGTTTGGCATGGGCGAGTCTGCATGCGGATTGGATGCTGCAATTCCTGGCGACGTTCTCGATCGAGGCCCATTGGCATTGGCAGGATCCTGCTGCTCCCTCCCATCCCTCCTAAAAACCAAGTAAAAAAAAAAAAAGAGAGAGAGAAAAAGAGAAAGGAATAGGGGTGGATGGATGCCTTCTCACTGTGTCGTAGACTTGTCTCGAACATTTGATCGCTGTTCCCGGCATCCGACCGCAGGCACCGAGATAAATTTCTGCCCACCAAGAGACAGCTCAGCCCCAACGTCCAAGACGCTTCCGTCTCCCTCCGATGCCCTTGAGACGCTCCCTGTATTCCTCGTTTGCTGACAGCAGATCGCAACGCTCTCAGGCAATGGACCCAACTTGCCAACGCCGTCGTTTCGCTCTGTATCCGGCCAAAGGGTCCTTCGGAGGCGATCCCGATCTTCGGTGGGGTTTTGGATAGCAGTCCGAGCCGTCGTCTGTTGCCTCCACCCGGCGCTGCAGCTGAGCATCATAGCGGAGCTGATGGGAGACTGACCTTGACGCATCGTGGAGCTGTAGACGGACACTCTGTAGCCACGAGCTCTTTGTCCATTTCAGTTTCCCTTTTTCACCTTTGGGCGATAATCGTAGCGACATTTTCGTAGGTGAGTCTAAGCATCGTCTGAGGAAACGTAGCCTTAAAAGAAAAGAAAGAATCGTTCGCTCTCCCGTCCCGGCGGTGTACCGGGTAGGTCAGGTGCGGCTGATCGCGTGCCATTTCATTCCTGCTATTTCTTCTCCCTGCATTGCGGCTGTGAAATAGCATCGTGAAAGGGTTTGCAGTGGTTTTGGACGGCAGCACGCTAAGTACTAGGTGGCTTCTGCATGCATTGGCGACGCCCTTTGGCCTGCGCGTGATGGCGGCTCATGGAATGGAATGGCATTAGATGCATTAAGATTAAGAGGTAGGGAGGTTGGCGCTTTTCATCTCGATGTTTGTTTTTTGTTCGTTTGCTACTGGATGCTTGTGACGACAAACACTCTATATCGCTAGGACCATATTTGAAGAATACGAGTACCACAGAGCACTGCATGTGGCTGCTTTATCTCAACAATCTATTAAGTCAACATACAGACAGATTTCCTAGCGCCACATAGTATTGCTTTTACGGCGTCTATACGACTGAGAAAGTGCACGTCATACATCAACGTATTCGCGGTATTATCTACCCTACTGTTAGTATAGTAGCTACAGGTAGTCCCGTGGGCGTGTAATTCCACACCTGGTAAAAGTGCCTTGGAACACAAGTAGGTATTCCGAAGCCCAGCAATGCATGATTCAGGCAAATGTAAATTAATAGCAGCTCAAATAACAATCGACTCCGTAGGTGTATCCCTTGCTTGTTTCCATGCCATGCCTCGGTTGCTCGCCATCTGTCGCAGCATCCTGTCGCTCAATATGCAAGTAATTCATGAAAGATGCAAGCGTGGGCGAGCCATGGCAACAGAGCCGCCTCCCCAAACCACCGCAGTCTATAGAAGAGCAGAGTGCTGAGATCCAAGCTCTTCAAAATATCCATATCAGAGCCAGAGTCCGCCCATCGACTCCATCAAGATGCAGGCTCAGGGCCCGGCCCCTCGCTGTTCCCCAAGCCTCTTCTATTCTCTCCTCAGATGGCAATCCAGATCAGCATAATGACCACGTCCATGCCCTTGCCCTCGCCTCCGTCGTACTTGAAAGTCCACATGCCGTCCTTCTTCTCATCCCAGTATGCGCCGGTTGCGCTGTGCATTCCTCGTCGGCCGACGTGAGGCTTGCCGTCCGTAGCGGTAGCATCTGTGCTCGTCGACACGTGAGGCTCCTCAGTCTTGGTATCGGTGCCACCGCGGGACTTGTTAAGTGCCGATGTGGGCACCAGGTGCTGGACAATGGTGCTGTTGCAAGCAAACTTGTATGAAGGAGAAGTGGCGCCCTGGGGAGTTGCCTCAGAGATGAGCGCCTTCAGCATGGAGCTCTGTCGCAAAGGTTAGTTCAGCGGTTGGACGAGGTCGCGGCCGTCGCGTTGGGGGTGGTCTGGCATACAATGATGGTCGAGTTCCATTGCTCCGTCTTTGCGTGGTCGTAGAATTCCGCACTGCCGATGGCGCTGTTGCACACCTATAGTAGTTTGCTCATGTTAGACGCGCGAGCTCGCCGGACTAAGCTTCGACAGCCGGGGAGGAGGCGCCAAAACGTACATCTGTGGCAATCTGCTTAAGTCGGTTGAAGGGCACGGGCTATTCTCTGTTAGCATGTCTCACAGCCCCTCCTAGAGCCTTTGCAGCGCGGATTGCATACCGGGGTAGACATTTTGGCTTGGTGATGCTTCAGCTGAGCGTTTAGGGGGAGGATGCGATCGGGCTGCGACGACAATGGCGGGCTGCGGTGCGTAGACGATGCCAATGATGGAAATACAGCCTGTGCCCCGGCGAGGCCCTAGGTTAGCGCAGCATTGAGAGGAGATGCAGCCGCAGAGACAAGCTCACCTGTGACACTGGATTCTGTTGCTCTTGTGCTTCCAACCGCGACAAGTTGCTCGTTCGCCCTGCATGCTTTCCCCTTTCGGCACAGCAAACCACGCTGCTCCCTCTGCGGGGCCGTGCACGTGATCCGCTGCCGCTCTATCCACTGTTGCTGTCCATCTAATGTCAAGTGCAGTTAATGTCCAGCCGCTGTTGAGCTGCCTGTCCAGCCATTCAGCGCTGGAGCCCACGTGCTGCGAATAGCTCGACAAATCCGGCCTGCAGAAGTGGGGACGGGCGGAACTACCTTTGCAGCTTTGGCCTGCAAGATGCTGCCGGGGCTGCCACGGTCGGATCTTGCTTTTCTCTCTTCCTATCTTCAATCGCAGAAAATTCTCGTCGCCACAGAAGCTGCAGCTGCTCCAACTCGTCTCCTACGTGTCGCTCCATCGTTGGCGTTACAGCTTACCAGTGAATCGCGCGCAGCATCCTCTTTAGCACGCTGCCCTGAACGTCATCCTTTAACCAAATCAACTAGCGGCAGCTCGGAGCCCTCCAGCCATAAACTTTTTTTCTTCCTCCTCATCGCTACGACGCAATGTCTTCCCAGCCTCTCCTCCAAACCGCTCCTGGTAAGTTGTAATAGCATTAGGCGGAGACTGCTCTACGCTTTTGTCGACAATATCGTGCCAGTTGCTCATCAATCGAAACAGGCAAGCGCATTGCCCTCCCTACCCGCGTCGAGCCCAAGGTCTTCTTCGCCAACGAGCGTACGTTCCTGTCATGGCTCAACTTTACCGTTATCCTCGGTGCCCTGGCCATTGGCATGCTTAACTTTGGCGACCGAGTGTCCTTCATCTCCGCCTTCCTCTTCACCGGCGTGGCCATGTTGACCATGATTTATGCATTGGTAACATACCACTGGAGAGCAAAGTCTATACGAGTGAGGGGGCAGGCTGGTTTCGACGACCGATTCGGTCCCACTTTCTTGGCCATCATCCTCTTGCTGGCCGTCATTGTCAACTTCGTCCTCAGGATTATGGACCAGTCGAAGAAGCAGAAGGACCAGCCCGTGTACTAAGCCACTGGTGTCTGCTATAGGAGAAGGATGGAGAAGCAATAGGACTGGACCGAAGCGGCATCAATGTCTTAGGACATGCAAGCGAAAATGATGAGGATGCCTGCATCGGACTCCAAGGCTTTGTTAAGCCTTCCGTAAAATTTCCGACAAGAAGTTCTCCCATGGAACTCAGCGCTGTTTCGAATTAGTGTATCATATGTTTTTTTTGGGTATCGCACCGGACGTAATTAATAGCTCAATAAGATTGTGTATCAAAAATCGGGTATCATATTGCTGTAACCATGTGAAAATTTTTCTTCCTCCCTCCAGACCCAGGTGGCCGAAACCAAATCCAATGCTCCGTAATATCCGCAACCTTGTCTATTGTGTAGTGTCTTCGCTTGCTTGTACCGTTACGTTTTCCTTCGATTTGAGTTCTGCGATTGCCTGACGTGAAATGAATATCCTCAGAGACTTGTATGTTCGAGCCCGCGGAGGCGGCAGCACGGCCTGTTCGAATCGACTTTCCATGGCTTCAAACGCACCCTCATCGCTGTCGGAGTCCTCCTCAGCCTCCTCTTCCACATCTCCACCCTCTGGAACGTTATTCTTTTTCTTCTTAGCCTCTGGAGGCAGATCGAATAGCTCGTTATACTGAAACCAGGCTCGGCCCTGCTCCCCCAGCACTCTTTTGCATTGCTCCGCCACCGTGATCATTTTGCAGACGTCTGCAGGGCGCGCATGGAGCAGAACTGCCCGAGACTCTGTAGACTTGTCGAGAAGATGGGATGTTGCGCTGGAAACGCGTTTGCGGATCTGCGTGGACGAGAGGACGGAGAGTGGGAGGACATTGTGTTTGGCGGAGAGTTCCTTGAGGATGGCTTCGTGCGGGCCAAGCAGGGTGGGATTTCCTTGAGTGCGAGGTTTCTTGGATGAGACCGACTGGCTGGAGGAGTGCTTGCGCTTCTTGGAGGCATTGTCGGTTGACATGGCTGGGTTTGGTTATGAATGCGATATGGTGGTTGTAGTTGTAGGAAGAGGTGATAACGATTATAGCTTCTGCTGGAAAAAAATGTGGGTTTTGTGCTAGTGGTACTTGTCTTAGTCTTAGCGTACCTACCTGTAGAGTAGCTATTGGAGGAGCATCTCTCTGTGATGAAGCGTCATTCTCACCAAGCCAATGGCTCATGACTGCTGCTAAGAGGTAAGCTCTAGTATTAATGTACCTAAATATCTGTCTTTTATCGTTGTTCTCGGAGTGTCAAGTTGGTAAATTTGAAGTAGCATTCTAATTTAGAGTCACCTGCGAGCTTACATAACCCGATCAAAGGCTGCTAGGCATAACGTAGATCCGGCCCGCCTTTTGTTGAAGTGTTTTCCGAAGGTAAGCCGAGTGGCGGCCCAACGGGCTAAACCTTGTTCCTTTCCTCGGCAGATGGTGTGGGCCGCTTCGGCCAGTCAAACGGGCTCTGGGCCGCATCAGACCAGGACTAAAAGGCATCAACTGCCAAAGCACGTTCTCCAAATAGCAGCCCGCTTTGGGAGTGCAGCTGGCGTCTCTGGCGGCACTTGACGCTATTTGAGTGGACGGGCGCACATGGACCCTGGAAACAAATGCAATGCATTGTCTTGTCTGCGCTCGTTTGCACAAAGCAGTCCAATCGTCGCCTAGTACGAGTACAAGTGCTGCTGGAATAAATGGATGACGAGTTTGCCAGCACTCTGGGTGGAGACTGCTAAGACAGGTACAGCCTACAGGTACAGGTACTATGTACGACGATGATTCTCTGTGCCCCGTGGCACTGCAAAAGTGGACATCTCGAGGCGCTACTTGATTCTGTCCGCACTACCAGCGTGATCGGCCCACCAGCCCGTCAACAGCTGGGCGGATGTCGTATCACTTGTACCGTAGCTACATGGAGTTGGAGCAGGTTGAAACGGTGGTGAGTCTGCTGCATCAAGTGGTGCGAAAATATTACACAGCGTCTACTTGGTAGAATAGCCCTATCGTGGGCCGCGCTTAGCGTTCGATACTCAACATGGTATCTCAGAAAAAACCGCCGTTTTTGCCAAAGGACAAGGGATCTTGGTAGATATTGAGCATCGATCTCGAATTCCGAAAATCGAGCATTCTACGCCGGCGATTGGTCCGTGGATTGGGCTGCATTGGAGCCATGCACCAACGACATTAGCTCGACCCTCAATAGACACCACCAAAGGTCCCCTCAACTGCTACCGCAGACTACCGTATTGTACATCCAATGTATGCTCGCTCGTATGGATACACGTACTTACACTGTAGAAAGGCAGCCATGGCGTTGGGCTACGGGCCGCAGAGTGATAGGCAGCTGTGCAGGACTCGCACCAAGAACGAGGAGGCATTTGATCCTGGCACTGGCACCTCGTGAGAACTGAGTACATTCTTGTTTTCCCACCCCCATTTCGTCGACGGTGCTTTTATATATACATATACATGTACTCTTGACAAAGTAGACAGGCGCTCTGTTCCGGTGTTCTCGGGGCTAAACTTGGATGCCGGAGAGCCGCAGAAGTAGAAATGGTAGGTTATTGATGTATTGCACCAACTGCCCACTCCAAGCACAAAGTGGCGGCATAAACCAAACTAAACCAAACTACTGCCTGTATCCCAGGCATCTCCTGCAGCAACAAGAGGGCGGCTGGCTGCCTGTAAAGCAAAGCGATGGAAGCAAAGAGCCTTCAATGACACTCGCCAGTGCCCGGCCCTTGTCCCACGGCCAAACAAGAGCTGGTTGGTGCTTTCTGGTAGCGTGGCTTACGGTCCCCCTCCCTCCTCCGGCACACTCCCCGATGGCTTTGGTCGAAGCTCATCCTGGTCGTCCGTACGGAGTACTTGTACTCGGACATACACCTCCAACTTGCGCCCACTCGCCGGGACTTGGGTGGCTGCAGGCGGCGAGCAGGACGCTGCGGGCTCGCAAGCGGCACTGCTCGCCATTGTTCTGCTAGCGTGACAACGAGTTGCAGCAGGCAGATACGAAGAGGAGATGGAGGTTGACGGAGGCAGAAGGGTTCAGCAAGGATCCGGCAAGGTTGGCCAGTATGTGTTCTGAGGTATATCGAGGTACCCAGCACTTGTGCGGTATTGGATTGATGTCTTATCAGTGAGAAGCCTCCCCCGATCAGTCGATAGACCATCCGTGGAACAAAGTGAGGCGATAAGAACCGTACTGGGAAGACGCAGCGCTAGCACGGAAGCCCCGTCCAGGCCTTCGGCTCAGCACAAGTGCTAACTGCGGACCCAAGATGCGGTAGCCAGCTGTCGCAGTACCTAGCCGCATCTGCGGAAGTACTTTGCGCCACCACGGCGGCCCCCGGAGACGGTGCGAAGGGAGCATGGGCACTTGTACCCGCATGTTCACCAGTAGTACCAGCAGTACCTTACCTACCTTACCGTCGCAGACCTGAGGTAGAATCAGTACCGGTACAAGTACAACGACATGTGTACTCGTAGCACTCGCGCGCACAAGCAGGCGGCCAAAGCTCTCCACCCGCCGGCCCACTGGCCAACACCTCACACCCCTGGCCTGGCCGGAACATCCATTGACTCCAGCGGCTCAACTGTGCCTCCAGCGCGCCCAGCCCGCTAACTCTCGCCGTCGTACTCGCAATTCAGAGCCCAGCCCTAGCTCCAGCGCCAGCACGGCCCACCCCCCCCAAAGCACAAATCGTCCGCCACGACGACGACGAGTCACAGGCCTTCGCCTCCGCCTGTGCCCCTGCCTCTCCAGGTGTCAGCCAGACCAGACTCGTGCAAAACAAACCGCCTCTTTCACGCCGTGAGTCGCCTCCCCCCCTTTGCTTTTTCACTTGTCACCTTCCTTTGCCCAAGCCGCCTTCTAATTCTCCCCCTTTCATCTCATAACAACACTCTCCCTATCCTTAATTTTTTTTTTCTTTCTTCCTCTGTCGCTCTCTCGTCAGAGGCATTGCTCGAGGCTTTCGCTAGCACTCGACCTCCCATCTCCCCCCCATTTACAGCGCGCACCGGCTCTCATTCACCCCTTGTCTCCCTCTTTTGCGCGCTGCCTTCACTGCAGGTCAGGTTCAGGCTCAGCGTCTCCCGACCTCTCCGCCGGCCAACCTACCCGCCGCATTCACAAGCCCCCCTTTGCCCAGCGCAACCCCAAACCTGCCTCCTGCCTAGGCAGATTACGTCAGCACGCGCATTCCAGCGCCCCACTTGACGCTTCCCTCGCTCCAGTCCAGTGCCTTGATTGTTCTGTGCCGTCGCTGCAAAGCGCATTACCTCATCACCAACTTCAGCCTCTCGCTCGCAGCGCATTTTTGCCTCGCGTCGCATTTGTCGCGTCGCATTGCTGGCTTTGGCGCAGTCGCACCGCAGCAGCCGCGGGCATGTCCATGTTTCGGTTCTGGAGCTGTGATCCTCGGGGAAGTGACAAGACCGTCAATGGGTCGCCAGCCATCGCCTTCAGCAGGCCGCCAAACCGAACCTCGTCAGTCGCATGTGATCCGGCGTCGCAGGCAGTGCCTCTGGACTTGTCGCCGCGCAAGCGATCGCATCGTGACGTCGACAACGACGACGAAGACGACGACGCCATGGGTTCTGTTGTACCGGCTAAACGCCCCAGGGCCGGCTCCGAGGCGCTGGCTGAGGAACCATCCTTCCCAAAGCCTCGAGGCCCAACCTCTTCGATGGCTGCCGAGTCCAGTGCCGTCGACAGCGCTAGAGACCTGATCCAAGCTGAATTTTGCCAGGAAATTTTGCTCAAGCACAAGGAGCTAAGATTGATCAACCAAGAGCTAGCCAAGTGTCAGATTGCGCTTGAGCAACTGCGCCGATGCCATCTCATCCCGTATCCTGTGAATTGTCCCACCCCGCAACAAATGTTAGACGTCAGCGACGGAAAGGGTCCTGCAGTAGTGGCCAAAGCCGGCGATGCTGTCCCTCGCTGGGCGCCTCCTTTTGGCGTTGTCGACGGTCCTTACTCTCGGCACTATGCCAAGTGGCTCATTCCCGATCCAGCCTTTGATGGCATACAGCCAGAGATGTCGCATCTCCCTGCCCGTGGTCCCGTCTTGGAAGGAAGGACAACTCGCAACAGTAATGGTGAAGTTGGATATGGATTCGTCAAGGGGCGCCGTGGCAACGGCAGCCATAAGTTTGAGTCTCTGTCAAGCGGCTACCCCCCACCCAAAGACAAGGTAGGCCCATGTGTCCTGACTCGGGCAGACGGCCAGACAGTCAAGCTTGTGTGCTTGGACTGCCACAGGGATAACTTCTCAAGCACCCAAGGCTTCATCAACCATTGCCGTATTGCACACAAGCGTGATTTCAAGAGCCATGAGGAGGCCGCCGTTCATTGCGGCCAGCCATATGAACCTTCCGAGGGGGGTAACATCCCCAAGGACAACAAGGCATCGGCTCCCTCTTCGTCCTCTACCACCACCACAGCCACGTCATGTTTCGTGCATGCCTTTGCGCGTCCAGACATGGTAGAGCAAGACATCTTCAAGTCGCTTCGGATGAGAATTTCCGACTCGCTCAAGCTTTACAACCAGGGCAAGCTGTCGGTTGTTAAGTTTCCTCGCAACATCAATGCTGTTGCCTACCCTGGCAAGGCGTCGGCATCGTCATCAGCATCTAGCTTTGGCCCGTCCTCTGAAGCACCTCATTTGTCCCGCCTCTTGAAGGCTCGCAACTTCCAAGGCAATCTCCATGATGTCGTTGCCGATGCAAAGTCCAAGGTGTTACTGGAGGATCTTGCTGGGGAGGAGTCGGAAGCTGATGGCTCAGTGTCCCCCATGCAGGACTCACCGCCCACTCGAGCGTCGGTTGTTATGCGCATGCCCGCCAGGACTGCAAAGACTCCTGTTTCCGTGGGCACCTCAGCACGGCCGACAAGCAGCAAAGGCCGTGCTGCACACATGGCTCTTGCCTCGCCATCAGATTCTGACATGGCCATGATGGCCAACAAGCACCGCTCAGATGCGGTTCTGTCCGACGAGGATGTGGATATGGAGGACGCCGATATGAGCCCCAACACGCTTGTTAGCAACAATGCGCCTTCTCTGGTTAGTGACGACGGAGAGTATGATGACTCTGACGAAGGCTCTTCCGTTTCTGGAGCAAGTGACCAGCTGGAGGCGGAATCCGTCTCGGATGTTGCCGAAATCTCGCTAGATTTTGAATCTGACTCTCGAGGTCTTCGCCGAGAATCAGCAGCCATGGCAGGACCTGTGCGGCTTCGCAAAGAAGAAGCCAAGCAGGTTACATTTATTGGACCTGTCAGAAGCAGTGCCAAGGAGAGAAGGCAACGAAAGGCCTAAAGCATTACTCTTTTTAACCAGGACCACCTTGATCTTTGCCACTGGACATGAACTTTTCTCGACCCACCCCGAACAAAGTGGCAACCCATAGAGCACCGTTTTGGATTCTTCTTATTTTTTTCTGCGAAATCCTTTTATTTTTTTTCATTAAAGAACTATAACTCTGTTTTTGGTGGTTAACGGCTTTTACTTGTTTTCGCGATGGCTTTTTCTTTTTATTCTTCTCAGTTTGAACTGTCTCTCAATAGTTGCTGGATTGGTTTGCCTTGTTTACGAAGTGTGGACTCTTTTTTATTTATCATGTTTTCTTTGGCGCTATTGGGTCATTAGGGGTATTCGGAACCATTGCTATTTTTTGTATTAGAGACTCGGTTTTTGTTCAGAGGGTTGCCGGCGCAAAGGATTACAGGGAGCTGCTTGAGGACTGCTCGGCCAATGGGTGTCGAAGCATAAAGCGCGGCCTAGGGTGTGTTCATTTTTTGTATGATACAATAATGCCTGCGTGGATTCTGCGATGATGGAAATAAGAATGATGGGGGGTCTAATGACCCCCGTGACTATTTACATCAGTTTACTGGCAAATGTTCAAGTGTCATGCGATGGTTCTTCAGATATGTCAATTTTCTCATAGTCAGGCAGTTCTGCTTATATACAAAATGCTTCAAATTACACATGAATCCATTCATGCATTGTGCTCATGCATTGCGCGGATGCTGGGAACCAGCACGCAGTGTGAGTTTACAAAACAGACGTCGGCTGTGTTTATTCATAGAGGTCAAGATGGCATCCCGATGTCATTTCACAACATCAATAGAGCTACGAGTGTTAGACAAAGGTAATTAGGCGCGGAATCCTAACGTCATATTAAGAGGTAAACTAGAATTACACGGACAAACGCGCGCCGAACCAGGTCCCCATTATTATTATACGCCTGCTTGTTGTGCTCCTAGCCCAACATTCCAATTCATTCAATCTTTTCACATGCAACGCCTGACATCATCCCCTCATTAGATCATGGCGGCAGCAGCACCGGCCACAGCCATGACGAGGCCAGCAACGCTTCCCATGGTAGCGGCTGCGTTGGAGCTCGAGCTACGAGCAGCCGTAGTAGCACTTGTGCGGGAGGCACCGGTCTGAGTGGGACCAGCATCGGTAGCAGACGTATCGTCATTGCTGGGGGCAGAGTCAGAGGAAGTCTCTTGCGAGTTTGAAGAGTCCTGAGTCTTGGTCTTGGGGGTGCTGGCTGTTGTCTTGGGCGACAGGAGGGAGGCGGTCCGGCAGTAGGAGTCGACCTGTTGCTGGACTGAGGGAGCACGGATGTCGTTGGGGCAGTTGTTGTAGCAGCTGGTGATGATTAGTATATGAAGATGATGGAAAAAGGATTATGAAGAAACTTACGTCAAGACAGCCTGGTACGCGGCGCAGAGACAGTCATAGTCGGTAGGCTTGCACGCGTTGGCCTATCGAGGTAGCAAGTCAGTCAAGATGCCCTCAATTTTTTTTTGTAAATGAAAAGTGGTTATCCGTACAGTCTTGGTAGTTGAGTTGAGGCAGTCCTCGAGGATGTAGTCAGCCAGACAGGTAGAGCCTGGGGTATCTGGCGAAGTAGCAGAGCTGGCGGCAGAAACGCCGACGGCAGCGAAGAGAAGAGTCGCGAAGAACTTCATCTTGTGTGGTAGTAGATGATTTTTGAATCACAAAAAGTGGTATATATGAAGATGAATGCTGGAGTGATAAGAAAAGCAAAAAGACCAAAAAAGAAGCCTCTCTAATGCAATGCGTGGAAGATGGTGGATGTGTATTATTACAAAGTTACGGAAGAAGAAGAAAAAAAAGTAGAAAGGAAGAGAGGGAGGGAGAAGGGAGAAAAATAAATAGGAAGGCCCCCCCCAGGGGAGTAAGGTGAAGTCTTATTTGGAAGCGACGAGCCGGGGGGGCGTGGTAAGTGGCATGTTGGGGTTTCTCAAGGCCCCGGATTTCATCGTCGAGGTTGCATGGGGCGACGGCCGAATTCGCGGTCGGCAGATATACTTTGTACTGTACTGCAGTGGAGAGAGTAAGAGAGGAAGGGAGGAATCGTTCAATGGCATCTTGCCTGCTTGGTTTGGATATGATGTGAGCGTTCTTGCTGTGTGTTGCTGGGCTTACAAGTACATGCTGCTCTGTTTGATGGCATTCAGGGGATCACAAGCAAGATGCTCGTATATGGAAGATCTAGGGCGCATCCCAGACTGACGATGCTACAGTACTACGGAGAAATAAAACCAATTGTGTTCTGTACAGATGGATGTATCTATGGTGTGTGCTTAATAGAGTTTGCACAGGGAGGAGCCCGAGGCTAGAGATATCACATCGCGTCTTGTGCGACTGGCGGTGATACCCAGACGGAACCACCATCGTTGATATAGCTCCGTCGAGAGAAGACCAAGAAAGAACAAACCTCGTATTGCTAGACGCTATGCAGGAGGCTCCAGAAGACGACCTTCTGCTTATCATAGACTCCATGCCAATATGGTGTGTTGTGTCATGTTTTGTTGTCGTGCAAGTATGGATGCATCACAAAAGGGATGCGAGGTCAGGGAGCTTGGAATCCATCCCTCTAAGACAGGCCAATCGTAGCACCCGGTCTAGAATAGCGAGCGCGGCTGTTTGTGGGGACGTAGCTCAACTGAGATGGGAGCTGGAATAACGAGAGCGCCAGCGGTGTTTAGTGCCTGGAGTAGCGGCTGGTAGGGGCTGCGCCGGCGCTGTAGGTCCGGCAAGTCTACCGTGGCATGGCACTGAGCGGGTGCTCGGATTGGCCGGGCGAGCAAGGGATAGAGTTCAATAGCTGCGACATGCCCCTGTGACGGCGCAAAGTAAAACTCCCTTTCTCGCCTGTGCTTTTTTTATGTTGCTGTGTTTTCCCGTCTTTCATCATGGCGATCCCCCGGGACGAAAAAGCTTCTTCTCCAGATGGGGAGGGGGGCTTTTGCCAGCAAATACGGAGTACCTGGTCGAGTCGGCGAGTCTGAGCTTCGCTTCTGGGATTTTGTTCACGGGGGGTCCAGGCAAGAATCGGTGTGGAAATTCCGCCAGGCGGTCCGAGCTTTATTGGGGGCGTTCTCTGTCGTTTGTGATTTTCCATCAATACATACTGGACAAGGGCTGTACTGTACGGCACAGAGGTCTCAGGCTGAAGACCATGGTTCGTGTGCCGCGCCTGTAAGCGGTTGATGGCTTTGTGCTTTGTGCCTGTGCGGCTTCTACCCCTGGGCGGGAGGCGCAACGCCACAGCTGTTGACCTTGTGATTTGAGGTGCGGCTGAGAGTTGAAGGGCTTCTCTGGGAAATGAGAGTGAGTCGGTGTTTCTGTCAAGGGTCCACCTGATTATGGTGTTGGTATTGCAGTACAACGGTTGCCCGTTGTTGTACCCGTACAGGTACGAAGGGGTTGCACTTCATATGGAGCTGGTAATACTGCCACATGCTAAGTACTTGCCTTTTGGGGGCATCTGCAGCTTCAACGGTGCCGGCCAGGCTGGAAATATTCCGTTGCGGGTGTCTTAGATGGAGATTACGGCACAGAAGCCGAGAGTCGCCATGGTAACATCATCGTGCCAGGGTGAGTAGAGGCGACGGGTAACTTGGCAGTCTCAACAGACGCTTTACTTGGCCCTTACAAGTATTGATTCCATTAAAGACATTGGTTTAATACTAGCATCTCATTGTTGGGTATCACTATCACAATGCTTGTGATGTATCTCAGCAACGTACAAATAATAACCCTGTTGCCTTGCTGAGGGGGATCCCAAAATGCTACCTGGTACAGCATAATTCTCCAAGCCATTGGCCAGCCCTCTTGCTCATAAACTACCTGCCACCCACTGCCTTGCCTCGTCAAGAAACTGCTCAATGGCATAACCCAAAATTCTTGATGCCTGATGCATCCATCCTTACGAAGATGCACTTGCTGCCGTCGATGACGACACACCTTGTAGGCAGATGAATAAAATCACAATGTACAGGTATACTGTGGATATTCAACTTCTACACGCAATGCAACCCCTCTCTGTATCGTGTCATCCTATAAAGCCATCTTCCAATCGTCCTCAAGAACTCATGGACGCATCATCATCAGCAGCTGTTCCTGAAAACGTCATCGTGCCCCTCAGCCTTTTCAGTATTGCTCGAGAACAGCTAAGGAACTAGGCGGTGCATCATTGGAAGTAGCTCGCGATTTAGCTTGCGCGGACCTCTCCCCAGTGCCCCACCATCGACTTACACTTGTCGTTTCAACCCCTCCTGAATCCCGAAGCTTGCCTGCCTCGAGACCAGATCAATCGACAAACTTTAACCGACAAACGAGGCTATTATCGATCTTCTCAAAGTCCAGCCAGTCACAATCATGGCTTCCATCAACATTGAACGCATCTTGGCAGCGGCTCCTGTCACAAGCCGAGGGCAGGGAACCCAGCTGTCGGCAGACTCCAAGGGAAAGAGGATCGCGTACGCAGTGAGTTGCCCAGCACTGACCGCATCTTCGCGGGCCGGATACCATAGAAGCGAGTTGCTGACTTGATTTGATGCGATGTGTAGTCCGGCAAGTCCATCTTCGTTCGCTCCATCGACGACCCCGCAGACTCCAAAGAATATACCGGCCACACCAATCCTACGACCATTGCCCGGTTTTCGCCCAACGGCTTCAAGATTGCCAGTGGTGACTCGGCCGGTGTCCTGAGAATATGGGAGCCCGAGTCCATCGAAACCACTCGGGGCGAGTACAACATCATCTCCGGCCCGTTGCTGGATGTTGCTTGGGACGGCGACTCCCAGCGTATCATTGCTGTGGGTAATGGCCGACAGAAGTTTGGCAAGGCAATCATGGTCGATAGTGGCAACTCGGTGGGAGAGATCATTGGACATACCAAGTCTATCAACGCTGTTAGCATCACACCAAAGCGCCCTCTGCGTGCTGTCACTGTCGGCGATGACCGCAACGTCAACTTTTACCACGGTGTCCCATTCGAGTTCAAGAGCGCCACGACCCTACACACCGGCTTCGTATTGAATGCTGCCTACTCGCCCGATGGATCGACCTTTGTGACTGTTGGTCAGGATAGACGGATACAGTTGTACGATGGCGTAACGGGCGAACCTCTCAAGCAGATTGGTGAGGGAGAACACACTGGTAGCATCTTTGGTGTTTCATGGACCCAGGACGGAAAGAAGTTTGCAACGGCCAGCGCCGATCAGACAGTCAAGCTGTGGGACGCCGATTCGGGCAGTGTCATTCAGACTTGGAAGTTTGGCGACGGAGTCAGTGTGCGTGACCACCAGGTTGGAGTTGTCATCCCGCACGGTCGAACAGACGGTCTCATCATCAGCATCAACCTGGCTGGTGAGCTGACTTACCTGCATGAGGGCAAGAGTGAGCCCGTCAGAGTTATCCAGGGCCACGATAAAGGAATCACTGCCCTGATTGGTACGTCAGATGGCAACGGAGTCCTGACTGGCAGTTTCGATGGCCGTGTCTGCTCCTGGGACCTTGAGACCGGTGATGCGACTGTCCTCGATGGCCAGTCTCACACGAACCAGATCGCCCAATTCGCCGCCAGCTCCGGTAAGGTGTACAGTGTAGGATGGGACGACAGTATCAAGACGATTGATGAATCTGCCAAGACTTTCCTTGGCGAGTCATCAAAGTTGTCTGGCCAGCCCAGGGGCGCAGCTACAGCCGGTGATATCGTCTATGTGGTCGGCACCAACGGCGTGGCAGCTTACTCCAACGGCAAACTGATCAAGGAGACACCTCTTGACTTTACACCAGATGCTATTGCAGCTTATGGATCCTATGTCGCTATCGGAGGACAGCAGAACACTGCAAGAATCTATATCAGCGACGCGAACGGCAACTTGGAATACAAGGAGTCCGTGTCCAGCCCCCTCGGCACCATTACTGCTCTAGCCTTCTCCAAGGACGGCAGCCACTTGGCCACTGGAACAAGTGTTGGAAAGATCCTCGTTTTCAAGGTTGGATCTTGGGAGCTCGTGACGGACCGCTGGTCGGCACATACTGCGCGAGTTACTTGCATTTCCTGGGAAGAGACTGGCGCATATGCCGCCAGTGGAAGCTTGGATTCCCACATCTTTGTCTGGTGCCTGGAGAAGAAGCTCCAGGGCCAGCGTATCAAGGCGCCCAATGCCCATCTCGACGGCGTGACGGGCATCACTTGGGTTGCAGGCGGACGACTGGCAAGTTCCGGAAAGGACGCGACCGTCAAGGTCTGGGAAGTCAACAACCTTCCTTGATCAACTTGTAAATTAGAAAAAATGCCTTTATCTTGTTTTCTCGAATTTCATCATGATTCCCAGTCATTATATCTAGTCTCAAATAGATAGGCATGCTTGCGTCCGACTAGCCTTCCCAAACTCCGTGCCTGAAATCGCAAATGTCATAAAGTGAAGCCTTCCTGTTAACCAGTCAACAAGGACAGACGACCGCAGAGGCCAAACGCCTAGTCATTGGCCATCTGAGCGTCCTCTTCCTTCTCCACCTCTTGAGGGTGCATGTCCCAGAGGCGAAGACCGCCGGGATTCTTCTGCGGCTTGACTGCGTGAGGGGGCCAGCGAGACTTGTTGTCTTCCCAGAGCAGATCGACCTTATGAATCGCTCCTTGGAGGTCCGTATAACTAGAGATGGATATGGGATTAGATGCTAGATTCGACTTTTTCTCCCACCATTTCTTGAACGCGAGAATTCTCACCTTGCTGTGCTCGTGATAGCGTAGCCTTCTTTTGCGAGGTGTTTGGCCATCTCTACTTGGTGATTGTCCAGCAGCTCCTCGTTTGGCACGACAATTACTGGAAGGCCAACTTTCCATGCATCAAGAATTGTTCCAGTTCCTTGTCAGCTGTATTAGCATTGCCATTTTAATCTATCCATCAGGAGGTGAACAATCCATACCTGCATGAGAAATAACCAAGCCATTACGGCGCGATCCGTTGGAAGCCTTGCACAGCAACATTTCATCCTTCATGAGATTCTTTGTGGATTCAAAGACGTCAACCGTCAATCCTTGTGGCACATCATCCTGGAGAGAAGTTAGCTGGGCGCTTGCCCAGCTAATATCCGGGCCGCACTGGATGCGAAGTGAGGTGAAGCCCTCTGAGCTGAGGAACTGCCAGAATGCGGGATGGAGGACTTGTTCCGTCAGCTGTTTGAAGCCGACGGTAGCGCCTACTGTTACTAGACAATTTCGTGGAAGAGCTGCCATGTTGAAACTGAGCCGGCAGAAGCCATGGATGAGGAGGAATGGAATTGAGTTTGATATGGATCACCAGAGCTCTTATAAGCTCCGTTCACCAAGGTGTACTCTAAAGGTACATGCGATATGTACCTTGAAGCGCTTCCTCCAAAGAGCTACGGCCGGTGAATGCTGATTAGCCGATATTTTGCCTTGGTGAGCTGCCAATGGGAGGTTGGACCGGGAGAATCTCGGCCGCGATTGTCATCCCACCAAAAATTTGAGATCCATATGTTGTAGTCCCGCATCCCGCGCAACGAACGATACCCTGGGGCGGGCATTGCGAATTCGATTCAATTTGGCATGGCTTCAGCATCGAGCGCCGGAAGGCTGTGCATACTGGCCTGCCGGCAGGCTCTTCGAGTGCCGCGGATGCCTCGAACACAGCCAATTGCCTGGCACGCTCCGACAATAAGCCGAGCTTTTGCTACATCTCCACGACGGTTGGCAGACGAAAAGGCCGGTCAGGAGGGAGAGGATGGCGATGGCGATGCGTACAAGACGCTGGATCTGAAGTTGATGAACAAGGCTTTCCTGGATAGCGTCACTCCCGAGAGCTTGAGGCAGCTGGACGAGCTTGCCAAGAACAACGGCTACACAAGTGTGGACGAGTACCTTGAGGCAACGCTGAGGGAGACTCCGGGCTGGGCTTCAGAGGACAGAGCACTGGAAGAAGATCTTTTCAGAGACGATGCTGGCGAGAAGCCGAACAAGACATCTTTCTGGTTTGACGAAGACGATCCCGAGACCAACACCGAGGAGCACGATGAGTTTGACGAGGATGACATTACGTCCATGGCGCACGGCAAGCTGGATGAAATACGAGATATGCGACACTATGCTCGGTTGGCAATCTGGGAGATGCCTCTTCTTGCCAGTGAGTGGCTCTTTGTCCCGAGTTTACACGTGTTTTTATCTTAGCTGACACTTGACATTGAAGAATTCGCGAAACCGTTCGTTCCCCCTACAGAGAAGCAGGTGTTGAGATGGAGGTACACGACATACATGGGCGAATCTCACCCCGCTGAGAAGAAAGTGGTCGTGCAGTTTGCCCCCGACGACCTGAAACTCACGCCTGTCCAGGCCGAGAAGCTGAAGAAGCTTGCTGGCCCACGATACAACCCAGAGACAGAACTCGTCAAGATGAGCTGCGAGAGCTTTGAGCACCAGGCACAGAACAAGCAGTACCTGATTAATCTGGTCAATGACCTGATTACGGCGGCCAAGGACCCCAAGGATACTTTTGCCGACGTGCCCCTCGACCTTCGACACCACAAGATCGAGCCAAAGCCTCGATTCCCCAAGGAGTGGCGGCTTACGGAGGAGAGGAAAAAGGAGCTGGCTGAGTACCGACAGAAGGCGGCTATTGCTGATGTGAAGAGAGCTGAGGAGGGACTCTTGGTGGATGGACAGAAGCTGATTGACAACTTCTTGATACAGAAGTTGGCAGAGGAGCAAGAGAAGGAGAGGGTTGCGGAGCTGGCGGCAGCAGTACCAAGGATGGGTAAAGCAACTGGAGGAGCAGCAAGGGCAAGGAGGTAAAAGAGGAATACCTCGGGAAAAAGCAAGCATAGAACGGGGGGCGATGTATATGTCCGTGTCTACATGAGCTGGTGTTTGCTGCTGGGACATGCACTGTTTGAAAGGATGCGAAAAAAGAGGAAATGTATAATAGAGGACGTGGGCACCGCTTTGGTTGGGAGGCGGTTGGATGTACAATATGAAACCTGACGTCGAAATTATTTTATGAGTTGCATGAGAATGAGGTGTGTTGTTGCTGAATATTAAGTTTCGTGTGTGTGTAGCAAGTGTATCGGCGCCGATTTCAACGCTATGATTAACTCACTTCGCCTTCATTACTTGTATAAATATCATCCCTCATTTGTTATGTTTGCAGATTGATATAATAAGTTGGTTTTAATATTGGAGAATTTACCGACGATGCTAGTATCACAGCTGGGCTTATCACACTTCGCCGTAAAAAAACCATCAAAGCAGCTGTATGGACATTTCGAGCTACGGAGACGCGAGTACTGGAACATGCACACGATGAGAACTGTTTTGACTCGTGACTGGTTAATTAAAGAGGATCGAGAGGTTAACATATTGCAGTAGCTATCCAGCTTAGCAAATACCCGAAGCAAACATTGAAAAGGAAGCACTTTGTTAACTTGGATCAAACATGTTGAGCTGGGAGCTCATTGTGGAATATACATGTAGCATTGCTCCATTGTCTGTAAAATATTACACATCCCATGTCTAATCAAATAGTCCAAACATTGCACGATATCTCATAGCCCCAGAACTGGGAGTGGCTGAGTTAATAACACTGCCTGAGGTGACTCTATCAGTTGCTGTTGCACTAGTAGAGGAATCTTTCGCAGTTGTAGCAATGGAGCTGACACTGGTTGTGGTGGAAGACCTAGGCGACTCAGAGGCAGTTACAGGCGCGAAGACATTAAGACGCCCCTTGCCGCCACATATCTCCGTCTTATCACCACTACATGGGAGGTTGCAATCGGTCTCATTTCGAGACGTCTCTCCGGCAACAAATCTGCTGCACCAGCATTGATTGCCTTCCTTCACACCAGCATATAGAACGGTGCGGTTGACAGAGGCGGCCCAGCATGTTGATTGGCAGTCTGAAACTTTGAGAGACGTATCGCCACCCTCCTTAGAGTATTCTTTCTCCATGACTGGCCATGCCGGATCGTCATCAGTATAGCAGCCAAGGGCCTCCCAAGCTGTAGGGGAAGGCACGTGAGTAGATACACTCGTAGAAGTGGTGGAAGTGGTGGAAGTAGTTTTTGAAACACGAGCGGTGCTCGTAAAAGAAGCCCATTTCTCCCTGGTCAGGATACAATAGGATACCGGATACCATGGCTTGCAGTCTAAACCAATAGATGGATTCCATGCATGGAAGTCCTCTGGGGTAATGCCAAACATATCCCTGATATATTCACAGGTCTCTGTGCCGCCATTGTCGTACCACTCTATGCAGCTGGAGATGGTGTTTGGATCCCACTCCATCTTTGGCCTTGGACCGGCGGCTTCGCAGAGACGAACAACGAAGGCCAATGCCAAGAGGCCTTGTGAAGATGAGACCAACATGGTGAATGAAATTTGCGAGGTTCGGAAACCTGTGATATGAGGGAGTCAAGCAGCTTGAAGAAGAGAGTCAACTGTATTGAGAAAACATGAGCAGCAAACCAAGGCCTGTCTTAAGGGTGTTGCATAGTATTGGGAAAAGGAGCCAAAGGGGGAGCGAGCCTGTTTCTGATATCTTGTAAATGTCCTTAAGAGGGTGGCTCGCATGAGTCTTACATACATGTACATAGCTCGTAGCATGTGCTTGTACGTAAGTTTTAAAGGTACTTGGAAGTACTTGCTCCAGTGAGCAGAGGAGTTAACTATACCGCATCGAGAGGGCAATTTCCGAAATCTACGAGCCGCTGTTATTTGTACGTACGAGTATCAAGTATTTTGTATGTGAGTCAGATGTTGGCTGTGTTGAAATGTGGATTGATGTTACCGCAAGGATTCGCTACGGCGGGCTAAACCCGCAATGCGTATGAGCTTGCCAAGGGGCAAATGCTGTTGGTCGTGGAGTTTGCCTTAAGTCAACAAAAGAACTTGCCTGTTGCATCCTAGTGAAAACCGCTGGTGCTTTTCTTAGTATTAGCAGAGGATTTTAAAGGGGAATCGGGTTGAAGTGGCGACGGCGATGAAGTGGGCTTGAAGTTAAGCTGTAAGGTTGTATTTAGAGTCCTGGGACTAGCTATAATAGTCATGATGCCGACAGGGGCAAGTGATTGATCAAAGGCCCATTCATTCGCAAGGCTTAGGACCAACATGCATTAATGATTAATTATTCACTCACGGCTGACTCTTTGCTCTTCTGTATCTATGTCCCTGTCGTACTTTCTTTTCTTTTCTTTTTTCTTTCCTTTTCCCCGCCTGTCTTCAAGACCATTGAAGTTTCGGCACTTCATTCAACTCCGTAAAATGGAGTTGCCTAACCATATACGAAGCCATGTGAAGCCAAGCTGAAACAATAGAAACTCATCAACACAATGTCCACTTTTCATCCCTTTCCGCGTCTTCCGTCAGAGCTTCGCGCTTACATCTGGAGCCTAGCAGCGCATCCTCGGCTCGTTCATGTGCGCGTGGTGAAGGAGCCCTTTGAAGTTGTGCATGTTGTTACACCTACGCCATCCCCAACGGTTATGCAAGTCTGCCACGAGTCTCGACGACATGGACCATATCGCCGGGCCTTCATAATCGGTTCCAAGCCACGCTACATCTGGGTCAATTTTGAGATAGACATGATTTGCCTGCGAAATTTAAATGCATTGATGGCTTTTGAGCCGCATAAATTGGACATACAGAGGCTCATGATTTTTGCCAGGGACGGCTGCTCGCGATTCGACGGATACTACGACTGGGAGGTCGATGAACTTCGAAATTTTCCCGCCCTGAAGGAAACTCATATTGCAATTGATTATGGATGCTTGGGGTGGTCAGCACTCTTTGAAGAGCGCTACTGGGGAGCATGTCCTAGGGGAAACATTAGGTTCATCGACACCATAAGCGGAATAATGCTGAATGGCTATCAGCTTTCAGCGGCGGCTGATTGGGGTATATTTCATTCTTGGGATGGTGGAGGAAAAATAGAAGATGTAAACAATCTTGAAGAGGATATCAGGATTGCGGATGATTATACGCATATGAGTCTATCTGATATCAGGGCCGTAGAATAATATACCAATGGAAATGCAATTAGAAAAGAAGAAAGAGGAATAGACGGATTTATTTATTCTGCTATAGTAATCAATTCTTGAAAAATATTAAACCTTGAAACAAATTGAATACATCTAGACCGGGATATGGAAATAGGGGAATACACCATTACTTTCTTCGATTTCACAACTGTATTTCTATGATATATCTATCAAGTCAACTATTAAGCTACCCTCTGCATTGGCATGTTACAAATTTTCAAGTCCTCTTCTAGCAGAGCAACAACTCCACAGTAGACATCATGGCGGACGTCTTCGTCTTCTAAATTGATATCCTTCCCCTGAAACTCGCCATCGATGCAGCGACGCACTGCGCTGCCATAATTGGAGCTAGTCTGAAAGACATCACCCAAGAGCCTTTGTGCAGTCATATAAATTGAGAGAGGATAAAGGTCATCCCCAAGCCTTTCTTCTGGTACTTGAAGAGACTCGATAGTTTGGCCGCGGTGAAGTTCAATTAATAGTACCCCAATCGCCAGTAGCGTTGGGTTTTGGATGATGTAGACAGCCTTTGATTTACCTTCCACCTTGTCATTTTTAGCCATGAGAAATGGCCGATCATAGTAAGAAAAGCTTCCACTCTGAATAAAGTAGATATCTCGGCTGCTCGGCATTTCGTGCAGCCATGGAGTCTTGTAAAATTGCAGTACGCTTCTTGCGACGAATACTGCAAGCTGGAGCCGTTGTTTGTACGTTGGAGGAGTTTGTCCACTCCGAGTTTCCAGACTATCCTTCAACGAGACCATTCTCCAGTTATTCTCGCCTAGTGAGGATAAATTCGATGGGTAGACCGTATAGCTTCTTGTGTTTGTTTGAGATCGATCGGAGATTACGCCCAAGCAACCCGATCTCTCAGAAACTGGTGATTTCTTCAATTCACCACATATGTTGATACTTGACTGAGTAATAGGTACAATTAAGTCAGCCACTGTTGTTTCAAGAGATATGCTGGTCTCAAAGTTTGTTACCAGGGAAGTTTCCGTCTGAACCATGGTGGTTGTGGAAGATGAGGAGAATCGAGAGAGAGAAAACTTGACGGATTTCCTTTGCTTGGTAGAACATATTATTTGTTTGGCAGTGTTTGACAGCATATTGGGTATCTGAGCTGAACTTTGCAGCGGTAGACTTGCTCGTATGAGAAGCTCCTCCCATTGTTTGTTTGTCACAATGGATAGAGATTCTTCAATTTGTGATTGAGTCAATGACACAGCAAGATGAACTTGCAGTTTTTGGATGACATATTCTTCATCATGACTGGGAGTGAGGTCGTCCATGCAGTCTGAGACACGCATTGATATGCTATGCTTGCACGCACATGTTAAGCTGGAGCTGATAGCGCGATAAACGCTAGAAGACAGGTTGTGTATGATGTTTAGAAGCCGGATATGTGATCTAACCCGTCTTTTTGGCTCAAGCTCGATGTTCATTGTTGCTAAAGATTCGAGATTTGAGATGCCATCTTTTACAGTGGCTAAGAGGCTGTCATATGTTGACCGACGCAAGGTAAACCCGGCACGCTTGAGTTCTTTGGCTACCACAGATGTGTCCGACCATCGTACCTGGAGCCGTGTTATAAATTCCATCCATGTCTTTCAACGATGTTATGATGACTCACGTCGCCCCCGCTTCCTAATCTCTCATTCATATCATTGATAGCTATCTGGATGTCTTTCAATGTCTGTTCAAACAGACTCCATGACCTCCACAGCCTAGCTCGAATCCTGTTCTTAATATCCTCATTCATCCACAGATCGCCACCAGGCTCTTCTACCATGGCATCAATTTGGGAGGGGGGGACCAATCCGTCCAAGAGCTTTTCACACACATTTTGAAGCTTTACCCGCTCGGTCTCGATATTCCGAATCAAACGCTGTAACTCTATGTCGTATTTCCGCCAGCGTTGTATTACCCGCACTCCATTCTTATAGTTTTCAAGAGCCGAAATGACTAGCGGAATGGCTCCGAGTACGGCCCCCGCGATCTCGAACCCAGACATGGCTACATGTATAAGCTTGTCCTCTGATCAATGAAGAATAGAATTGACTGCTGGCTGACATGGATGAGACAAGACAGCTGGTGAGTAGAGCGGGGTAGTATTGACACTACATGCATATGCATGTTGCGTTACAGGAGAGAGATGACTAAAGGACAGCTCGACGAACGAGGAGAGGTTATTCAATGCCCCGCCCTTGAGCCTCATTGAGGACCGGAACCAATAGCGAATGTAAAACAGCGCTGTTTGTTTTGGTTTTCTAATCCTTTGTAGAAAATCTAACGTCAGTCTTCTTGGTTTCACTGGTTATTCAGTAATATCGCTAGAAATGGAAGATGCTAGCATTGCAAAGTCGGTTAGAAAGTGCCTCGAACTATTCCGGACGCTTGCCTCATTACCCTCGCCTCCCGCCAATGCGTCTTATCAAACGGCGTTGATGGCCATTACGGAAGACGAACCCCGCTTCAAAATTTGGTCCGGAAATATGGGCGCGCACACGTCGGGGAGGCGATCGCTGCAGTACCGTCTTCGAGATGCGTCTCACTTACAAAAGCAAGTACTTGCGCTTTTAGCGGATCTGTCGGAGTTGCTAGAGGACGCCTTGGCCATTGTGTGTGGGAGCAAGATCCCGTGGGATCAAATTGAAGATGATGAGATTTTGGCCGACGAACCTGACTTCCTGCAAGACTCGAACAGTAATGACAGTGAGCTTCAAACAACGGAACTGGAGCAAATCGCCTCCAATGTACCAGATACTATCGATTGTCTTCTACGATTAAGCGTCGCTATAAGAAATCCGGCTCCTCACGACCACTTTGCAGCATCCGTTCCACTAGATGTATCACATTATGAACCATTCGATATTCAACACGTCCAAGATAAGTTTCAAAATATAGACAGAATCTTGGCCCAGAGACTAGGACACGCAATTTCTAGGCGACGACAATACTTTAAATATCGGGAAAGCCACCACTTGAAGCTTGCTCATGGTCTAAATCTCACAGACCAAACGGATGGCGAAAGTACCATTGCAAGCTCAATACCAGGCCATGCCAAGAATGCTGGCTTTAATAATACACTATCTACGATAGATGAAGATGCTGTCTCGGATTCAGGTATTTCGCAAACATCGTTTGCGTCTTCCCTTGCGGATATAGAGAGACTTCGCATCCCCCTGCCTCCCAAAAGCGCTGAGAGTGGTCCTTTTGAATGCCCTTTTTGTTTTATGATCATCACTGCTACAAACAGAGTGTCATGGAAGTGAGTTTGAAGCACCAACCCGAATTTCTACATCAAAGTGGATGCTGACACCAACCATCAAAGGCGACATGTGTTTGCCGATCTCCGACCATATGTCTGTCTATCAGAGGATTGCACGGCAACAGAAAAGTGGTTTGCTAGAAGGCATGAGTGGATTATGCATGAGGTCGAAAATCATTGGAAGTTATATGTCTGCCCACACTCATGCAACGAGTCTTTTCAGTCCCGATCTAAGTGCATAGAGCATGTCGACAAAAGCCACCCTGGTGTTATACCAACATATCAACTTGAGGCTGCGATCAATCTCAACTCTAAGCCAATTCGAGCAGAAGATGGGATAGCTTGTCCCATTTGCAAGGAGAGCCTTGATTCGGCGAAGAAGTATCAGCGTCACGTTGGGAGACATCAAGAGCAGCTTGCAATTTTTGCTCTTCCCTCTACACAATCCCAGGAAAATGAGCATGACTTTGGTGATGATGATGAGAGAAGCCCAAGTCAGAGTGATGTAAACTCTGGGGGCATTAGTAACTCTGATGGTGGAGCGCATTTGGAGGAGCTTCAGGTCAATGACGACAAAGAATCAGCTCCCTTCTCCTCCGCCGTGGAGGAGATCGAGCCACTGGCTCCTGAGGCCCAGCCTGCCGCCCCAGTCTACCTTGTGGCAACCACAGACAATTCCTTCAGCTCAATTAGGCCTATGATTAAGGAGAGGCTCTCCAACAGGCCATGAAGGCTTGGTCTAACCCTCATGGGACGTACCCCGTGCCAGAGTGCGAGGACGACGACATTGGCTGGCCCACAGTGGAGGAATTGGATTATCACATCGTTGAAGAACATTGCTTTTTTCAACCTTGTTCTTACAAGCCAAAGCTTACGACAAGTTACATACAGCACCTGGAAAGCGCCCACGGCTGGAAAGAAAAAGGATCTACTACAAACAATTCCTCTGGCTCTATGCATAACACTGCTGTGTCTGTAGACAGTGTCTTACGAAATCATATCGATGCTGGGCGATTACAACCCCAGACCGGCACGTTAGATTACCGCTCTGGAAACCAGGACCGCGGCTCGTCTATATATAGACCTGGCCTCGGGGAGTTTGGAGACATTGGACGTAAAGAAAACGACAAGTACTTTAATTCTTTGCAGTATCAAGAGTACACAAGCGGAAGCACGCCGATGTCCTTAACTGCTGAGACTTTACGCAAGGCATCTAAGCGTGAAGAGCCAGCTAGTAGCAGATCTACCAGAAGCAGCAGTACAGGTAGCCATAAAGAGAGCAACTACAATCAAAGTAGCCACACAACTGGATTCACCATACAGTCGTCGGCAGCCCCTTTTGTGACATCGCAGCAGTCCAGTCCCTGGATGTCGCAGTTTCCCGAGGTGCCACAGCAGCAGCCACCACCACCACCGACGCTCCCTCCTTCTTCTGCTGTGTCGGTTAGCCCCATAACTCCGACCGCCTCGATGACACTCAGCCCAATTACGAAGAGTAGCAGTATCAGCAGTCTTCTCCCCTCGAATCCTCCGGTACCACCGGTGCCTTCTCCGTCGGGATATCACATGCGGTTCAGCCCTGCCCAGCTGGAGCATGAAGAGAGCAACCGCAGTGGTATCCGGGAGCCTGCATTTCAGAACACCACGTTTAAGAATAGTGTATGGAACAGAGCACACTATGGTAATCCTGATTTTCACCCCGAAGAGTACATTCCGGATGAAGACTACTAGGAAAGGCGTAATGGTCATGCAAAGACGAAGAGCAGCTCGTGAGACGGGCTATTGATTACCCAAAAAAGGCACCAGGTGTCTACGCCCATTGATGATGAGACAGTCAATTCAACCGTACTTTTCCATTGACCTAGACTAAGTGACTACAATTAAAGCAGCCACACAACTGGATTCACCATACAATCGTCGGCAGCCCATAATGACGATTAAACCATCAAAGTCTCAGGCCAGGCGATCGTTAAGGTTCCAGGCGCCCAGATCGAGTACGACGGAGGTGAGACAGTCAATCACAGCAGAGGAGCTGGGGCCGGAGCCGGAGCTGGACTTGGCTCAAGAATGCCCGGCGCTTCTTATGCTGGCAGCGACAAGGAAATTACCGTCTTCGAGCTTGATGATGCGCGTAGCTCTCGTATGGATCGCAAAGCACTGCCGCGCATCCAACCAGTTTGATGTTCACAATCGCATCTACGCTCCAATCCATGCCCCGTATTCGCAGCAGCAGAGGAGCCAGAGGCTGAATGACGACCCAACAAAAGGCGACCTTGAAAAGATAAACAGCAAAAAAAAGCATGCAACCCAACAGTTGAAGAAGTAAATCCCGGCCCCATGCCGCCAAGGAGGCGTCCGAGCAGGAGGAGAAAGAGGAGAGCTGGTCATTTTGATGATGTAGAAAATTACAGACTAAATGAAAACAAAGGAGAATATCCAAAAAGCATGGGCAGAAAGTGTCCCCGCTGTCTTTGGCTAATGCCTGCACCAATGCATCTGCTTCCACTCCCATCAACGGGAGTTTCCTAAAGAATTTAACTTCAGTTTCTCCAAATTTTTGATGCAAGCTTAACATGCGCCTTACATTTATCAACCACTATTCATTCCAGCTGTGCTTATCACTAAAATAGTACTGTAGACACGAATCCCCTGTCATCTCTTTTCGCTGTGGCAGATGTTTAACCTGGTCATCGAGACCTTGATTTTCGCATTGCTGACGCTTTGAAGAGGCCAAAACTGTTAGTTAACTGTCCCTCACCTTGCGTTTCCTGATTTCGTAGCTACCTATCTTGCTCGCATGCTGTTCTTGAACTTAGGAAGCGCCGAGTTTGCTGACGATATGGGCTTCGATACTACCTCCGTAGCTTGGCAGCTTGGACCACGGCTATGTCACCATTCCTAGGGCAAAGCAACGTTCCGTCTGGAGTTATTGTACAAAGGCGAGCCTCGTCGCCGGTGGCCCAGTCTCCGGGGAGGAAGTAGTACCGCTCAACTGCCTTCACGCTTGACTCTGAAGGCTTTCCTGTCCAGGATGGCAAGCGCCAGGTACAAATCCAATGGTCAACATCAAGAAAGACTAGCCTTGAGCGAGACAAGAAGGCCAGCGGCTGACGTATGCGAGATGCTATTTCTGCTGAAATGAGAATGGACGGGATTATTTCATTGCTTCGGCCTGATTCCTCCTTAGATGATGAGGTTGAACTCAGAAGTTACCTGCCAGCCAGTGGGGTTCTCGCTGGATCTAACAACTTTCTTAATTGCAAGTTTTCCACTAAGGTCTGCAAGGGAAACAAGGCGTCCATCTTCGTTCCATGTTACATGCTGAATGCTCAATGGACATGTAACTCATCACTCTTTCCAGCTCACAAACTCTCCCGTGTCCAACTTCACAAAGGGTTGCTACCCCATCTTCTGTGCCATAGCAGTACAGTGGGCCTACCGACTGTCCAGGAAGAGTAATAACACTGTCAATCCGGGCGACACGGTGCTCTGAGAGCAGAGAGGCTCTCGCGAGGCTCTCGGTCTCACTGCAAGAATCGTTATGGTCCCAGGCGTCTGCTAGACGGACCAAAAAATTAGGTTCCCACACATTGCTATAAGAACCACGTATATCGTAGAGCCGCTTTGAGTCGATACTGAATGAGAGACAAATCACGCGTCTCTCCCCACGACCCATTGATATCATATGTGTCGTGATATTTTCGGCCTCGTGGAATCATACCTCCTTCACAATCAGTCCGCCCATAGAGTGAACTAAGAATATGATGGGTCGCTGCCTCAGGAGTTAGCTTGCTCTCTGACAAAACGCGTGGCCAATGTGGATAATTTTACTTCGCTCATCCGTAGATTTCCAGGTTCTGGAGCCGACTCATCCTGAGCATACTTAAGATCGTACAAGAGATCTTTCGCGAAATCCAGAATTGACATATTGTTCTTACCACTTGCTGGTCGAAATTTACCATTATATCCAAACGTCAGGATACGCGCCTCATTGATATCAGGCTCCAGCAGAAGAAATTTCAATGGCCAGAAGAAGTCGAGGCTGTGCTTGTGTGCCTATTTCATCCTACTACTCCCTCCTAGGCTATGGATGAGGATGATATCACACTTCGCTCCCCAGGTGGATGATATATTGCTGCTAGCCCCAAAGAGCCTTTAGAAGATACCTCTTTTCCGTGTGATGGAGTATAAGCCTCCGAGTTTGTATATTTATATCCAGTGCTAGGTCGGTGGGGCTTGTGGGGAACTAGGGGGTATGTCGGGTGTAGTCAACGGCGAAAGTGTGTCTCGTGCCTCTTTGTGTCCATCACGACATTGTCCAGCATCTCTTTCTTCTTGAGGAAGCTAAACTTTGTTTTTGGACCTACATGTTCTTGTAAGGTAATTGCCAGAGTGAGTTGCTGCAAGAACAAATCCCGGACGGTGAAAAAACCCACCATATTGTGGAAATATCTGTCTCGGCGTTGAGAATGGGTCAGCGCGCGATTTACTTGAGGCCTTGTCTAGAAAGAATTATAATAAAAAGGCAATTAAAAACACACGGTGTCGGCACGGGCAGCAAAATGTTATCGATATGGCCCACATGGTGCTCATAAACTTATGTTTGGGCATGTAAAAGCGCTCGAATTCGGTGGGGGCGAACTGATCTTGTAAACGCCCAACAGCCCCCAATATCAGGGAGATTGCGGAGTACATGTACATACATAGGTACCTACCTAGGTACATGTAATTCCACAGCATGAATGTACGAGGTATATGTACAACCATGTGCTGACCAACAGAACACAGTCGATTGAACAGTCCAGGATGATCCCTTCTCATAAGAGTTGACCCCCTCCCTGTTTCCCAAGAAGAGTAGCCATACAAATAGACGTAGTCAGCCAGGACGCTCATGCTTGTTGTAGTCTGCATCCAGTTTTAAAAAATTACCATTTCCATTTCGGGGGTTACTTGACATTACCTTGCAGATATGCTTGCAAATCCCGTGTCACCAGAAGTTATCCTAGACCGACTGCCACAGCTCTCGATGGAGCCGCGGTTTGAACAAACAAGTACTGACGAAGCATCTCCTCAACAAGCCCACGCAACATCTCTAGAATATGGCGACAAAATAGCGGTTACAAATAGCCATCAACAGCCATCTGAGCATGTGGACAAAGCAACGTCAATGACGATCAAACAAATTCTTGCCCAACTCGGTGGAGTGTTTCCAATCGACCAAGCCGTAACCGACGATAAAGAGCCCATTGGTGGTTTCCGGTTCTTAAGTTGACTTTATTCTATAGCTCTTCCAGTAGGGAGCGCATTCGTGTCCGTTAAGCATTTCGGAACCAGTGCTTGGACCATAACGGGACGGCTCATTGCCTTGGACCGGGAAGGATCTGAGAAGACTTACTTTGTAAAAGTAGCGTACCACCTTCAGCTGTACAAAAGTCTTTTGCTATAGTCTAACGTACCGCTTTGGTGGCAAGGTTGCATACGGCGAGACGGGCCGTATCATGCTTCACGGCGAGTTCGAGTCATCCAAGATAATCTACAGCACCATGTCAGATTTCATTCCAGAGCCATTCGGGTTTGGCAGGTTCAAGATTCAAAGTCCGCCGACGTACTTCTATCTCTCCAATTTTATCGATATGGATGTCACAACGGCTCCGGATCCAGGAGACTTTTGTCTCAGACTTGCTAATTTGCACAAGTTGAGCAAGTCTCCGAATGGCAAGTTTGGGTTCCATACCCTGACTTGCGACGGCGATAGGGCTCACGTGGTTGACTGGCAAGACAGCTGGGTGGTGTTTTATAGGAATCTGTTCCTTGGTGTCTGCGAGCTTGACGTAAAGCGAAATGGCTCGTGGCCCGAATACGAACGAGCCATCCAACAGGTTGCTTGGAAAGTCATCCCTCGGCTACTTGAACCTCTTCAATCCGAAGGGCGCCAGATCAAACCGTGCATCATTCATGGTGACCTCTGGGAAGGCAATATGGGGATAAAGAAAGAGACTGGAGAAACCGTCATATTTGATGCTGGCTCATACTTTGCTCACAACGAGTTGGAGCTGGGTCACTGGCGGTGCGAGTTCACCTCCGTTTTCTGCAGGAAGGAATACACAGAGCACTACCTGAAGTACTATCCTGCTGCGGAACCAGTGCATGAATTTGAAGACCGCAATAGACTGTATAGTCTGAAGGGCGCTATTAAACACGCAGCTGGACATCCAAAAAGTGATCTGAGGAAAACGTAGGTACGTACCCAGCGTCACAATCATTCCCATGACTGACTCTAGAGCTATCAAGTGCCTACAACAACATGTGCTATTTGTGCGAGAAATATGCTCCCATTGATGGGATTGACAAGTACAATCCTCAAATCGACCCCGCTATCATAGGAGTACGCATTATCCCTCACATTGAGGAAGATTTGATTTGATTTGGTTGGAGGTGTAATGTTGGAGAAGAGTCTGTGTGTTTAATTCCATTGCCGGATAATACCACGTCTCGAGCATTGATGGCATGGAGACAGTAGAGGTCGGTAGTAGTGGTATATTGCCGTATGTCAGTGAAATTATGGAAACTCAACTTCCTCGGTGTGATCTTCAAGTATCTATCGCCAACTTCTTCATGGATACGCCACAACTCGACAATCACTCCATGTCATCTCATGTAATCGACGTCCCTGCAGAGCGAGACCTAACTCCTCCCACCACATACTAGGCCTCAGTGGAGACGACCTGGTCAAGGGAACTGAAGGGGTGGTTATCCTATGATGAGTCACAAGGTTTTTGAAGGCCGTTGGACGTGCGGCAGGCAACATTGGAGGACGGGGGTCTGCTGCGACTGAATGACTTGATGCTCAGACCCTCGGCCGGTCTTTGCTTAACCGACTCTCAGTGTTGTATGGTCCTCGCTCCCGCCTGCCTTTTGGTCTAACCAACGGATGTTGGGGCCCGCCAGCAAGATAATTGTCTTAGCAAAGCAAGACGTGGATGGTATTGATTGGAGTCACCACGCCCACAACCCGACTTCATACTCCGCCAACGATGCAAAACGTATACCTAACCGCCGTACTGGAACGGGGCCATGGTCAACACGTCCAGTCATACTAACAAAGGTCCCCCCTACGTTGGTTTACCTACATTTCCTTTGCTTACCTACATTTGCGGCCGTGGGTCTAATCACCCACCCTGCAAATACGCATATTTCTACGTGGCATATGAAAGTGAAGTTGGATCCCGAAATTTAGTAGGCCTTTGACTTTTCAACATGCTCGGCTGTAACGACTACGAAGAGCAAAATGACGAGCATCGAGTTGGATCCATTGCAGCCACCGACAACGACAGAGGAGCCGGGAAAAGTCCAGCATGTTGACGCCATCTTCACTGATGTGGAACATGAGGATCCTCAAGTCTATTCAGTGTTTCCACTGACGCTGCGTACATACCTCACTTACTTCCTCGGTTTTGCCATGATCTTATCAACTTTGACAGCAACAATCTACTTCCCCCTAATCCCTATCCTCAGCACTCAGCTACAAGTCTCTATCCAGGCTATCAACCTCACGGTGACAGTCTACGCAGTTGCACAGGCTCTTTCGCCAGCATTCTTTGCCTCCCTGGCCGACAGCATTGGCCGCCGTCCCGTGTTACTGTGCCTTGTGACACTCTACGCCATTCCTAGCCTCGGCCTTGCTCTCAATCGCACAAGCTATCCGGCCCTGTTAACACTGCGTGCCCTCCAGAGCATCGGAGGCTCTGCCATACCCTCCATTTCATACGGTATTGTCGCAGATATAGCCCCTGTTGCCGAACGAGGTAGCATGCTGGGTCCTATGCTGTCGACGTGCAACGGCATCTCCGCTATTGGACCAGTTATCGGCGGCGCCGTTGCTCATGGTACCAAAGGTGTGAGATGGGTTTTTCTCTCTCTCTTTATTGTTGCAGCTGTGTGTTTGGTGCTGGTTGGGTTCACGCTTCCCGAGACTGCGCGGACTGTCGTTGGAAACGGCAGCGTGCCAGCCGTGGGAATTTGGCGGACGTGGTGGTCGGTACTTCGAAGTAAGAGGTCTCAAAAAGGAGATGGCTCTGATGAGCCAAATCCAGGCAAGAAAAGGCAAGCCTGGCGAATTTCCAACACTTTTGCTTCGTTCCGCATCATTCTCTACAAAGATGCTGCGTTCGTGCTTTGGATGGTTGCTTCTTCATACTCTGTCTACTATACGTTTCAAGTTGCAATTCCGGTCATCTTCTCCGAAATATACAAATACAATGAGCTTGAAATCGGGCTTGTCTTATTACCTGGGTTGGCGGGAATGACGATAGGAGGGATTATCGCTGGAAAGCTCTTGGACAGGAATTACGCCATTACCGCGAAAAATCACAATGTCGAGGCTCCAGAGAAGAACGAGACTTCTCGAATCGACTTCCCCTTAGAAGTCGCTAGATACAGGAATTGCTTTGCCTTTATTCTGATATAAGTGCTTCTGGTCATTGGTTACGGCTGGGCAGTCCACTTTCATGTACATCCTGCTGTACCCATTGTTCTTCAATTTTTTATCTGTGGTACATCGACCCTATTGAGTCACACTGCTAGTGCACTCCTTGTGGACATATTTCCTGAAATGTCTAGCACTGCCTATGCTTCAGGACAGATTATGAGGTGTGGACTCAGTGCTGCTTCGGCTGCTATTATACAACCTCTCATCACTGCGGTTGGACGCGGCTGGTACTTTACAATGTTTTCCCTTTTTATTGGAACAACAGGTGCGGGTTCGGTTTTCGTCAGTCGTCTGAGAGGGAGGCAGTGGCGACAGAAAAGACACCCACAACGGAATGGCCTGTCCATAGAGGCGAGATAAAGAAAACATACACTGCCTGGTAAGGTGCCAAATGTGGCATCAAATATTCCAAATTGGAATCGTCTGATCGGCCTTCTACTGCAACATCAAAAGAATCGGAGATACTACAGCTACTGTTGAGACAAAGGAAGACACAAATAGTAAACTGTCGATATCTGAAAAAAGGAAAATATGTTGCTGATATTAGGCCTGGGAAGTCCAACTTTTGTGCAGCCTAAGTACTCCGTACGATAAAGTTGGTTGGGATTGAATCTCATTTAAATACACGTAGCTAAGCCATATAAACGAGAATTGAAACGAATGAACGAACGAACTTGTGCTGGATTGTGCTAGCAAGAATATGTAACTTCAACGTTAGCTGCCGGGTACGTAGCTCGGTGTATACGAAATGTGTTGTCCTCGTCACAAGGCACAAACGACCATAGGCAGCGGGGAATTCGGGGTCCCGTCAGGCTTTTCTCTTGAGTTGCGTGTCTTAATATATCTCTATATCCGTATAAGACGCCAGATTTGGAGACACATTCTTCCGGTTTTGGAGCATCATGAATCCGCACTACGGAATTGATCTACTGCCGTTGAGTTACTTAACCTGACTAGAGACAGAGCTCACCGCCAGCGTTTTATACATTCGTGCAGTATTTATTATTACATGTTGAGGCTTACACCTTAGAGTTATGTTGATCGTAATGGGTGTATTCAGCATTTAGCACCCCAAGATACCTGCCACTACTATGGTAAGCCCATATTAAAGACAAGTACCCGCAGACCGGCTGACTTGTAGCATTTTAGTCTAGTTTGCTGGATAGTAGAGCTGAAAACTACGAGGTAGTGTCTCCCTTAATAAGCAACAACTCCTCAGGTCTGGTAACCTTACAGAACTCTTACTGCCTTGACTCCTCCACACTTACAGGCCCGCAGCACACTCAATACAGCAAATACACCCCGCAACTAATGCTACATTATCAAAGAACTATCCCATGCGCATAACTGAGCGGCTTCTTTCCAAGACATGTGGCCGGTGGAGCCAGTGAGGGACCCGAACAGTGCGCGTCGAGCTGTCCACCGCCGTCGTGAGCCGACTTCACCAAGCAGTCGAAAGCGAGTCCGCACTGCGTAAGTGCCGTCAGATGCTTCAAGGCCTCGTCTGATTTTTGCATTGATATTGCTATCAAATATGATAATAGAGAGAACTTGATGCTAACAAGCTTCCTGCTTCAGCTGCAACAGCTGCAGCCTTCGACGGATAAAATGCTCGGGTGAGCAACCATGTTCCCAATGTCACCGGGCAACCAGACATTGCGAATATCCTCTGGACTTCGACAAGGTGTCCGTTTCTCGTGCAGAGCTGGAGGCTCTCAAGGCTAGATGCGAAGAGCTAGAGCGACGTAATGCGCCAGCAACTCCAGCATCCGGATTGGTGATATCACCATCCTCCAGGACTGCCTCTACCTTAGAGACGAGCAATACCGGCACGGCCTTCGCCAGCAGCGCCACCACCACTGAGGACTTTGCTCCCTCTGAGGGCCGGCTGCTTCACGATCCAGATGGGACTGCGCGTTACCTTGGGCCATCGTCTGGCGCACACTTTCTCAATCGAGTCAAGGAATTCATGGCAACGATACAGCCTCTTGTCGGCGCCCAACAAGGCTATCCCCCTCATTCAGGACAAGCATTTCTTACAAGCGTTGGGCGCTATCAAACGTTCGACTCGAGGACACTACAGCTTCTGCCCGTTGACCCGTTGCAACTCCCGAGCCAGACGGAGATGACCCTCATGGTCACCGAGTTTCGGTTTTTTGCTCAGGATGGCAACGGAGATTTCCCTAGCGGTGGCATTTTCTACTGGGGCAATCTCTCGTTTGCAAACCAGTTTCCTTATGATGCAGCAGCTCTGCGGACATCAGGCCAACTCGCTCTCTTGCACATGGTTCTGGCTGTAGCAGCTCGTCTGGGCTCTGCGGCTCATTGGAAAGACGAAGATTGTAGCGAACATTTCTTCTCCAGAGCACAGCAGATACTCGGCAACCCCCTTGATATCACTTGCCACACCTCACGCGACACCTCGGTCATGCTTCTTATGGCATTCTATTTGATCGAGGCCAATCGTCGTGATGCTGCTTACATCATGGTCAGCGTTGCCCTACATCTCGCCGTAATGGATGGTGCCCATTGCAGTTGCGGTCAGGGTGAGGACTTGAAACGTACGTTCTGGACCTTGTATGTGCTTGATTGTTGGCTGTCATCTGTGCTCGGACGACCACCCAGCATCTCGGACAGTGCAATTCAATTACAGTTGCCAGAAGAAACGCCGTGAGTCCATACAAATCATAGTTGACCACCCGACTCATTCACCAGCCTGTTCTCTGACTTTACAACACAGTGGATTTCCAAGCCCAGTTGGCCTTCGTGCGCACATAGACCTTGCCAAGATCTCGCGTTATATCGTGTGCAACGTTTACCGAATAGCTTCATCCGATCAGTCATCGGCCACATCTCTACAGCATGTCGAGCATGCTCTTTCGTTACTACGGCAGTGGCTGGCATCCCTGCCTCCCACGCTGCAGATCAACGGCCAGCAATCGAGCAAAGATAGAGCTTGTCTCGTGTTACATCTCATGTATAACCAGGTAAGCATTCTGCAGCTAGTACTGGACACTATGACGCGATTTAACGTATTCGACTCATCTAGGACGTAATCCTTACAACGAGACCGATATTTTTCGCAGCTACCAAGAAAATCCTCGCTGACAGGTTTCTATCACAAAAGTCTCACAAAGACAGGACAGAAAACTACCAGAGTGATTTATACATGGCTTGCGTCGGCCATTGTCGCGACGCCTCCCGCGAAAATATTCGTCTTGGCCGGCTCATTCGCGATATCAGCCCCAGGCAGAGGCTCACTCATCAAGAAGCGCACGCAGTGTTCAACGCAGCTTTAATCATGTTGATGCAGCAGCTTGCTTCTCTCCAATCAGAGTCAGCAGAGACCGATGATGTCGCGTTCGCAATTGAAGTATTCCAGCAAGAGGCGAGGTTAGGGAACAACTTCGGCCTAGATTGTCTCACAGTTCTACAGGATTTGAGCTTTATTGCCCGTGCACTGCCACAGGCCCAAGTCTCCGTAGCGGACGAGCAAAACATATCTGCTGCTACGTTTGCGACCAACAGTGAAGCGAATGGTCCAGTCGAATCTGCCATTACTGCTCCAGAAATCGACCTCCTCGAGAGTTCATCCGACGGTCAGGCTGGAGTAGAGCTAAATGGTGCATTGTTCAGGGAACTACAGACGTGGCTTGAGAATGACTATTTAGAGATATACAATGATTTTAGACTTTGAGAAACAATGTGGAAGCGCTCTTTGTACTTAACTACTGTACTAACTCCTTCATGTTTAATTATTCTGCGAGGCAAAGGGAAATACGTTGTAATAGCATCACAAGCCATAAATGAAGGTGTACTTGCGATCGCCATATCGAGTGTGATCGGTTCTTTCGCGCTCCAATTCCTCCGGAGTCATTTGGGCCATCTTCTCTTTCTTGTATCGGTTCGCAGCTGCAAGAGCAAATCGGTAGCCTGTATAGCCCAAAAGAGCAACGATTGCAATACCGAGGGTAACATAGAACGATGTTTTGTAGGAAGGGCCATATTTGGCAGCAAAAATCTGCGAACCGATGATACCTGCAAGATTTCCAAATCCGTTCGCACCAAGAATCAGCGTGCGTTTTCCCGGCTCTGTTTTTAACCTGTTAGTCGCCGTGTAATTCATTGCTAGTTTTGGAGAAACCTACCTGGTGTGTTTCCGCTTAGCCATGCTACAGTTAAAGGAGCAGACACGTAGCATCCGAAAAGCAAAATGCAGAGACCAGCGTATCTGCCACCGCTCGCCTCGACAGTAACCGTGAGAATCAGCCCGATGATTCCAATGGCAATACTTGCTATGATATGCCAGCCTCTGTCGTGTCTGTATCACATGTTAGTTGAAAGACCAAGAAGTAATGCAACTTGGAGGTGACTTGCCGATGATCTGAACTCAATGCAAAGATGTATAAGCCAACGGCGCCGCAGACGTAGGGCGGCACTGTCATCTGTGGGAAAGCTGTTAGCCAAAGGACTTGAAGATAATGCGAGACTTTGGCCTGCTTACGAGATTTGCCTGGATGCTCGCGAACCCCAAACCCTGCAGAACAAGAGGTAGGAATATGCTAAACGCCTGCGTGGGGACACTGGCACAAATATTGAAAAAGATTACGCCATAGAACTTCCAGTCCTTGGCAGCCTCAATAGCATCGCGTTTTGAGAGTCTGTCCTTCTCCAAGCCGTCTTTGCCGTATTCATGCTGAATAAACAGTGCAGTGTCGCGTCGCATACGTTCTGCAGCGAATTCACGCTCCTCTTGCTTGAGAAACCACGCGGAACCGGGACCTCTAGGAAGTAGGAACCACGCTAAGATGGCGACAAAACAGGTGAGACTGCCCTCAATAACAAAGAGATACTGCCAGTTGAGCAAGCTGCCGCTCTTCAGATGAAAGACACCAAATGCTGGTTAAATGTGTAAGTCGAATGTGTCTAGCTGGAGTGGAATGGTGGTTTTGTAAGGATTGGGCCAGACTTACAGATGGCACCTGAGAATGCTCCAGCAATCGCGTATTGGCCATAGAAAATAGCCACTCTCACTGCCAGATCGAATCGTCCGTAGAAAAATGATAGGTAGGAGACACATGTCGGGTAAAAACCTGCTTCAAAAAGTCCAATCACAAGTCGAATGGCAATCAATGCACCTTTGAGAAGCTAGTTAGCTCCAATGTGCAATTTATAGGCGTTTAGAGAGAATTATGCCTTACCTCGTCCTTTAATGAATGCTTGCCCGATGGTCAAAGCTCCCCAAGAGAACTAAAATGTATATGTTAGGGGGTGGTTGTGTAGAAGTAAGAAGAGGTGGTATACGAACCGCCAAAAATGGGATCCAGTTCTGAGGCCCAACCCATCTACCCATGGCAGCAGAGGGTGGTTGAAAGAGAACAAATGTGATGAAGAATAGTGATACGGCTAAGTTGAGGTCTTCTGGTTCTGCTCCAATAGCCTTGGTAAAGCCTACGTGAATCGCGATTAGTGATGGCAATTCGCTGGCAGCTTGAGTGCTGCCAAATATAGCAATCAGAGACATACCTTGGGTCTCAGCATTACCAATATTGCCTTTATCAAGACCGTTGAAGAGGTATATCAGTGATAGCAAAGGCAGCATGGCAAAGTCCATTTTGCGATTGACTCGACGACTAAGCTCTGCCTCTTCAGGAGATGAAGGCACAAAGCCAATCGGACCAGTCTCCTCTGCGGCCTGTCGACTGTCGACAAACTCAGGATTCTTGCCGTCCATCGACGAATAACCCTTCTCAGGGGTTTCCTCCATGGTGACTGAAGTTGACTCGCACCCTGGCTTCTCTGATTCAAACTTAGGGACGTTGTGAACCATGGTAGCCATGACGAAGTTGATGACCGAAGAGTAGACGCTTGTCCACTTTCCAGAAGCACGATTCGATACTCCGCATTATATATTTCTCCAAGCTGTCATACAGATATTTCCGGGGGGCAAAATCTGGGGAAGTTGGGAATAGTGCCTGCACACCAGGGTAGCGACCCGAGACTCATGCCGAGTCAGGCCATGGTGTGGCGTTCTTATACCCCACATATCATGGCTGCGAGGCTCGGATATTTAGGAAATGATCCAATAGTTCGTTGATTGTGGGCCAGTTTGGGATGGCAATGGACTCGGGTGCTGTCCCGGTGGCGACGCCATTGTCCCACCCGGGTCAATACCCGACGCCCCCTGTTGAGGCCCGTCTGCTACTAAGCTCTTGAATAACTCGTAACCCTTAAATGGAATTCAAACCAGTCCATTCGTAAATTTCCGGACTGGAGAGCATTCTAGTCATTTTTCTTATTCAGTTCAGCCAAGATGGGTTCCTTACCGTCAGCACATCAATGGGGCTACTCTACTCCTGAGGTCTTTGATCCAAAACATGGCAAGAAAGCAAATAAAACAATAGATATTGGTCAAAATGGGACAACTCTATCAGCCAATATCTACGGACGAGTGAGTTTCAGAACTCAATGATTGAATTTGATGATAAATACTAAAAAACCACAGGCTCTTCAGCTTAGTGCGTATCATCCAGATCACGGTATCATAGTCGCTGCCTCTTATGAACAATTCGACGGTACTAGATACTATGATCCATTATACGTACGCGACTATCGGAAGCGTATGCTCCAGATGGTCAATGAAGAAAGTGAAGGTTTCGGCTTATGCATTGGCAACATTGGTTCGAGAACTGCTGTTGATTTGACCGAAATGAACGAAGCCCGCCTTGATTTCGACACAAGAGGTGGTGCTGCGGTTCGTTACGTCGTAAGTGTTGATGAAAAAGGGCGACTTAATCAGAGAGCCCATATCGTCAACACTACCAGCCAAGAAATTCAGGTTGAATATCAGGTCAACCTTCGGCTGAGTGTTCATCGAGCCTCGTACGGACAACTTACTGAAGGTGGCCCGATTCCGCTACCAGAGTGTGAAAATGCTCTCCAGGTCAATGCTAAGGAATCTTCTTTTATCATAAGGAATAGATTTCTCGGAGCTCACCTTAGCGGCCAATTAGATATGGATGGCATTCCTGCACCACTGGTCGGCTTGACAGATATAACCCGGTCGGGTTTGCTGACCGGTGTATCTACAACATATCAGTCTATCTCTATTGCGCCGAACTCTGCAGTCACCATCGGTCTAACTCTACATCTGTCACCCGGATTGAATGAGAACCACAACTTTTCAGCACTGCCTTGTGTCAATTCAAACGCTCTGGGAAATGGATTGGCATGGAAGAAGCCAGAAACTGTTGAAACATATATTGTTCGGCGTAATGTTGACTACATTCTCGGCAACTGCGCAATCCCTGTCTCTGAATCAGCAGTCGCCCTCATTACCGACCATGTAGCGCTGCCTCTAGGTTGGAACCGAGACAACTAGTAAGTACTCTCTCACTCCGGTTTAGTATGTTATGCTAACATCACCTACAGCTGGCAGTGGCGCCTGTTGCTTTTGACCCGGCGAAACTTGACGTCGTTAGTTACACCTACTGCGTACAAGCAGTACATGGGACTTCTCGATCAAACCATCAAGGGACACTTAGAATGGGTGTTTTTCAAGGCTGAGCGGCCCCATAAATTCTGGCACAGGTCATATGTCATAACAGGCAAGCCGAAGGACGGGCCTGTATATCAGCTTGATCAGCAGTGTTACCCCATGCTAGAGCTCTGCGACTACTTTTCAGAGTATCCTAGCGAAAGTAACTTCGTCGAGAAGATTCTTTCCTCTCAAGTCGTCACAGAAATTCTCGACCACATTACCTCAAAACGAGACCTAGATACAGGGTTATTCCCTACTGATGAGACCCCAGGCGACGATGAAGTTATATATCCGTTCCACTTTTCTAGCCATGTGTTACTCTGGTACACTCTTTGCCAACTGGCTGACTTGATCCACTCGGTGCCGACGGCTTTGAGAGATCTGGCGGATAGATTGCAATCACTTGCAGATGAGGTTCGCTCGCAAACGATGCAACATTTCCTGATAACCGACCCCGATTTCGGACATACAAAGATAGCCTACTTGGTAGATGGTCATGGCAAGCACACATTCTATCATGATGGGAATGATATCCCAACTGCTTTTGCTGCCAGTTGGGGATTCTTCTCCACCAAGAAGGATCTAGAGGCGTGGTACAACACAATGAGCTTCGCCCTATCAGAGGAGAACAGCCTGGGATACAGCTCAGGAGGGCCCTTTGCAGGACTTGGAAGTGTCCATTCACAAGGGCCTTGGCCGCTTGGGTACTTTCAAGAGATGTTGTATGCAGATGTCAGAGGTAACAAACGGGCAAAGGCGGATGCTCTGCAGCGGATTATTGGTGCCATGCAATGGGACGGAACCTTTGGAGAAGCGGTAGACGTTAAGACGGGGGAGACCACAAGCAAAGCCTGGTTTAGCTGGCCAGGCTCCATGATAGCGACGGCTATTATCGACAGCCCAGAGTCAAAATAAGCGACCACGCAAGAATTTCAGCCAACACCGCTACCATTTATCACAGCAGTGTTGGAATATCATCATTCTATGTAAACATAATATACAAATAGACTATATCAATTCAAACTTGACAAGGATTAGCTTATAGACACCAACACCTTAAATAACTTGAAATATTCGCATATGTACACACGGCACCTCGTATTATATCTACACATCTTCTTGATTATTTGTTTTTCATGCTACATACTGTTTCGTAATGTCTCAGATTCCAGTTCTGCATGGTGCAATACAAGTCACGTTCAAGTCGAGTGACTTCGGCCAATCTGATTATCCATGCCTCCAGCACCACGACTCCAAGACACACGTGCCGCATGACGGCTCCAAGCACGGCAATTAATTTCCTACCTCCAGTTGCGAGTCATTGACACTAAATGATGACAAAAGGCATGTTGCCGAGGAAATACAAGATGTCCATTGGCACGAGGAAACTGGGGAAACCCCAGCCGCGGGGCTGTAGGCCGATGGCCGGGTAGCTACCCGCTGACTTTCTTACAGTCTGATGTTTCTGTGAGCCTCGTGTCCTTACTGGCTGTCCCACCCTCACCAGGAAACGGGCTTGCATCCGTGGCTCCATTACCCACCATATTGATCTAGATCTCCAGTTCCCTGGGCCCACTAGACATTCCAAGAGCTGCGATATTAGTATTTAGCTAGCAAACGGTTTCCAGCGGGTTGTTCTCTCTTAAGATCAGGCCTGGTTCATTCCAAGCAACAAACCTCTTTGGAATAACGCTTGCCTCGACTTCAACCTGGAGCAACAAGTTCCCTCATTATCACTCGAACAAGAACCAGCTCCAGCGATAAATGCCACTTTCCCACATAGACTCTTCGCAGTCCTGAGGCTAGGTCGCTATTGGTAAGGGCCAGTCCTTTTGGTGCCGCTACTCGCTTTAGATCTCACGAAACTAAGTAATCTCGTAGAGCATCTCAGACTGCCTCAAACAGACTGAGTATAATTCTTATAATTATCTCACAGCGCTCAATTGCTTTTATTATAGAGTAAATCTCACGGAAACTTAATAGTCAACCAAACGTCACCAACATCCGACGATTCTGATTGTCATACTACACGATCTCGGCATCAACGCCAAACCCCGTGCTATAGACTTCTTGCTGTAATACCACAAGGTGCCTATAGCATGTCTTCAAAGATATCAGATGAGAAAGTGCAAATATGCGCCTCGTTTCTGCAGGAACATCTCAGCAACCACCAATCTCACCAGCAATGCCCCCTCGTCGTTGGATTGAACGGCATGCAAGGCGTTGGCAAGACAACACTGGTGGCATCATTGGCGGAAAGACTCAATAGAGATGGCATAAGCACAGCCGTTTTCAGCATTGATGACTTTTACTTGACACACGAAGAGCAATTAAAGCTTGCAGAAGAGAATCCCGACAATCTTTTATTCCAGCATCGAGGGCAGCCAGGTAAACACCAGTCTTTCGCCGGAAAAGAAAGAAGATCGCATGTATTGACGTACTAATAGGAACCCATGACGTTAAACTAGCGAATTCAGTCTTGGTCTCCCTAATAAACAGCCAGCCAACAAAGGTCCCAGTATATGACAAAGCACTCTTCTCCGGACAAGGCGATCGCCTCCCAGAGCAGTACTGGACTGTTGTCAACAGCCAAGGTTCCAAACCCGCTCAAGTGGTCATACTAGAGGGTTGGTCAGTGGGCTTTCGATCCTTGTCATCCGAGCAGATAGAAGCAAAGTGGAATGCCCCCAGTCGGACTTTATACAAGCATAAGCTCGAGCATTTACTTCTTTTGAATGAGAAACTACGACTTTACGAGGCTCTATGGGATTGTTTTCATGTATTTATACAGATAGACTCGGAGCAAGCAGAATTTGTTTACACTTGGCGGCAGGAGCAAGAGGACTGTATGAGAATATCGAGGGGCGATCCGCAAGCAGGTATGACGGCAGAGCAGGTACAGAAGTTTGTGGATGGGTTTTATCCAGGTTATGAGCTCTATACGGAGAGTTTGAGGCAGGGTTGGAATCTTCAGAGGCCGGAAACTCAGTTGCAGATCATTGTTGGACTTGACAGAACAGTCAAACAAATTAATCGCTTATAGATGTTAGAATAGTGACACTAATAATGGTGAAAATAGAGCAAGGGATACGATTTTAAGGTAATAACTCCGTTTCTCGGGCTACAAGCCACGTCTTTATCCACTTGGCCTCATCGTCTCTCCTGGTCTATGAAAAACTCCAACCGTTGATACTACTGTAAATGTATATAACACACAAATGGCCTACTCGAGGAAGAGGAGTTGGCAGAAGAACAGCTTCCTGACCGGATTCCAAGTTTATGACTGGAACTAAGAGGCATAGTCCGCTAGTCATGCTGTTACGTGGTATGGTCCTTACTGCCGCCATTCGTGTATGAAACATGGGCTACAGTATTGACATTAGTATTAGTCAATTCTCGATAGGGATAAGATTGAATAGTCATCTCCCGAGCACAGGCAGAATGGTGCCAGAAGATCCGACACCATTCTAGCTCGGTAGGCGTCACCAAGCAGATCCACCATGAGCTGCAATCATCCGATCTTACAACTGAGTTTACAGCTTGCTGTTAATACGACTATAACATGGAGGTTCTGATCAATTGCCCATAATACGTAGCTCCTATGTGCAAGCAGTTCAGTTGAAATAATGACACAGCCGATTTTGAGGCGAGCTGCAAGGTCTGTCAAAGAGAGCGACACATTTTGGGACATGGTCCCGGAGAAGAAAGGGACGAAAAAGAGTTCCGCCCCGGGAAAGCTTTGCTGCGGTGCTCAGTGATTGCTTCCGCATTTTCTTCAATGTTGGCAGCGCAAACAAGCTTTGCTCGGCCATCCGCTTCCAACGTTTTGAGGTGTGGAATATAGATTCATTTGGCGTGAGGGCCGACGCCGCTGAGCAGAAAGCTCGTAGGCTCCCTCGATGCTTGTTCTTCTATCTTCGTTGCTTCAAAGATATTGATTTGAGCTGTTTTATAATTGCCTATTTAGGAAGAAAGCCTTATGTAACCGAAGGTTAAGCAGCGCAAATTGACATCTTGGTAAACTAGATTTTATGTTAAAAGTTATAACAACCCGACATGTATGGAGCACTTATTTATTAGTCAGAGCCCGCATAGTGCAGGAATGGGAACATGAAGGATTGGCAAAGCACAGTCAGCCCAATCAACTTGCTCTTGAGCAGCATCCTGCCTGCCGGTGAGTCACAGATTACATATTTAGACCTGTCGTCGGATAAACACGGATGAACAGGGTGTGTGTGTTGGTTGGTCATATCCCCCAACAGTCGTGATAGGAATGGAAGAATACCAAGACTTGATTCTGGTGCCAGTACAGCTTTTGTGGTGTGTGTATTTTGCGTCATTTTCCTATGATGGCTCCTCAAAAGATTCAAGTTTGGTCGATACATGATGGAGGTGGGTTACGTCCGTGCTTCAGCTTGAAATGACCTCCACTAATATGCAATAGCGCTACTTTTGGAATGTTCATGGCGGCTACTTAACAAGCCGATCAATAAAAGCCTCTGGCAGTCGCTAGACATCGTTTTCGAGCACCTTAACTCGTCCAATACGGCCGATCGTTTTAACAGCCTCAAGAACGCATATTATATCCATGTAGACGATGGAAATCCGAGCCAAAGCATCCTCCCCGAATCTTTTGGCTCGGCCAGGACGTTTCAGTTCTTCCTACAATGTCTTCGCGCCACGACTGCATCCTCTGGGGGACTTCGACGTGTGGTGAAACTCATTGTCCCTCTGCAGAAGGGGCATATCGTGCGGTCGGATATAATTCCTCTGCGTCTAAGGGACTCTCAATTTGTGGAAACAGCAGTGTCTTTTGCCGAGCCTCTTGAGAGCTACAGCGGCTCAGCAATCACACCCTCAGATACCAGCAACCTTGTGGCACTCTTATCAGCTGCCACAGCTGGCTTGATCTTGCATTATACTTCTGAGAAAGAATCGGATGATGAGATTGAAGCACTGTCTCTCGCCGTGGAATCCGAGCTTGATAATAGGCTCTCGTTTCCCTGGATATCGTCTGAGAACATTCAACGCCGAATGTTGGTACTAGTAGAAGGGAGTCGCGCGCACCCCGATAATGGTGGTACAGCGCCGTCCATTTATCTCGCAGCCGGAGCCCTTGGCATCAACTTGGTGGTCCTAGACAACTCAGGACACTGGCTAGAAGGACCAGAATATGCGCACTGGCGTGAAGCATTTATCCCTACTAAGCTAACGGACCCTCCAGAAGAGGGTTTCGCCGATCGAATTGTCAAATCTGTGAAAACCTACGGCAAGCCAGTGGACGGCATCGTAACATTCTGCGACTCTTATGCGACCCAGGTTGCTCAAGCCGCGCAGCAACTAGGCCTCCGGACTGCTTCACCGGATGCGCTACGCATTGCTACAAACAAGTATTTGACAAGCGTGTTTGCAGGGCATCAGGCCTATCAAGCGTCTAGTCCAGAAGAAGCTCTCGAGATTGTCAGCAAAAATGACCTTCCCTACCCCCTTATCATCAAGCCATGCTATGGGTGGAGTTCGGAGGGAGTATTCCGCGTTGATTCTGTCGACACGCTCACGGCAGCTGTCAAGTCCATCGACACATCTCGTCATGGGTCCGAGTTTGTTATAGAGAAATATTGCTCAGGGCCTGAAGTTGATGCAAACTTTGTCTTGTTGGACGGAGAAGTCCTCTTCTTTGAAGCGTGCGATGATTTCCCCAAAACCGCTGACTCCAACGGCCCCAGAGTCGGGTCGCTCAACACCTTCCATGAATTGAACAGTGTATACCCATCGGCTCTACCCGCTCGCGAAATCGATGTGCTTCGCAACAGCTTCCTCGATACGCTACTCAAGCTCGGCCTGCAGAACGGCATTATGCATCTGGAAGGCCGCGTGGAGTACTCGTCGGTTGACTACAAAACGCAGGATGGAGTTCTCGACTTGCACCCTCGCGACACCGCACCCTCGACTCCAGAGCCCACCGCCTGGCTTATTGAAATAAATCCACGTCCACTCGGTATGACGGGCTCCCAGGTCATTGAATCAACGTACGGAATCGAATATTGGGGTTTAGCCATGCTCATCGCTGTTGCAGACAAGTCTCGCGCTCGCTCCCTTTCTCAGCCGTTCAAGCATGGAGCCCAGTACACATGTGTCATGGTCTTTATTCCGGCTGAATATCCATCCTCTTGTCAAGGCATCTTCGATTCGGACGATATCTGTGCCGAACTGAAGTCCCGCAGGCCAGACCTTGCGAAACACATTAGTCGATGTGGATGCCTGGTCAAGCGTGGGCAGAGGGTGCCGCATCCGAGTTCTGGAGTGAATAGCTTTTTGGCTTATTTTAATGTCTTCTCGAGAAAGGGAAGAAGAGAAGCGCTAGAGTTGGCAGAGAGGGTGCGAGAAGAGGTTCGCTTTTCATTTGTTTAAACCAACCTAGGTATAGAGCCGTTCCTACCTGCTAAGTATATGTATTAAGGTAGCCAATGTATGTATTTAGCATAGGAGTTAATATTACCGTTAGAAACCTGGTCCGTCACATATATGCACTAACTGTAACCCTTACTTCAAATTCGAAATCCAGTAGTATTGACCGCCTGCACTTTACCCCCCTCAGTCGTGCCGTTGATCATGCCACCGCCAGTCGATACATAAAGAATATGCCAATCCCCTCTCGTTCTTCCAAATTTGCAGGCCGTCGCTGTCGTCACTTCAAATGAGTTAGACGCGCCAGCAACAACCGCGTATTTACCATCCGGAGCAGCTGCGAATACTTTGTTTTCCTTGTTTGCCGCTATCCATTTAACATTCCTTTCACCAGGGCCGTATGTAAAGTCATCAATTGCCACTGATGGCAGAGTAAGAACTTTCTCAGCTGACGTACCATTAGCGGCTCCTCCATTCTCGTTAACTTCGATTCGATACATGGATGTTTCGAGATTACCAGTCACAGGGCTAGCTGTTGCTGTATCGTTTGTGAACCACAGATAACCGCCATGGATATGAATCCCATTTAGACCGATGTTAACGGCTGAAGAAGCTTCTCTTTCCGGTGAAAATTGAATCGCCTTGTCCACCGTGCCTTCTTTCATGTTAACGCGCCAAACAACGTTTAAGATTGAATCTGCTAAAAGCACCAAGTGATTTCTTTGAGGAACCGTTGTTGCGCCGTTGAGAAGAACCGCATCAGGAAGGGAAGCAACCAATTCAGGATAAGAGGGCTGACCACGAGTGAAATCAGCTCTCCAAAGACAAGAGGTTCCCTTAATAATTCCTGCTGACTCGCTAAAATTTCCACCAGCCACAGCAAAAACATCCTCGGTTGTCTCCGTTATTCCAAAGAAGCTTGTAACTGCGTCTACAGTAAACAGGCGGGTAACGGTTGGCGTCTGACAGTCCAAGTCTGACACCTCATATAAGGTCGCATTTGGTAGAAAACTTGTAAGAAGAAGATTACCATTTGAGCGAACGGCAATATTTTCGATCCAGATACCGGCAGGAAACTGAGTAATTACCCGGCTAGGAAGAAGATGCGTATCAAGGCGACGTAATTGATGGATTGAAGCTGATGGTGCATTTAGCGAAGCGGCCAATGTTAGGAGCTCGCATGCTATTACAATGAGAAATGATATCATTGTTATGACTATGTACTCTTGTCGAGAAATATGGTCACTGAATGCTTTATAGCAGTATAGTTCCTAGGCTGCAACACAATTAATACGCCTCGCGACCCCTATATATACACAGAAATATTGCGGTTACATCATCTTGAAGCAGCTCAATGACGTCTCGAACTATGAACGCGAGCCCCTTTCCGCTAACCCACTTATATTTTATACCGCTTTCTGTATAGTTTGCTCATATGATGAATCCTCTAGTGCTCTAAGGATATCCAATTGAAGGATCTGGATAGCGGACAGAGGCTCGCTAAATCCTTCGGTGACTATGTAAACTCCGTATGCGTCATACCGATTATTACTGAAGTCCAGATGGAGTAAGTCAGACCACATATCAAGGGGCCACCGCTTGACCCACCTGTAGCGATAGGATTCTCGTCGTCAATACCTATACAACTCAGCAAAGCCTCATATTGTCCTTGTGCTCAATTTGGTGTTTGTCCCAGCTGGTCAAGCGCCAATTATGATGCGTCACAACGCCGTCTTTTTAAGGCCCCGCTCTGCCGGGGAACCAATCCTATAGCCACCTAAGATCAGTTCTCATTTCGGACACTCGAGCACAGACGCCCTATATTATTACGCTGATAGGAAATGTCGTCTGTCCGCAACATGTAAGTGCTGTTTGCCTGATGTATCTGGTGTGCTTCCAATTGATGAAGCATGCTTTCGAAGAGTGATTGCTATATCGTCACCGCTTACCACTTCTAGGTGGCTAAGAGTCGCTCAAGCTACTGAAATCGTAGATTGTCATGGAATGGAGTCCAGTTACAGTGGTATACCCTTCATAGCAGCATCAAAGGTGTGAATTTGTATTGCACTTTGTTCTCATAACCTTAGCCTGGCTTCAAAACCTCATTTATCTTCTACTGCTTCTAGTACTGCTTATTAATGTAAACACATTAATCGATGTAGATGCCTGGCCAAGCGTAGCCAGACGGTGCCGCATCCGAGTTCTGGAGTGAATAGCTTTTGACCTATTTTAATGTCTTCTCGAGAAAGGGAAGGAGAGATGCGCTGGAATTGGTAGATAGGGTGCGGGAGGAGGTTTGTTTTTTATTTATTTAAACTAAGGCATAGAGCCATTCCCTACCTGCTAAGAAGTAAAGTAGCTAGTGTATTTAGTATAGGAGTTAATATTATAATAGGAACCTGGTCTATTACAGTATAGGTAGAGTATAATAACTTGGCCTTATTTGTATAATACCAGCCTGCTAAATAAGGACCTATACATATACAAAAGGCTAATTAACTATTAGATAATATGTTTTTATAACTGTAACGAATTTAGTTTATATAGGTTAAAATTATTACTGAATATAAGTTAGGAAATAATAATATATCATAGGTTACCCAATTACTGCGTTGGCGATATCCCTAGGCGACTAGGAGTAGATTTTACTGTTGCTGATATATATGTATTGTTGCTAACCGGGTGGTTGTGGCAATGATTTGGGCGCTTATTTTCACGGCTCTTGCTGTTCAATTAATTGCCTAGCGGCAACAATTAACTTGAGAATGTACGTCTCTTTTATTGAATGCAGCCTAGCGAACCGGTCATATCCAATCATGATGGAACTGCTTATGCTCTTTTGGAGATGGCTAGGTTTTGCGACATTGTTCATGTATCATTTAGCTACCACATCATACCCCCACCCGAACAAAAATTTGGCAATGTTGCCAAGATATCAGATAAAAGACTATGCTGTTTAGATGCTCGGTATAAACAGGTTGTCCGAATTGTTTTGTTCAGATCGTGGCGTTGCTGCGCCTCCACCACTTGCTTCACAGCCTCATCGCAACTGATACAGCGCAGGTTGCCAAGCCGGTAGCAGAAACCTTGAAATTCAAATTATCTCAAGATCGCAGGAATTCTTGCTGGCATTTAGAGGCAGATGATGACATTGTTCGCAGCTGGCTATCGTCTGTAGCTCATTATCTGACTACTGCACTTATAAAAAATCCCACAACCCCCTCATCATTCGATCATTATGATGGCCATTTATGTGGTTTCAATGCAGCAGCAAGACTTTGACATGGACTTGTCAAACAGGTCTCTGAGCTATAGATGACCTATCGCCTCTACCAACATTAGCTTTTCAGTCTGCCTATGAAAGAGGTATAACCTCCATACATCTGATACCCGCCGTAACAATTCAAATCTTTTTTATATGAAAAGAAATCTGACTGTACTCGAATAATGGTATTAAAACTAACGACTCTCGTTGCAGTACGATCACAAGATGCAGAGCATACTTCAAGAACCAAGAAATAATTTGCAGGGCTCATCGAAGCCCATTGTTGCCGACATAAAATCTAGGAACAAACGTCTACACAACAAATCCAGTCCTTTAGGAGATATTCGACAACCCAGCATCTCTACTCTTCGACCTGATCCAGGAGAAGAACATCTATTTAATATTGGAAACAATCCATTTGCTTTCTCCCCAGGCCAGTTAGGGAAGCTTATAAATCCGAAGAGTCTTGCCGCTTTTGTCGCTTTAGGAGGACTCCTTGGGATAGAAAAAGGTCTACAGAGCGATTGTCGTGCTGGCCTGGGTATTGATGAGCAGTATATTCTTGAACCAATCACGTTCGAGCAGGCAACAACTGTTCCTCCATCACCTGGCTTACTCAAGGGTAGCCAACGAGGCAGGAATCTTCCATTCGTTGGTACCACTGATATATCAAGAAAAAGTTTCGCCGATAGAAAACGGGTGTTCGGCGAAAACCGGTTACCAGAGCGAAAATCAAAATCAATTCTCCAGTTGGCCTGGATTGCTCTGCATGATCATGTGCTCATACTGCTCAGCGTTGCAGCTATTGTCTCGCTTGCCCTTGGACTATATCAGACATTTGGACAAACGGAACATGAAGGTGCTAAGGTTGAGTGGGTTGAAGGCGTGGCCATCATTGTTGCAATCGCTATAGTTGTCATCGTCGGCGCGCTGAATGACTGGCAAAAAGAACGTCAATTCCAGAAACTTAACATGAAGAAGGAGGATCGCTTTGTCAAAGTAATCCGCTCAGGCAACCCTATGGCCGTGTCCGTCTATGATGTAGTTGTGGGTGATCTTATGCTTCTGGAACCAGGCGACGTTATTCCGGTCGATGGTGTCTTCATCGAAGGCCACGGTCTAAGTTTTGATGAGTCTTCAGTCACAGGCGAGTCTGACTTGGTCAAGAAGGTCCCAGCGGACGACGTTCTACAAGTGCTCGTTAACGAAGAAGCACCAGAGCTTAAAAGGTTGGATCCGTTTATCGTCTCTGGAGCCCGAGTCTTGGACGGAGTTGGGTCTTTTCTCGTTACTTCAGTTGGACAGAACTCAAGCTACGGTCGGACCATGATGTCACTACGGGAAGATCCCGGACCTACTCCTTTACAATCTAAGCTCAATGTCCTCGCTGGTAAGCAACAGTTTATGACGTCCAACCGATGATGGCTTTGCGCATTTGAGCACTAGGAGGCTAATGAATATATATCTATCTCTCTAGGCTACATCGCAAAACTTGGAGGCGGGGCTGGGTGTTTGCTATTCATTGTGCTGTTTATCGAATTTCTTGTTAGGCTTCCAGGAAACAACGGATCGCCGGAAGAGAAAGGACAAGATTTTCTACACATTTTTGTTTTAGCTATCACTATTATTGTCGTTGCTATACCCGAAGGCCTACCGCTAGCGGTAACGCTGTCATTGGCATTCGCTACTAAGCGCATGACCAAGGAAAAAAACCTCGTTCGCCACCTTCAATCATGCGAAACAATGGGCAATGCCACAGTCATCTGCTCAGATAAAACCGGTACCCTGACGGAAAACACCATGACTGTGGTCACCGGCGCACTGGGCGGCGAAGCATTGCTATTTGGTGAGAAGGATCTAAAGCTTGAACTTGATGGTAGTGAGCCTTGGAGGCAGCACGATCAAACGAAGGATAAAAGGCTAGCCGGCGCATCACTGGTACATATTGAGATGCAGCAATATGGCCAAATTCCTGCAGACCAATTGTCGTCGAAACTTTGCACAGAGTTTCAAGGTCTATTAAGAACAGCTCTAGCCGTAAATACTACCGCCTTTGAGAGCGAAGAGAACGGCAGAACGGTATTTGTCGGCACAAAAACCGAGACGGCCCTCCTTGATTGGGTTCGTCAATATTTTGGACTTGGACCAGTCGCTATGGAGCGTGCCAACAGCTCACTAGAGCGATTATTCCCATTCAAATCAGAGCACAAATGTATGGGAGCCCTCATCCGGTTGTCTAAATCTGATGGCTACAGCAGCAACGCAAAGTATCGACTATTTGTGAAAGGCGCACCTGAGGTTATACTAGCGCAATGTAGCGCATCACTGGTCGAACTATCGAAATGTGCCTCCAGTGTGCCGATGTCAGAATACCAGAAAGAGGCTATCAGACGCATCATTTTTGGCTTTACGACACAATCGTTGCGAACTTTGGCTCTCTCGTATATCGACTTCCAGCAATGGCCCCCTCATTGGCTCCAAACCGACAACACAGCCGCGGGTTCTGACGATATTGAGCTCACCGATGTTCTTCGAGACATGACCTGGATTGCCGTTGTGGGGATTAGAGATCCCGTTAGACGGGGAGTCCCTGCTGCCGTGGAAGCTTGTCGAGGAGCGTCGGTATCAGTCAAGATGGTGACCGGTGACAATGTTGAGACGGCAAGAGCAGTCGGGAGAGAATGTGGCATCTTGAAGACTTTATCAGGAGAGGAAGGCTTGGTGATGGAAGGGGTTAACTTTCGCCAGCTTTCCGATGACGAAAAGGCAGCAGTTGCCAAGGATATCTGTGTTCTGGCCAGATCCAGCCCAGAAGATAAACGAATCCTCGTCAAAACTCTACGGAGCCTTGGTGAGATTGTCGCCGTGACCGGGGATGGCACGAATGATGCACCAGCTCTGAAGGCTGCCGATGTTGGCTTTTCTATGGGTTTATCTGGTACGGAAGTTGCTAAAGAGGCATCCGACATTATATTAATGGATGATAACTTTGCGTCAATTGTTAAAGCACTTGGTTGGGGACGGGCTGTCAACGATTCCGTCAAGAAATTCTTACAATTCCAGCTTACCGTCAACATCACGGCAGTCGTCGTGACATTCGTTACGGCTGTCTCTGACAGTCAAGAAACTGCAGTGCTCAACGCCGTACAACTACTTTGGGTTAATCTCATTATGGACACATTTGCAGCCCTTGCGCTCGCGACAGATCCGCCAACAGGAAGCGTATTTCAACGTAAACCAGAGCAGCGGACGGCTTCTCTGATTAGCCTTATTATGTGGAAGATGATCATCGGCCAATCCATCTATCAGCTGATTGTTTGCTTCGCATTATGGTTTGCGGGCCCCAATCTTGGTTATCCAGAGCCTCAATTGAAGACTCTTATCTTCAACGTTTTCGTCTTCATGCAAATCTTCAAGCTTATCAACAGTCGTCGTATTGATAACAAGCTCAACATATTCGAAGGTTTGCATCACAATTGGCTGTTTGTATTGATGATGTCGATAATGGTTGGTGGACAGCTGATTATTATTTATGTTGGTGGTGATGCCTTTGTCGTTGTGCGGCTTACTGGCGAGCAATGGGCCATCTCAATTGGCCTAGGTATTGGTTCCATCCCCGTGGGCATTCTAATACGCTTATTCCCTGACGCAGTCCTACGAAAGTGTGGCGAGAAGATTAAGAACATATGCCCACAGTGGCTGCGCACCTCAGTTAAAAAGAGGGGAGGAGACGATGATTTCCCCTCTGTTGAAAAGTATAACGCGGTTTTCTCAAATATCAGGGATGACCTTGAGTTTCTTCGAATTGTTAGAGGGGGGCGTATTCAGCTTTTGTGTGAAAAATTAACAAGAGCTCGTGAATTGAGGTCACAGCATCATTCTAAGTCAAGCATTAGCTCCTGCGGCGACGTCGAAGATAGGAGGAGCGCATCACTACCTTCGAAACAGTCGGCAGTTTCGCCTATGTATTCAGCGATTGGAATGCCCGGTATAATGGCAGCTAGTGTCGGTGGTCTGTCTCCATTGGAAACACGATCTTTTATTAGCTAGTATGCATGTCGCAATGGATTTGCAGCCTCGATAGCTATAATAAGCAGATAGCAGCATCGAAGATGTGAACTTGTATTGCACTCTATTCTCATAACTTTAGACCGGCTGCAAAACCTCATTTATCTTCCACTGCTTCCAGTACTGCTTATCAATATTGAGCTTACCCAGCTGATTGCTGCGAAACGTGTCCATCGTAACCTTCTCCCCGTTGATAGACCAATTGTTGATCTCAATCGCCATCTTGCCTGACCCAAAATCGTCAACTCCCTTGACGTAACTTTCTGCGACTTCGGAAACTGGGTTCAGTTCTTGTTGAAACTCGACGTTGCTGATCTTAAGATCATAGCTCTGCAGAGGCGAAATCTTCAGCAAGCCCGGGCAGGGACCTTCGCAAACCACGTTGGTGATGGACGCGGCGAGCTGCTTCTTGAAATCGCGCTTCTTTTTCTTCTCCGGTGGGTCATCCTTGTTTACGTAGAAAGGCGACGCTCCGATGATGGCGGCGGGGACGTAATCGTTATGCTTGAAGTACCGCGTATGGATCACCCACAGGTTGCGAAGGCTGAAATGGCTTACTTCCCTCAGATCCCACCCCATCTGAATCACTGGATCGTTGTGGATCTTCCACACTGTGACACGATCAACGTCGACATGGCCGTGGTACGCCTTGATCGCATCATCGTTGCAGTGGTAGAACACATCGCGCATAGTGGAGTCAGGGTTCAGCTGTAGGCCGTCGGTTTGGTAGTACCAGGCCCCGACCTGCTTGTAGTCCTGAATCCTTGCAGAAACGTGTATCTGGTCATTCGGGTCCTTCATGTCCATCGAGTTGAACGGCGGGGCGGTGATCGTGGGCCCGGCGCAGTGCCACGTCTGTCCAGGCACTGGTAGCTTGTGCCACCACATGCGAAGACTCTCCCAGTCATGCTTCTTACCATGGTAGCCCTCCTTGGGGTTGGCCGTATAGACATAATGCTCCCCAGAGAGGACACCATGGCCGGTGGCATAGAGGTGCTTATTCTTTGTGGTGTACTCAATCGCACCCTTTACATATGCGCCGGGATCGAAGTGCACCCAGTACGTGTTTTCGTGTAGGCGTATGTGATTCTGTCCAAGTCTTGGGCTTTGTCCATCCTGTGTCGAGTTCATCCAGTACACGCCGGGGGGAAAGTAGAGAATAGCCTTGGACCCCCAATCTCCTTCGTATATCGGCCCAGGCTTCATGACTGTTGTGTTGCTCTCGGACATTGGAGGAGTCACCTCTGCTGCTGGGAAAGGGCTTGCAAATATGAGCAGCGCATTTCTGGGCTCCCTGCCCACTAGGTGGCGGCCATCCTTGACGTATTGGGTTCCATCGGAAAAGTATTCAATGATGTCGTCCCTAAACTCGACAGAGAACTTGAAGCCATCGGGGTTCCGGGGAACACGAATAACAACGGCATCCGACAGCGCTTTAGCCTCAAGATGCAGTGCAGTAGGCCGGATGGTAACTTCGTTGAGCTTGACTCCGTTGCAAGGCGTGATCTTCACTTCGACATCGTCATCATACTCGAATTGTGACCACGCCATGCTGAGATTGGCCTTGTGCTCCAACTCACTAATACCGTCGCCGTCACTGCATTCATCCCAGGTGAACCGTTGGGGATTCGGCGAGTCGACGGGGGTTTTGAAGAAGCCATTACCACCTCGGGGAATCGATTCGTAGACGAAAGAGTCGTACCACGGGGCATCAGCGGCTCCGGCTGGGGGCGCGCTACGCACTTGAACGCGGTATGCATGAGATTGCCGTACCTTGTTTTCGTAGATACGGATTCTCTTGCTGTCCTTGACTCCCCCCTCTTGCCACCATGTGTGCAGATTGCGGGTTGAGACTGTCTGGACACCAGATGACATGATTCCGCAAACCGAATCTAACAGAATTATATCAACGGGTGAACAAGTGGAATAGCGGGCCAAAGGTGGAATTCTTTTGCGCTGGACTGAAAAGCGCAGCTAATGGAGCGGACGTCACACCGGGCTATAAGACGTTGTCAGGATTCAATTGTGTTGCAGACCAAACATTTTCAGCTTTCAGCTGGACGGATATCACATCGACGTACCTTCACCTGGAATGACTAGCCCAGATCCGGTATCTGGCAAACGTTGAAGAGCTGAGGATGCGGGAATGCTGCTTAAGGTATATGTAGCTAAGTTGATGCCCACCACATCATCACAATTGTGCGCCGCAAGCCACATGCGGCCGAGCCTAACCATGCCGGAAACGCCTCTTCTAGGGGCATCGTGCGTCTCTGTACGCACCGTGACTTGCACATGTCTAGTGCCAGGCCGAGAGACTATCCATATACGTTGCTTCAGATGCAGAGCATGACGCGAGCAAGCCATTCTAGACCCTGTGCCGCCCAGCACTATCGATGTCCAGCTAGCAATAGACTGCGCTTGGCGTCTGCGGTAGATCCCGTGGCGCGCAGCCATGAGATCTTGCTCAGCTGAAAATAAGCCCTTCCATTGTCCTAAGCGGTAATCATTGGCCGCGAGACCCAACCCTTGCGCAAGCTGAACTCCTCAATAGTTGGACCCACGAACGACCAGACTATGGTAGTGTCAAATCGCGGCCCGCTCCGCTGCACTGGTTTGTCCGCACGTATTCAATCCCATAGGAGACATTGAATGCCGTATCCGTGATGGAAGATTGTGATAAAGGCGTGGTCACCTAGAGGAGCAGCTCATCTTTCTCGCCCAACGAAATCAAAGGGCATTTGGCTCTAGAACTTCTTTGCAATTACTACCGCAGATCCTCAAGTGAATGACCTGATCAAGGTGCTCGAGAGCACCAGGTCTTTTCGGCGCCGTCATACATCAATCGATTACATGATATATGTACCTATTACATGACTACTATATACAATCTTTAACGGTACTGTTTTATATTTTTAGAATCTGATAGCACGTAGCCATGAAGCAATAGGACATTATGCTGGCTAGGAGCTTTGGCAAATGGCATCAGGAAAAGTTATCGTGAGCGTAATGTTCTTAATCCATAACTGTACCTCATTCACGCTCACAGAAGAGTGAGCGACAGCCTCGTAGGCAGCAGATGAATGATACAAAAGAGCTTATTATGATGAATCCAAGCCCCCCACAAAGGTCTAATATCACAGGCAAATCATGTTTATTCTCTTTTCTTCTTCAGACGAATGAAATTTGCTGTCAGGAAAGCGATAAGCAGTTGAAATGGGATGAGGAGCCATGAGATGTAGTTTGTAATGAGTAAACTACTTCGTGGAGGCAGCGTCTGCTCATGTACCGGCTTCTCTAATTCCCAAAACTTCCTATATCTCTCCTCTGCTCCTCGACCGTGCTCCTGTCGGACTTGAAGAAGCCATTCCTCATCAGGTTTCCGCATTGAGTAGCAATAAGGCCTCGCCCCGGCCTCTCGTAAAAGATGCACAATATCCCAGCGGCCCTTGATGACAGCAGCGTTTAACGCAGAGCCATACTTGCCACACCAGTCGTGACATGCGACACGTGCCCCCCGATCTAGTAACAGGCTTATTGATGCTGTCTGGCCCGAGTACGCCGCCGCCTGTAGAGCTGTGCCAAAAATTCCACCATGAGCGTTGATATCAGTCGCTGGGTTATGATCAAGGAGAACTTTCATCATTCCAGTCGCCACATCCATCATCCGAATATGGGTTGATAGTAGCAAATCATAACGGCTCTCGGCTGCACATGCTGACTGAAGAGGCAAGCCATATTTGCCGCTCATGAGATTAGTATCGGCACCATTTTCAAGAAGGAACCGGATTTTGCTGGCAGACATATCTCTAAAAACAATGTGATCAACTTCTAGGTCCACCGTATAGTTGCATGGTTTCAGGACTTTCTCCTCTACGGTAAACGCACTTTGCATGGCAGTGCCAAACTCGCCAGAAACTTGATTAACATCGGCGCCGTGTTCTAATAGGAGTTTCAGCAGATTGAGACTGTAGGTAGGTGCGGCGGCGGCGGCATGTAATGCACTGCCGTAGCTGCCTCCCTGTATATGGATATTTGCGCCGCATTCGAGTAGGATGCGCACTATTCCAACGCGGCCGTCGTCGTCACAACCACCGCCCTCATGCGCACATGCAGCTTGTAATGCCGTTCCGAAATAACCACCGACTGCATTTACATCGGCGCCGCGTTCAAGCAGCAAGCGCACCATGGTTGTCGAATCCGAGTCGTGGTAAAACGTGCAGGCAGCTTGCAGCGCGTTTCCAAATTTTCCGCCTTGAGCATTCACGTCAGCATCATGGGCAAGCAGTAATCGCACCATGTCCAGACTTCCGTGCAGACAGGCTCTCTGGAGAGCATTCCCGTATCGGCCGCCTTGTAGATTCACATTGGCCCCGTTCGCTAATAGCCATTCTGCCATTTTTATCCTCCCATTAGACGCGCTTGCCTGCAAAGCCGTTCCATGAATACCTGCCACGACATTTACATCAACACCATTGTCAACCAGGAACTGTGCGATCTGCATGGGATCGGAATGGTTCGAGCACGCAACATGTAACGCAGTCCCTAGCTCCTCGCACTGAGCACGGGGGTCTGCACCCATCTCAAGCAGGCGTTTCATTTGCAAAAGCGCTCCATCCACATCGGCGTAAACATTGGCCAGTCCATGAAGAGGAAATCCGTATCTTCCGCCTATATTGATGTCGGCCCCTCTTTGCAGCAGCAGGTTGAAATTATCCCAATGTCCCCTGCCTGCTGCCGTATGAAGCGCCGTCTTTTCATTTTCTCCAGTGCCACGCATATTTATGTCGGCTCCGTTAGCCAGCAGAAACTCAAGGTGTCTGGTATTAGCTTTGCAATTTGCTGCCGAAGAAAGGACACATCCGACTACGTTCGATGGGCTGTTAGTATCAGCCCCGTGGCTGATGAGGAGCTCCAACATCTCTAGCCCGTCTTGTCGTGCAGCAATTTGCAAGGCTGAACCATCTCTACCGCACTGCGCATTTATATCAGCGCCACTCTCAAGGAGTATTTTCACAATGTCCAAATAACCTCTGTCAACCGCCGCCTGTAATGCATCACCCTCTCTCCAATACCGAGTGCTACCTTTCGCGTTGGCATCCGCACCTCTATCCAGGAGAGATAGGACAAGTTCTTTGCTACCTCCCCAAGCTGCATTCCGTAGCGTAAAATCCATATCCTCCTGCGTTAAATATTTGCTTGTGCTTGAGCCGTTTGAGAGCAATAGCTCAGTCAACTGACTGTATCCTGCTAGAGCAGTAAAATAGTATGGATGTTGTAAATGTTCTTGGCTGATGTCGCCATATCCATACATCAACGAACGATATGGTAGGAGTGTAATAATTAAACCCTGGCTTCGAATCGAGAGAGCAGTTATCGCCATTTTAACAACTTTAGCTGGCCAGCATTGGCGAGGGACCTTTTCAAGATGATCTGGCCAATTTCTGGCTGTGTACCACTTCAGTGTATCGCGATTATCCTCGAAGCAATAATTCAGGAATTTCCCAGCATTCTCGGTAACTTTGTAAGTAATGCTCATGTATAGCACGTAAGCGAGGCTTGAACGTGCAATCCAGAGATGGGCGTTGACATCGGTAAACGAGAAGGCTGGTGCGAGATCCTTGCAAATTCGATCAGAAGTCAGATACTCTTTAATCGAGTAATGAGCTAGGCAGACAAACTTCGATTTTCTGGAAAAATTTTCGGTTTCCTCAACAATTATAAGTCCATGTAAATATGTCAAGATATCCTCTGAGCTGAAAATGCGTTCCTTTTCGTGGATGACGGTATCATCTTCCGGCCGCAGAATAAATATCTCAGCAAACTCATCTATTGTCAAAGTGCAGAGGGAGAAGGCTAGCCATTTCAGGCAACTTGTTACTTGTGTCTGAAACATCGGGTCTATATTTCGCAGCATCCTTTCATATGTCTCATCAAGTCCTTGAGGAAGATCTTCCAGGGCTCGCTGGATCTCGGCTGGGGATTTAAGCTTCTGTAAAATGTCAAACTGGCAGCGAACATACTGAAACCTTTCATATAGCTATTAGCGAAACTCTTTTAAACTCCGCTCAATGAGATGTCCATAGGCCTTACATTCCGTCTGATTTTTCAATCAATTTCCTTTTTACCTCAGCCCGTATAGCTGGATACCAGGTGTTGTAGTTGGCGTTTGATAAGGTTGAATCTATATACCGGCTGATATCTTGCTCCATCTCCTCCTTGCAAGAAGATAGGTTGATCTCTGCAGTTTCTGGCCTGGATAAATGGTTGTGAAGCTCGACATCTATATCTGCTTCCTTTCGGCTCGTACAGAATATGTGGAAATTACTGGCCGTAGCCGTAGCCGTAGCCGTAGCTGTAAGAATGTGGTTCAGGCTCTTCATGAGCTCCGCTCGTTCACCCTTGAGCTTGGGGCATTCGTCCAGGGCGTCAATCACGATATAAGTAGCAGAAAATCCGCACATGACAGCTAATAAACTTTGTTCGAGTAACCAGGTAGGTGGTTGTGAGTATTGGCCCTGATATTCCCTTAACTTTCTGACTGCCTCAGGCATGTTTGGTCGTTGACAACAGATTTGTTTAATCAGCGACCTAAGCATACCATCTCTTTCTTGTTTTTTATGATCGCTGAAGCTAAAATAAAAGTAGGCGATTGCAACTGATGGATCCTCGTCATATCTATCCTTTAGATATTTGATGACTGAGGAGCTTAGAATTGACTTCCCAGAGCCGGCTGCTTATTATTAACGGGTGTTGGCCATATTCGATAAGAAGTGGTGGCTTGGAACATGGAACACAATCACGTACCTTTCCCATGAAGCCATAGAAAAGATCGAGGGCTCTCCATCCAAGTAGTAAATTTTTGATTGCTTGTGAGCAACCACTCGCTTGTACCAGCTTCGTGCCTGTTCAGGGCCGTGTTGTAGATTGGCGATGGGTCGACATCAGATAACCATCTCATTAGGTCTTGATGATCCTTCTTTGCATTTGCGTCTTCCACTGCTTTTTTGAGGCTAGAAAACTCTGCTCCAACGACAGTTAAGCTATTAATAGTCTCTTGATGCCGCTGTTGTGCTGCAACGCATTCGTCATTGTACTGGGTTTCGTGCCAAATCTCACTGATTTTGATAAAGTGGGAATCCTGGGCGCGAATCTTTTCTATCAAATTACGCCAATCATCTCGCTTGGCGAAATCGCGACTCAGGCGTGAGGTTTCGCCACGAGCGTAGTAGCAATAGCATGTTATCTGAATTCTTAATATTTGCCGGTATAACTCCTCTAAAGTATGCTTGTAAATGGATCTTGATATCGCAGATGGCGCAAAGCTGTTTAACTCATAGCGTCGATGATATAGATCTTCTCGCATTCGACTTTGGACAATGAGCGATGAAATGTGCTCTAGTCCTTCCGCTAGAGCTGAAGCTTGCTCTATAGGATTTAAAAAGAGCTAAAATACGAAGAAATGGATTATTTTCTTTTCTTGATGTTAAGATATTGCACATGACTTTTAACTTACTGGCAATAATACACCAACACCAGCCCAGGCTAGAGACGCATATGAACTGGAGCTGACCGCAGGAGTGATATAGTCATTGACTGACTTGATTACTCCCAAAATATTTTGAACAACTCCAGTGAGTTGAAGTTCCGAACTTCCAAATGTCAATTTCCAGATATTACCTTGCATCTCTTGCATCTTATGTTTGAGTATGGTGTCCATCCACTCTCTTCTGCTCTCTTTTAAGTTTGGCACGCAGCCCAAGGCGGCGGGCAGGCATCCTTGAAGCTTAATTTCGTACTCTTGAATAAGTTTGCTGTCTTCTTCTCGCAATTTCTCGTATGCCACATTCCAAAGTTCTCTTATTGGCGTGTCTTCGCAATCTTGACTGAGGAACGTCGGCAGGGATGTTTGAGGTGCGTTGCCCGGGGACAGGTTGTTGGACTCGGTTGAGGTCGGCTCGGTTGAGGTCGGCGCAGAGACGCCTCTCCTATCAAATACATAATTCGTTAGACTCCATGAATGTTTTATGGTCTTAGGATATACACAGACCGGTGTTTATCTTGACTCCTGTCGCGGATCTTCCCCTTCAGTTTTTCCCTGAGGCCTGCTTTAGGTGACAGCATCGCAGCTTTGGATTACAAAAGTATAAAATAGCTCTGTAGTTTCATAAGCTAGGTACTCAAGATCATCAAGATGGAAGGAAAGGTTAGGTTTCGATATTGCAGCCTGATTGAGTGCAACCAGCAGCCCCGCCAAGATTTGAGACAGGGCGGGGGCTGTTAATGCAGAGCTGAAATGGCCTCCTAAAGAGAAGCCAGAATTGGGGATTGGGGGTTTTCGGTTAAGCTTTGGTTAGTGTACCATTCGAGCGTGCCTCTTTGTGCTACATGTTGTAGTCATAAGTACATGAAGGAAATCACTGACGAACATCGGCTGTTGCATAATATCTTGTTTAGCTGCTATGTAGGCAGCTGCTCATATACAGAATTATCATGGGGTATACTCGTATTCTCAGTGAATACCCTGAGCTGATGATGGTTTTCCATTGTATTTGGTTGCTCGAATGCTAAGCCCACCTATATACATAACATCTCGCAATGATCTCTCATCATACCTATTGTAATATGAGTTGTCCAGGGTATGCATGTAGGTTTCTCCCCACTATAGTATAAGGCTGTTGGATCTTGACATTGCCTTTCGGCCCCTGTCACATTGAGTTATTTTATCACTGCATTGGGAATTTAGGCAAAGTTGTGTTATTTCCAATGGAAATAAAATCTACGTGTTTGTTATTAGTTGACACAGCCACCTCCCCATTTTCCTATGTGAGGCATCACTTAGAACAGATGGTGTGATATGACGGATATCTGCTTCCGGTCTCAATTTCATCTTGGTTGCTTTTGGGATAATTAAGTTGCTCCATAATTACATATATGATACGAATCGTCAACTTCTTGATCTTGTTGCTCAGCGATTCATGAACGCAAAATGGCTCACCACTTGTGGGATACGAAAGACCAGAATTCCAGTTTCGCAAATGACCACATATTGGGTATGACTTACTTTCGCTGTTTGCCCATGTAAGATACACTCTATTGACACTAATTCCAGCCACATCTGAGTATCTTTCTACAACGCGGTCGCCAAGTCAGCCTTGGCCCGGCATTTTAACTGTCGGCATCTCAAACGGCAATGGTTTCTCTGTACCAGATGAATACCAACAAGCTCTTAGTAGCCTCGAAAGTGACTCTTCAACGCAATCTGAGAAATCGAAGAGAGAGTGGCGTGTCCCCCGCCGCCGATTGCTGCCCTATGCCATTGTAGAGTACGACAAATTCCAAATATATGCGCATTCATATGCAACTTCAGGAACCATTGAGAATCCACAGTGGGCAAGACAAGGACCTTACAGCATGAAATTTGATGTCACCCGCGCTGCAGAGTTAGTCTTGTGGTTTTACCTGGAACATCCAAGTCTTCCTCAAGGGAATTGCGATTTCTTTCTTGGAAAGGCCAGGATCGAGCCGGTGCTCGAAGAAACGAAGTTTACCAAGCAACTGAAAGTCGAAGGGGGTACCGGAGAAATCTCTATTGAGATCCAATACACTAAAAATGCAACACCAGAATTACAAGCACTCGACGGATTTGATGCATATCTTGGGAATAGTTGTTGCTCGAGCGACTGTTCCATCGCCCAGGGCAAAAAGAAAGATACAAGTTTGCTTTACGCCTGCAAAAGACTTACAAATGCCAACAGCTCGAGCCATGTGTTCCTATCTCAGGCTGACAAGCCGTTTATTGCACCACTCAAGTTTGTGGCTCAAACATCCAAGGGAGTAGGCCTACATTCACCTTTTATTCATGGAGGACCGCTATTTTACCATATTCAGAAGCCGCGGCGTTTTGATGTCGACAGATGCCGCTTCTATGCTGCAGAGATCCTTTGCGCATTCGAAAGCTTGTTACGGTCTAATCCTTCCTACCGCGGGCCCAAAACAGAAAATATCCTCTTGGACTCTATAGGGCATGTTGTACTGTGCGACTTTAGTCTCTATAACACTGACATGGAAAAAACTGCTCACAGCATGGTGGAATATCCTGCTCCTGAGCTGCTTTTGGATCAAAATTATAGCAGTGAAATACCGTCGCACAGGTGGTGGACTTTGGGAGTTTTCCTTTATGAAATGCTAACAGGAATGCCGCCATTCTACGCCGAAAGTATCGAGGAAAGGCAAGAAAAGATCTTGTCCAGCGAGCCCATCATATATCCGAATTCGCTGCCATTACCTGCAAAGGACATCCTGACCAGGCTTCTTGACCGCAATCCCGAGCAGCGATTAGGTGTAAAGAGAGGAGCAATCGAGATCAAAGAACACTCGTTTTTTGACTGCATTGACTGGGATAAGCTTATGCGGCGTGAATATCGTCCCGATTTCAAGCCTCCTCAGATTACAATGCCCTTTAGGGAGCCACTCAAAGCGTTAACTTGGGCTGAGGCGATGGAGCCATTTATAGGGTTCACATATGTAAATCCGGACAAAAATGTGCAGCCTGACGAAAATGTGCAACCGGAGGATGAGGTTCTGTCGAAAAAGCCACGAGAGAATGTAAAACAGAAATCCTCCCTTCCTCCTCCCCCTCCTCCTCGTCCTTCCCCTTTTATTTCTCCATCAGTCAAGATAGCTGTTGATGAGAATCCGGACTGGAAGCTAGTGTGGGAGGAAGAGGCCAAAACATTTTACTTCTATAATCGCTCAAACAGCGTAAAACAGCAAATTGTGCCCCAAACATTTTTTCCGAGATACCCTTCGAAGCAAGCCCAGGGGGATTCTTCCGGGAGCGAAGTGCCAAGTCAGATTCAGAAGGAGGATGCACTTGAGGGCATTTTGAAGACTGGATACTTTCATCTGATCCCTCAACTACTGCACGAATATGGGGGTATGGACTTGAACGTTCAACTTCTTAGCTTTCAGGGTTTACCAACTCCATTAGAATTTGCCGTAGAGCAGGAAAACACCAAACTTCTGGAAATGCTCATCGATGAGGGTGCCACTGATTCATGTGGAGGCGCGTTGTTCAGGGCAGTTAGGAAAGGACACCAAGAGATGGTCGCCACCCTGACAAAGGTTGTTGACCGAGCTAACCTCACCAGAGCGTTAGGGAGGGCTGTGGATCGACAGGACATGGCCATTGTTAACGTCTTGTTAGCCAACGGCGCCACATGTGAATTCGAGGACTCTGATCGGCCGCCTCCTCCCACAGAATGCTACTTCCCCGAGGTCTACCCAGAAGATGACTATATGCCCCCTCTTGTCAGGGCTGTCAAGCTGGGCAGCATGGAGCTAGTACGGCTGCTGCTTGCGCAAGGCGCGGATGTCAATGTAGGATATCACGATCTTACAGGTGACCTTGGATTTTCCCCGACGTCCCAGATTATAGATGTGAGGTGCGGAAGAGTGATACAGGTGGCGAAGGAGCTGGGACGTCAAGACATGGTTGAGCTGTTTCTAGAGATGGGGGCGGATATCCATCTGCCGCAGCCGACCTGGCAATTTCACGACTGCCCGATGATACCGAGGGCGGTTTACTTTAGAGTTACGGCGGGACTGAGGGAGCTTGAGGTGGCGAGGGAGGCGACAAGAGATTCGGATGAATGGGTGCTTGTGTAAAGACGGAGGCGGAGAGGGTAGGTATGGAGTTCACTTCCTCGGTAAGTACCGTATTGGCATCACGACATCAAATAGCAACACACACGGGCGATACGAGTATGCCAAGAGAAGGTCATCTTTAAGATCTGAGGTCAGACTCCAAAGCTGACGGCTAGGCTGATTGTCCGGCAGTGGCGTCGACAACCATTTCCTATCAGTATCTGGCTGAGGACGCAGCTGTGCCTTGTTCGTTGTGTTTGCTGTCTTGACAAGAGAGAGAGAGCCTGCGGGATTCCGCATCAAGTAGTTACTCTGTATCATGACATTTGCCTTGGTTTACTTCAAAGTTGTATGTATTATGTGTTAAGTACCATGCCTAAGTACGATACCAATATCAGGTATATGATGAGGAATACCAACTTACCTGGGGTGCCACCATCTAAACATTTCAAAGCGGGGTTGGTTAACTAATTTGGTGCCTCGGCAAAGAGCTTAGATATCAGATTGCGTGGGCTTGTATGTACTACCTCTAGAGCCCCCTAGTGTGATGTATAATTTTGCCGGAGACAACCGCTTATTCGGACGCGGTGACGAGGCAACTTCTGAAACGGGCATCACACTTGAGCCGGGGGTCCGCGTCCAACTGGCCTGCCGCTCGGCCTCGCACATCAAGTTAAAGTAAAACAGATTCGAGGTGTATCTAAAAAGTCCGGCTGTGGGGAAGAGCTGGAGCCTCTAGCTCTTAGGCGCTGCCTTAGCTCGCTGGGACAGGCACAAGGCCAGAGGGCTGAAGCGAATGCGACGAGACTAACGGCCGTCCGCGGGCACCAGCCCAAATCCAGCATCGACGCTGCCATAACGGAGCAGACGGACGGTTTCTGGCCACCGATTGATTGACTGTATTCCACATGCCAGAGAGCTTCTGCCGCGGCCTGACTTGGGTTGCGATGCAAGGGAGAGGAACCGGCAATTGTGACAGCGCGCGACACTCGTTTCATCTTCATCCATCACACGAGCTCAACTTGCATTAATACTTTGGCATCCCGATAACCACCCCTGCGCTACGACACATAGTTACGGACGCTTCAGTTCAGCAATCCTCACCAACGAGAAGCTGCCCAGCTAGAGTTACACCACGATCCATCCCCCGTCTTCCCTGTCCCACCACCATGGCGCTCAACACGACGGGCATCCCGCCGCTGCAGTTCACGGCCCTCGACGACATCACGGCCCAGTACAACAAGGTCCGCGACACCTTCAGGTCTGGCCGCACAAAAGATGTCGAGTACCGCAAGCAGCAGATCCGACGCCTCTACTGGGCCATCGTCGACAACGCCGAGCTGATAGAGCTGGCCCTCAACAAGGACATGGGCAAGTCTAACTTCGAGGCCAACATCACCGAGATCGACTGGTGCAAGCAAGAGTGTCTTGACGCCGTCGACAACCTGGACAAATGGATCAAGGACGAGGGCATCCCCCACATGCCCGTGCAGTTCTGGGCCATGAAGCCGCACATCAGGAACGAGCCACTGGGCGTCATCCTCAACATCGGCGCCTACAACTTTCCCTTCCAGCTCAACCTGACGCCCCTCGTTGGTGCCATTGCGGCCGGAAATACCTTTGTGCTCAAGCCGTCCGAGATCTCGCCGCACTCGGCCATGGTCTTGAAGAAGATTATGGATGAATCGCTCGACCCCGATAGCTACATCTGCATCAACGGCGGCATCGACGAGACCAAGCACATCCTAGAACACAAGTTTGACAAGATTGTCTTCACCGGCGGTAGACGAACCGGCACTATCATTGCCCAGAAGGCGGCCGAGACGCTGACGCCAGTGCTCCTCGAGCTGGGTGGCCAGAACCCTGCCTTCATTACCCGAAAGGGCGACCTCAAGATTGCGGCTCGACGTCTGCTCTGGCAGAAGTGCCTGAATGCTGGCCAAGTGTGCCTCTCCCAGAACTACGCGCTGGTGGAGCGATGCGTCCTCAACAAGTTCATCGATGAGGTCAAGAAGCAGTACGCCGAATTCATGCCACAGGGAGCAAAGGCCAGTCCCGATTTCTCTCGTATCGTCAACCAGGGCCACTTCAACCGCATCAAGAAGATGCTGGACAACTCCAAGGGCAGGATTGTCATGGGTGGAGCAATTGACGAGTCCGAGTTCTTTATCGAGCCCACGGTTGTGCTGGTTGACGACATCAATGACAGTATGGTGGTGGAGGAGAGCTTTGGTCCCATCTGGTCCATTATCCCGTTTGATACCCTGGATGAAGCCATCAACATCGCCAACCAGGTTGACCCGACGCCATTGGCTCTATTCACCTTTGGCTCGGATGCGGAGAATGAGAAAGGTTCGTCATTGCTACAAGCGCTTCTCTATAAGTTAAGAAACCATGATATTGACATCCTCTATAGTACTCAGCAGCGTGACGTCGGGAGGAGCCACCATCAACGACGGCTTCTTCCACGCCATGCTCAACCAAAGCCCCATCGGCGGCATTGGATCCTCCGGCACGGGCAACTACCACGGCTACTACTCCTTCAAGACCTTTAGCCACCAGCGTTCCATCGCAAAAGTCCCAGGCTGGGCGGACAAGCTGCTGCGCGTGAGATACATGCCCTACTCGACCAGTGAGCTGAAGCGTCACCGCCGCATCAACGGAAAGAAGCCCGACTTCGACCGCAACGGCCAGCTCGTCAAGGGCTTGAAGTACTGGGTTACCATGCTGCTGAGCTTGGGCTCCAAGAACGCGGCGGGCTTTGCTCTCAGGTGGGGGGTTCTTATTGCTTTGGCTGTGACACTAGGTCTGAAACGCAACTTTTTAGGACTGTGAATGAAGAGACGAATGAAGAGAAGAATGAAGTGAAGAAATAAACTTGTGCCAGCGCAATGTTCGTTGTGAGATGGGCCTCTCAATTTGGCCTGCGTGGAGAGAGCACGAGTACGAACTCTGCATTCGATTCCCCTGCTTTCGTATTTTACCAGAACCTTGGAAGCTGAGATACCGTGGTTTTTATGCCACATTTATGCATTATTTTAATATGCCTTGTCTCTCTTTGTTATAATTTCTTTTGTCATATAGCTGGGTGGTGCCTGGTCAGCACCCCAAATTAGCTACCACTCTAGCATACCTGGATCCTAACCTACATAGCAGGGTGCATAATCTATGGAAGCTATCTAGTAATTTTCCGTAACTAATATAAGTCCATTCACTTGTTGCTAGACGCCGGAAGAAAGTAGCCATAGTCGTAAATATTAGACGAAGAAAGCGATAGTAGCTTATATTAGGAGGGTAGGTACTGATAGGGGCAGATACTATATCAAAGACCAATTGATATACGCTAAGGAGTAATATGTCCACACACAGGGATGTCGCTTTATCCATAAACTTGGTATTATGCAATACGAATTGATGAACAAATTACTTCACGATGAGCGTATAGATATGTATGGCGAAATAATCAAACTAATCTTTTATATTATAGTGCGTTAATCTTAACTTGGCTGAGAAAATGGGGCCCCTTGTTCGCATCCCTAGAACATCTCGTTGAGAATACATGTATCCAAGACTGCATCGCTACCTCTGCTAGTATCAACTTCTTCCTCTAGTATGTAAATACGTATTGACAGTAAGAGGACATAGACCTTTAGGCTCACCATAATATGCACGAGAGAACCTTTTCATGCAAGGTAGGCCCATCGAGCTTTTCGTGCAAAACTTCGAGGGCCTCAAGAATTTGACGTGCTCGGCCATCTGAAATCAATAGCTTAATATTTGAGATAGCATTAATATATGGATTCTTACCGCTGATTCGGAAAAGCTCTCCCACAGTAGCGGGAAATCCTTCAATTTGCTCTCCGGTTCTATGGTCTAAAAGTGGAAAAAGCCGTGCATCGGTTACAGGACGAGCTCGATGTATTTGAAACTGATATGCTAGAGAGTTATGGAGACGAAGACTATGATTCTTTAATCTGGAATATATCAGTACCAGATACAAGATTATGCAAACAAATCGTAGACAAACATCGCCTCTATGCGTTTTCTATACTCATCTGCCTCTCTCCAAGCTTCGCTTGCACGTCTCCAAGCCTCATCTGCACGTTCCTTAGCCTCAGCGGCGCGCCCCCTAGCCTCAGCTGCACGCCGTTCAGACGCAGCAATATCTATATCAAATTGTTCAGACGCAGTCATATTTATATCAAGTTGTCCTAGCTGTTGATTAACTTGCTGTAATACCGTGTTCACATTGATCTCCATGTTCAAAAACTGCTCAATCCCGAATCCATGTGTGTTTCCTGAAGGGGAAATAGGAACAGCAGAGAATATATAAGCAGCGGGTTAAAAAGGAGAGAGAAAGTATAATCTGTTGAGATCAGGTCATGTGTTTGCAAACCCTATCAAGCCCTCTCGTTGAATCAAAACTTGCTGTACTCCATATCTATGTAGTACGTACCTCCTTGGAGATGACATCTAAAGTAACATAGAATAAGGTTAATAGGTACCTATAAGATCAAGTCGAACGACGTTCCGATGAGAAGCCTTCATAATGGAGTTCGAATATGTCCAATTTCTTGCACTGACGTTACAATCTCCTCCCCTCTTCTATCGCCCGGATAACGCTGCGGCTAGCCTTTTCCCTCGCTCTCCTCCTAAGTAAATGTCGTCGTCTGCGGACTCTCTTCCAAACTCAACCGCCTCGTGATACCCCCTTGTAACAGTATCTTCGTCCACCTTGACCCCGTTCTCCACCAGGGCAGTGATTACACTTCTGCACCGCGCAATCTCCCTCATTGTGGGTACGTCGATGGGGTTGTTTTGGCTCGAGTAGATTTGAGAGCTGACGCTTTCCTCCATACGGTTGATACCCGCCGCCTCGGCGGAGACATCGCTCTCAATATGCTTGCTGATCCAGATGTAGCCGTTGACGCCAAGCAGGACGTCGATCTTGCTACCTCCGTTGGAAGTCTCCATGGTCCATAGCTGGCGCTTGGAACGTACTACACCGCCACCGCCTCCAGTGCCGCCGACGGCGACGAACACACCGTTTCTCAGCTTTCCGTACTTCAAACTACGAGTATGCAAGCTCGCAGCGCCGTCTTGATGCAGCTGCTGCACCTCAGCGACGAGGAGGTCGCCCTCTGCAAAGAAACTCCGAATCTGGAGCTCGTCTGTCTCAGTGCGCTTGCGGAGGATGCCGCCTGGGAGGTTGATGGCAGAGATCTGGAGAATGGCAAGCTGGGCGGCGGCGACATCGACACGCCAGCGCTTGGCCTGGACCTCGACGATGCGGCCGACAACGAGGTCACCGATCTCAGGGTTGTAGCGCGCCCTCAGGGGACGCACCGAGAGCAGCTTGTTGGTGCGAGTGAGGGTGCCGGCGAGAGATGAAGTGATGGATGTGGTGTTTGGAGGGACGTAGGTACCGTGACCGCTGAGACAGGTTAGTAAATGATGATGAGTTTTAAATGCTTGATGTGAGAGCATATGTGTTTTTGTATGTGTCAAGATGCATGGTTCATGCTCAAAACACCGATTCAATGTAGAGGTAGAGGGAAGGGAGAGCATAAGGGAAAAGGGTAGGTAGCGCAAGTGAGATGGCAGGGGGAGGCATTACCGCATCCATTGGGAATTCGACGTGATTACTGTTCCAGGAGTGAGAATCTCGTCTCTGTTGTCGGTTTGCTCTTCCTCCTCTTCATCCACGTTGATGCTTTCGCCGTCGTGCATGGGAATGTCGCCGTCGATGGCAGCACCGCCGATTTCTGAGTCTGAATCTGAATCTGAGGGAACGTCCATATCGATGTCCACTGCACGCGGCCGTCGCGGTGCCGGTGCGCTTGGCTGCGGGTTGTGAATTGTGATGGGCATGGTGGGCTGTGAGATGATGGCTTTTTCTTTGTTTTCTGTATTGATGAGGAATTGAAAGGCGAAGGTGCGCCGGGATGTGGCGGCTGGCCTGCGATAGACTAGATCCGGTTGTATCTCAGTATATGATTACTATTATTGCCCTCTTGAGTGCTGGATTGCTGCTTTTCGTGCTTTTTAGTCGTTTGAAGTGATGTTTTTAGGCTTGTATGAAAAAGTTGGTATGAAAGGTTGAAAGTGGGGCCGATGCTTGTTACTGGCGGCCTGGTTTTTGTTTGGCGAGCTATCTATGGTGAAAGGCAGCAAACGGCCAGAGTCAATATTGCAACAGAAATTTGCCTAAAGATGTCTTATTGAATGAGAATTTTGCATTGCCAAATGAGTTTCTATACAATGGCGTTGTATCCATTACCTACCTATACATTGGACTTCAATTCCATAGGATAGCAGGTGGATGTACTCCGTACCTTTGAGCACATCTTACTTCTGGCGTGCCCTACAGGACAAGTGCATTTCAAATTCGATGTGGCAGCTAAGTCGAGAGAAGAGAAGAGTTCATCCATATATCTACCTAGATTTTTCCCCATGCCTTGAGATAGCCTGCGCCGTTTTCTGAGAGATCATCTCCATGTGCTCCTGCTTAATCATACACAAGGTAGTACACTAATATACATAGAAGCAGCCGTTGATATTAATCCAATGAGCCATGGCCATTCGGATGCATTACTTCCATTCATGCATGTATCATGAGCGAATGGCGCCAAAGTAGAGTGCAGTTCATTCCATCATCCGGGGTCGTTCATCATATCTTTGCAATGCATGTACAAGACAGATCCCTTTTTGCAAATCAAGACACCAATATCTCAATGCTCATTTAAGGGCCCTCCAGAGGCCCATCCATGCGAGACCGGCCGAGATGGTGACGATGCCAAACCTTCGGCTCCTCATGCCGAAGATCGACTTGCTCTGAAGAATGACAGCCCGTTGCTTTTCGAGCTGTGACATGCCCGAGAAGTAGCTATATCCCGCAAGACAAAAAAATGCACCACTTCCTGTGTGACTGTCAGTCTTTTCATTCTCCATATTAGATTGCCCTTGCATGAGACTACTACGCACCTATGACTTTGCAGCTCAAGCAGTCGTCGCCGCGGTCCTGGCGCAAAATGTCCTGAAGCCGCTCTGGTTTCTCAAGCGACTGAAGAGTCGGGATCTTGTCGCCGGCCATGTTGAAGAAGCCGCTGGTTCAGTAGTTGAGGCGCTCAAGCTCGAATGAAGACCAAGGACAAGTCGATAAGAAACACCTGATAATCAAGGGTAGGTTTTCCAGCAGCTATGTAGCGACGCAAAGTGATTGGCGTAGCCGCATTAGTCAGCGCAATCCAACCAAGTTTCGTCATGCTTAGTTGCGCGACTGTATAGCTGGAGCTTCAGACATTGAACCTTGGACAAGGCGCTGGGCCGTCACCATGAACGGCGTTATTGAGGCGCTGCACATCTATGATGACAACAGGTAACCTTTTAGTACCCTGGAGGTTCTTCTAAACACCGCTGACGGGTCAAGGAATCCCATTCTATCGCATACCTATACAGGACGGCCGCTCTCGGCTTCCCATCTTCTGTCCCTCTACCTCGAACACCCATTTCCACGGCCGAGCCTGATCTATCTCCCCAATGCAAACCCTCCGACACTCGTCTTCAGCCTGACGCACTCCAACCTGCTTTTCTTGGCCACCTCATCCACCGAAATCGAACCCCTCCTTGTGCTCGAGTTCCTGCACCGAATCGTCGATGCCTTTGAAGACTTCGTTGGGGCGCCGTTGCTGGCTGTCAAGCTGGAAAACAACTACGATGTCGTCGCCCAACTTCTGACGGAGATGTGTGATGCAGGGACCGTCAGTACGACGGAGCCCAACGCTCTAAGAGAAGTGGTGGAGATGGAGGGCTGGGTTGACAAGCTGCTGGGTAGCATCAACTTACCAGGGTAGGTGCAGACTTGCAGCACTTCAGCAGCTGATGAGAATGCTTCTCTCGACTAACCTGAGAGTAGGAAAAATCCACTCAACACAACTTCAAACGCACCGTCCCTAATAGCCTCCAACACGCCAGCCTTGCCCTGGCGACGGGCCAACGTACGGCATACGTCAAACGAGCTCTACGCCGATGTCGTTGAGACTCTCTCCGTCACGCTTGCTCCTTCAGGAAGGCCATTGGCTGCCTTTGCTAATGGAACAATTGCGTTTACGTCAAAGGTGTCTGGCGTTCCGGATGTTTTGGTGACATTGGGCAGCCCGTCAGGGAAACATAATATCGGTGGCATCATGGAACTACCTGTGTTCCATCCATGCGTTCGTTTGAACAAGTGGAATGAACGACCTGGAGAATTAAGTTTTATACCGCCCGATGGACGATTCATCCTGGCTGGCTACGAAGTTGACCTGTTACCATTTACGAGTGGCAAGAGTGGGAGCGTCAACTCGAACAACCTCAAGCTTCCCGTTACCCTTGAGATGAAAACTGGTCTTGGACCCGTGGGATCCGAATTCGAGGTCAGGCTGCAAACTAACAAGATTTTTGGTACCCCCAACTCATCAGCAGCAAGCCAACTGGCGCGTTCAGGAGTACCCGGAATCCCTGGACGATTGTCATCACCACACCCTGGAACCCCAAGCTCGCCACTGCTGGACGACTTGACAGTCACTATTCCTCTACCTGAAGACGTGAGGAACCTGTCTGATATCAGGCCGTCTAGGGGAGATGCAAGCTTCAACAGAGCCGAGGGGCGACTCGAGTGGCACATCCCCGCAAAGGAGATATCTGGCCCGACGTCCCATTTCGGATTGAGGTGTACGGTAGTGGGGTCTCTAGCTGACGACGACGAAGAGGAAGAGTTTGATCCTACAGGATTCGGGTTTGGCACTGACTATTCATACAACGAGCCATACCAAAGCACACCGGCTACGAAGAAGGGCAAAGAAAAGCAGGGCGCGGATGATGAACAGGACCCTAAGAGGGTGGCGCAGAACAAGATTCTGATGCCTAGTTCAGCGTCTGTAAGCTTCTCCGTCAAGGGGTGGCTAGCAAGCGGGTTGAAGATTGAGAGCATTGTAATAGATACAAGGAAAAGCCGGGGGCTGGGCGAGGGTGTGAAGCCTTACAAGGGCGTCAAGTACTTGACAGTCAGCAAGGGAGGAGTAGAGATTCGCTGCTAATAGACGGCTAGACTGAAGTTGAACTGCATGGCTCACTCTTGTTATTTAGTAGTATACCTACGAAGTACTCAAAGAGGCACAAGGGGTGTGATCCTCCGTGTTGGGAATTGAATAGCACAAATCGAATCAATATCCGAGTCAAGTCCGGAGCAGCTTCACAGCCATTGACATTCCCCGGCAACTGTGTGCCAACAGAATAAATGCATTCAAGAGATCCCCTGAACCCAACAGTTTCAATTACCCCAACGAGGGGCTGCAGCGTCCAGTAAGCGGACGCTCTTAAAGATGCCGAATCTGCAGCCTTAAGCATTGCCGTGGCTATTTGCTAGTGCGGATGCTACAGCTCGGTGACAGCTCGGAAACAGCCACTTATAACTGTACCCCACGTGCTTCTTACCTACTACGGAGCATACCTTAGCAGTATCCTTGTGCGTCATTGCTCCTTATCCTTCACATGAGCTATTGCTTCCTTCCAACTTTGACATTCTAGATTCGCCTTGTCATGTCGATTCAAGCCGTGTAGAGCACGAGTATCGAGCTGAGAGAAGGCGGATTCTCCGTGGTTCCAACATTGGCTGTCGCAAGGCTATGAAGCGCTTTGCAGGCCCTGTTCTGCGTAGCCGGCGTGGCGCGAGGGTCAGCCGAGATGCGTCATGGCTGACATGGGCTTCGCGATGCTGCGCTCCGGCATCTGGTGGACGATCGGTGCGATGGAGCTCGAGCCGGCCTGGGAGGCCACGGACGGCGATTTTCTTCCCGGGTGAGCTTTGCCTGTGCGATGCCGAGGTTAGAATGGCTCTTTGTGACTGATGCGAGTGCGCGCGAGTGGACAGGCCAGGGAGTGCAAAAGGTTGGCATGCTGTCGCCTTGGCTGGAGGCGTTTCCCACGACGGCATCGCAGATTATCGAAGAGATTGACCACTGCGCTGGTTTCAAAATCTCCGACGTCATACAGAATGGCCCGTCCAAAGTTCTGACCCAGACAACCATGGCCCAGCCTGCCATCATGGCCACGTCCATCTTCATCCTACGCATCCTCGAGCGCGAGTTCAACTTTCGAGTTGCCGACCATTTCGACTTTACGCTGGGTCATTCTCTGGGCGAGTTCACTGCATTGGTTGCTGGTGGATACATTGCCTTTGAAGACAGCTACTATTTAGTGCAGCGGCGCGCAGCGGCGATGTCGGAGGCGACGAAGAAGGCCATCCAGGAATATGGAGGCGAGTACGGCATGGTGGCTGTGATTACAGAACCGGAATATCTACAAGGCTTGATCAAGGCGATTCGAGACTTTGTTGGGCACTCGAGCGACGGGAGCAAGTCGGAGAGCAATCAAGATGTGCCGCCGATTGAGCAGGTGTTGATCGCCAACATCAACAGCAAGAACCAGATTGTGTTGAGCGGTAACATGGAGAGAATCAAGATGCTTATAGCGCATGTTCGCCAGTTCTTGGGCCACGACCCACGAGCGGTGCGGCTACACAGCGACAGCCCTTTCCACAGCCCCATCATGAAGCCCGCGGTAACTGTCATGAAGACACTGCTGGAGAAGAAGAGCCGTGTCCCGGGCCGAGAGAACGAAGACATTGTTACGTTCCCGGGATTGATGCCGTGTATAAGTAATGTCTCAGCCAGACCGTTCCAAAGCAAGGAACAACTAAAGGACCTACTCGCCAGAGGATGCCTTGAGACGGTTCGATGGTGGGCAGCAATCAAGTACCTCGACCAGGAGGAGAAAGTCAGGCGATGGGTTGGTATCGGCCCTGGCAAAGTGGGCAGAAACCTGGTAGGAAAAGAGGTGGGCATGAGAGGAAAGGATCTAGTCAAGGGAGGAGGCGTATGGGCGATTACGGATCCTTATGAGGTGGAAGAGGTACTGCGAGGACTGGAAGAGACGGCGAATATCTTAGATGACGAAGACGAATAAGAGATGATAGCTTATAGATAGGCTGGACGGGTCGGTTCTAGTATATAGGGTTCTGTGTATAAGTAAGGTAGGGGTGAGCGGAAGATGGCGAGCATATCGGGATGCTGGATGTGTCCAAGAGTACTATTTAGTAGGCGAATTGTAATATTATTTTAATTACATTTCATTGTAATTCTTGTCCTATAACTGGACTAAAAAATCAGTGCCTTTGTTATTGCGTAATGCGAGAAAAGTGAAGCTCTTGGGGATGACCGAGGCCAACCCCCACCAAGATGGCTGTACTTTATTATACGTGCATCCTAATCCTTGCCCACTCTGCAGCTAAGCTCCTGCACCTCAACATCAACCGCAACCTCTACAAACCACACACAAACAAACCATGTCGGCCGCAATACCCTCTGTCGCCTGCCTCGGCGTCATCGGGCGCAACGTAAGCTTAAATTCCTCTCTTCTCTCTTTCTAGAGGGCAGAGAAGAACAAGAAGATTGGACAGCAGCTGACGAAATCGCGCCCGCAGAACAACCCCCTACACATCTCCATCTTCCCTTCCTACGATCCCGCTGCCAACACCTTCTCGCCGATCCGGAACCCTCTGCAATTCTCCCTTCTGCTGTCCTCGACAATCGACGTCTTCGACTTGCGATCCAAAAGCAGCACAGCGTCGGGCGACTTTGGGCTTCTGCACGCCATCGACGACCGCCTCGCGGCGTATGGCTTCGAGACCAACACAGGCGTGCGGATGGTCTGCATAGTGGACATGCGCGGACGACGCGTCGAGGCAGGTGGCAGCGGCGTCGCAGGGCAGGGCAGTGGCGCGGCGGGAGCATCGACGTCTACTTCGACTTCGGCGTCTGCTGCGGCGGCGCGATCGTCTGTGGGGAGCGTGGGCGCGGGATTGCGGGACTCAGAGCTGAAGCCGGTGTTTAGGGCGATGCAGAGCGCGTATGTGCGACTGCTGCAGAACCCATTTTACGATCCGGACGAGCATGCGCCGCTGGGCGGGAAGGGCGGGAGGAGGATCACTAGCAAGAAGTTTGGGGATGACATGAAGAGGATAGGGGAGGCATGGACGCCGGGAGTGACGACTCTGTGAGGATGATGGCAAAAAAAGCGAACTTTGAGAATGAGAGAGACGGGCTGTGAACGAAGGGTATGGTGATTGGGCATTTGCATTGGCGTTTTGGTGGGTGGCTGGCTATTCATGATATCCGTGATTGATATGGTGTACAACTAGCGAGATTGCGAGATTTCGTTTGGTATCGGCCCGGGCATTGTTTTCCTGTCTAGAGCATGTAGGATTTTGTAATGGTTATAGTCCATCTTCAATACATCTTTTGAAATCTTCAACCGTCTATATCTATCAAATATTCCATGACTACCAAATGCATGATACCTATATATGTTATCCCTGCCCAGTTTCTCACCCCATGTCTTCGCTCTGCTTCTTCAGATGCTCAATTCTCCATTTCGATAGCCCGGCAACTTCTTCTACCTCCACACTCTCACCCATCTTCTCAGCACTATCCACGCTCTGCTTCGCCATGGGCTTCACCTGATATGGCTTTGACGCCGCTCCCCCTTCCCAGTGGCGTGCCTCCATTGTCAAAGGCTGCCACCAGTCTCCTGTTCTGGCATGCCACCTCGCGCTGCATAGCTCCCATAGCCGTGACGCAGCCCTCTTGTAAGCAAAGCGCTCGTCTTCTCCCGTAAAGGCACCCGTGTTAGCAAAATCCACAGGCCGCTTCTGCAAGCCAAAGTCAGAATCCTGGTCCGGATCGTACTTTGACGTGGCAGATCTGGTGTCGTAATACGACACGTTGGGGCGGAAGGGGGAGATTTGGTCTTGATAGACCTCGGCCACGGTTTCGGAGTAAGTTGCATCGTCACTACCTTGATTGGATCCCCCTAATGAGCTTGCGGGCAGCGATGTCTCCGGGAAGAAAAGGTCGTCGGGAGGGTTTTCGGCGCGGATGGTGAGCTTGCAGCGAGCTTCATACATGGCGTCGAGGAGGGTGATGAATCGCCTGGCCTCGTTTTTGGCCAGTATCGTCAATATGGGAACACGGTCGATGATGAATGTGTGATAAGTGGACGCCATTGTGAGATAATCTGCTGGGCCGAATGATTCGACGAGTTTATCAAAGGTCCAGAAGACGACGCCATTGTAGTGGCGTGGTGTGACAATTTGACGGCCGTAGACGATGAGTTTAGACGGCTCCCATGGGATTATCTCGGTGGTGGATCCTAAAACGGCCTCTTGGACTTTCTGAGCAAACGTTTGATCATCTTCATCGAAGAGATAATAGTAGTGTGGCCTCTTTTGGGTCTTGCTCTCATCTTCTTTCCCCTCCTCTACTGTGGCGGAGTGCAAGACACCATTAACATCCTCTAGCTGGTTCACAGGAGCATGAGGGCTGGAGTCTTCTTCTCTCCGCCGCCAGTCTTGGGCTCCCTCCATCTGCCAGAAATCACATCTGGCCTTGAGCACTTCTAGAAATGCAGCGAAATCACTCGTTTCGCCGAAAAGCTCTCCTCGATTGCGCGTCGCACTCCCAAATATCTTTCCCATGAGACCTCTCGACGTCGGAGCGTAATCAATGCCCGTAGCTTTCTGCAACTCCTCAGGCATCCGGTTTGATGACGCAACGAGGACTCCGCCAAGCTGGAAAAAGGTAACGAATAAGTTGCTGAGAATCTTACTGGCAGCACGGTCTGGGAGCTGGAATTCGTCTAGGAAGAGGATTGGAGACTCGTCAACGAGTTTCTTGGCCATCCAGAGAAGCGAATATTCTGCGGCTGTATCCGAGACCGTGGGGCTAGACTTTCGATGCTTCTCAAGCTGCGATAATGTGTAGAGCATAAATGTGTTGAAGTGCCATCGCTTCTTCTTCTGTGTGGGCAAGCCCTCAGCCAATAAGTCGAGAAGCATGGACTTTCCAGTGCCAACTTCTCCCGACAGAAATAGTCCCTTAGGAGAATCGATGTCAATGGCTGTTTGATGATTGGTAAGAACTCGGGTAAGAGCAAGACTCTCTTTGCCCTCAGGCGTGTTGAGTAGATGCTTGAATATGGGATTCCGCCATATTGCGTGGTGCCGCAGTGCTAGTATGCCCTCTCCGGTTTCTTCTTGCGGCGGCTTTTTTGGCTCGGTGAGACGGGCTACTTGATCTAACCGCTGGCGATATTCGGCCTGGGGAGCGTAGTCCTTTATACGGATATATATCTTGTGTAAATGCCGTGCTAGACGGTGTTGGGCCGGATCGGGAGAGTATATGCCAGCGGCTACCAGGGACTGGTATTTAACCAGAGGGTCAGTGATAATGACAGCCGTGGAAAATCTCCTCATTCTGATGATATGGCTCATCTCTTTACCAGGTTATCAGGGGTAATTAGGATCTGGTGTGTTTGCTTGAACATTTTCTGCCTTCTACACGATAGCCATCATGGACATATGTATATACGGCCCAGCGTGTGAAAGGAGGACACGGAACGATGAGGAGATTGAAAGGCACAAAGATGAACTCTAGAATGAGAAGGAAAAAGAGATGCCCAAGAATGATGTTACAATAAACGCAGTGAGGAGCATACAAGAGCAATCTGGTATGTGTTTGTCTAAATTGATCCTAAAAGACCGTCTAAATGCCAAATTTGTCTGGCTAGTAAGACTAAATTGCTGCACCTTGCTCCGAGGTAGTAGCTGAGCTGGTGCCACTACAGTATCTGGATGATCACTACAGTACCTGGATGATTTCAATACCGTACTATACTGTAGAGGCATCCCCATACCTGCAGTCGCTCCGTCTCCAGGGGCCCCTTTTAGCCCTTCTAGGTGGTTAGTGAATCAGTGCTGCATGTAATTTAGTTGTATGGAGATGATCAATGCCATTGAGCTACTGGAACCAGGTCACTGCATGGCATTTGATACCAAAATGGATTGCGTATTGGGGATACGGAGTACCTTGTGAATGCAGCAAAAATGTGTGGCAGCCGTTGTACATCTGCACGGCTCCCCAGCCATAACTTTTTTTTCTCCTTGGTCGCAGATGTCTGACGACAGTGTGATTTTTTTCTGGAGCTCTTCGTGACCTATCTTCTAAGTATCTCTACCTGCGTTGGGGGCGTATAGGGTACTTGTAGCAGATGTAGCGCGAGGGTACGTCAGATGCCCAGTGTTCGGCGCGACAAAGCAATGCTACTTCAATGGTACTTCGGTTCACAGTATAAAATAGGTGGGCGCGCACGTACCATTGCAGTTCCCGCCTCCGTGCGCTGGCGATTCTGCCCATTTGTTTTTCGCCCACCGCCAGCAGAACCAATGAATCCAAGCAGCTGTTTTGCTTCTTTCACGCACTACACCACATTTGCCCTTTGGCCTGTGGAGGTCAATCTTGCATCCTTCATTGCCCAAGACTAGGCATTTCGGCATGCCCTTCTGAGTCTCTTTCCATCATCGAATCCATCTCCCGCAAACCCCCGGAACCAGCAGCTGCTGCCATCGCGACTCGCGCGCCCGGCGCGATCCCTGCGATCTCAATCTAGTCCATCGCCTGGTCCAGCCTTTTCGTCAACATCATGTTTTCTCCATCTGCGGCTGAGGGAGGCCCGGCCACGGCGACTCGTTCCCGTCGGCGATTGCGCCCCAAGAGCCAGGAGCAGCTCGTGACGGCCCCGAAACCCAAGAGACAACGCGTGCCTCTGAGCGAACAAACTTCGACCAACACCGACGCCCAGCCTGAGATGGCTGAGGTCAGACCGGAAAAAGTTGCAACACCCGTCGAGCCCAAGAAGGATATTGCCATCGAAAACGCTCCTCCGGTGCAGCCTGTATTGCGCAAGGAGCTGATTGTTCGGACGAAGAAGCCCAAGCATGGCGATCGTGCTGCCCAAAAGGGTGATGGAAGCCTCGTTCTGGTATGCCGCAAGCTGCATCCTTGCTTTTCATGTCGCATCAAAGTATTCGTATCAGCTCTCCCATTGTCCAATGCTAACCTGTTTTTTCTTCTTTCTAGACAAGCACCAATGCATATACTGTTAGCAAATTGCCAGCACTGCCCGACAGAATTCGGAGCGACTGGTCTGGTACGTTTCGTTCAATTTTTTTCCACCCATGCGACTTCGCGAACTAACTTGAGCAGGGAGCCAACACGCCGACATCTTCTCATCATCCGGTTATGCCCTGACGCTTACACCTACACATGCTGTTGTTTGGCCCTACAACTCGACTTCTCAATCCCCCGAGACCTTCACCTTCACTCTTCCGTCCTCCTCTAAGCCCAACGACGCCCTCCCGGTGGGATGTCTCGTCTCTCCCTCTGCATCATCAACCGAACCTGGACTGGTAGTTGTAATGGCTAGCACTGGCAAGGTTGTCTTCTGGGAGTCTATTTCTAGCGCTGCTACGTTCGCCTTTATCAAGAAAGACAGGTCCGGTGTCGAATATCAGATTTCTGGGATGTCCTCGGGAGAGAAAGTGGTTGCCATCACTAATGCAGAGACCGCTGGATTTCTCCTAACCTTTAACAGCGGCCGCTTGGCCTACATGAACGTGCGAGACAGCCACGGACGACCAGCAATTTCTGTTCAGTTTTTACGAAGCAACCTTGCAAATTCCACCGGCGGCATATTCGGCACCATTCGCTCTGCCTTTTCGCACCTAAGCCTTAAGGGGGATATAGCAGCTGTCCGAGCTGATAGATCCGCAAGAGTTGGTGAAAAGAATATTGTTGCTCTGACAAACAAGGGCAAGCTGCAGTCATGGAAGGTTCATCGTGGAGGCCATAGCGAACCGTTCGGCGAGTTTGATGTCCGAGAGTCCATCACAACAGCACTCTGGGAAGAGGACCCTTTCTGCCGCGACCTTCCAGCCGACTCCTTCGAAGCTATCGATTTTGCCTTTGTCCCGAAGGGCTTAGAACACAAATACATAGATCTGAGCAAGCTCAGTGCCGCTACAGCTACGGATGATCCATCTGTTCAGCAACTGCTGCTGCTTGTTAGCTTGACTAGCCGAGCCGTCTCCCGTTACGCCCTTGTGGAGGTTATTCTTACTCAGAGGAGGTTCCAAGTAGGCATGATTCGACCAATTACTTCATACACTACACCAATTTCCCAGACGGATTCTATCCAGGCTGTGAGGCCGCGACTCTATCTGCCACGTCCCGCACTCGTGGCTTTCGCGGTGTTCGATCGTGCCGCGGTAATCGTGTCCATTGCAGCATCACCGGAATCTCCCGATTCCCAACTTCAAAGCGACACACACAGCCTGTCTCCTTCATTTGAAGACGTCATCGATTTCCGCGAAGATAATGTTCATGAGGTTATTGGGTCTGGTTTTGAAGAGACGTCGCACGCATCGCCTCCCAATGAGGATAGCCGAGCTGCTCGAGCCAAGAGCAAAAATCCAGCCGTGGTATTGATGGTTCGTGGAGCTGGTATCATCCGTGTCGCAACAACGGATGTGGACAAGTTCGCCAGCGACCAACCTCCACAAGTCTCCGCCAAAGGCAAACTGGAACAAGCCGTCTTCTTCGGCACTAAGAAGAATAACCCTCTGGTTTTCAATGCCCGCCAAGAAGTCACTTTCTCAAAAGACGAGATCGCGCAAGCCGCGCAAGAAGTCAGCAACGAGATTCTGAGTTCGACTACAGCATACATGTCTACTTTGCCTGCCTCGTTGGAAGAAAATCTTGTTGCACGCTCGAATGCTTTGGAGAAACTTATCCTTCACCTAAAGGCTACCGGTGCCCATCTGGATCGCAAAACCCGCTGGAGTTTATTATACAATGCAGAGAAAATGCATGTAGCAACGCTCCTCTGGAAACGACAAGAGGCCTTCGTTGCAGCACGCCCGTCGGACAGCAAGAAGAGTTTAATCGGATACATTGTTGAATTCATTCATCAGGATCAAAAGCACAACCCTAGCCCTGAAATTGGCGAAGTTGACCGCATTCGACACTGGTTCATCAACGACATATTCCGCCTTGAACTCTTTGTGGCATGGGCATACGAGGTTATTAAGATCTTGTACAAGGACAAACTGCTGGATGACGCCAAGGTGACCATGATGATTTCCGAAGCTCTTCAGATCAACATATGCGCTCTGCTCGGAGCACTAGATTTCCGCAAAAGCAACCTTGCCTTCTACGGGCTGGGCGACGAGAAGTTGAGAATGGGTATCTTGCGTGATGGATATGACGGCCTCCCTGAGCCATGGACAGGATGTCACTATGTTGCCAACAACGTTGCGCGCTTAGTTGAGCTCTCAGATCAGTGGTATCAGAAGTGGTCGAGATCTGGAGAGGAAAAAACCAAGCCTTCAGGCAAACCTGATCCTGCCATCATTTCCAAGATATATAAGGATCTTCCATCAGCCATCGACGGCATGCTCATCTCGATTCTGGAATATGCTCGATGGGCTGAGACGACACCAGACCAGAAATCCATGGGCCAAACCTTTGCCAAAGAATACCAAAAAGAAAGATATAGCAGACCCATCAGCCTTGGACGAGCTGGTAAATGGGAAGAAGGAGCTGCCATCGCCGAAAAGCATGGCTGCTTAGATGGCCTGGCAGTTATCCTACTGGATCATATCGAGGAATTAGAGCTGATACTCAACGAGCCCACACTTACTGCCTTTGAGTCACAAAACTTGAGGGTTTTGAAGAAAAGAAAAGAAACAGAGTTGGAAGAGAGGTTCACTCGATATGGCCAAGAATTTGCCTTCCCTGTTTACGAGTATATGCTCGAAAAGCACGGAGTTGATGCTGTGTTGGCGTTTGGGCTTGAGACACTGGGCTACAAGACCCGGTTCCTTCGCAGCAGACCTGAATTGGCACGGATATCGTGGATCAACGATATTCAAGAAGAGAAGCAAGTCGGGCATGCTGCAGAGACGCTTATCCATCTCGCTCTTGAAAAGGAGCACCAAGTGTGGAGCAAGAAGATTGAACTCAGCCTTGGAAAACTGGCTCTGTTGGCCGAGATGGAGAAAAAGTCACAGCCATCGAGCCTGAAGCCAAGTGCGGGCGAACTTCGCCTGGACCAGAAACTGGCGCAGGTTGATAAGGAGCTTATTACGGTTAAGATTCAAGATCAGCTCTACGCTCAAGTTTTCCCTAGCACTTATGACGCTGTTGACGAAGCGGCAGCCTTGAATCTTGCTATGGAGGCCCATGGTGCAAATGTACCTAAGCGCCAGAAGGCTCTGCGCCAGCTTTTCGAAGATGGCATGGAGAGGTTGCTTAAGCACGAGGCTCTTGATGCTATGACGCTGATTGACCTATTGACGCTCGTGGAACTCTCACAAGAATCCCGTGAAGAAATAGCACATCCGTTCTGGTTGGCTCTTAAGGTGGCCGAGAGCAGTTGCCATAGCGACGAGCTTCGAGAAGCTAAACGACTCATCTGGAGGAGGCTGTTCATCCGGGATGACTGGTCAAAGATTAACGACACGCAATTGAAGGACGACCGGGAAGTGGTGGAGAGACTGGCAAGCACTGAGCTATACGCCATGCTTTCAGACTGCATTCAATACCGTAAGTTGTCTCCATAATACTACAATAAGACGCAAGCTAACACAACCTTACAGAGGATGCCCACAGTGTCTTCAAGCCCATGTCTCCTCAAGATGCTCTTGGTGCCTTTTCAGAGCATCTCGATCGCCGTTTCCACGATTTTGAGGCAGGCATGCGGACGAAGCTGATCGACGCCATGCATCACGAAGACAAGATTCTCACCCAATACATCGAAAAGAATCGCCTGACAGAATGGGAACGTACCGCTCTGGAAGCGGCACAAGCCCAGCACAACAAGGAGGAGCAGGCACAGAATGCCATCCCTCCCATGGATTTGCCCGTGCCTCTCTTGGGCGGCGAAATCACTACTAGCACTAATGGTAAGGCCTTGTAAAGGTCACGCGGAGGAAGAAATGAGGGGAGGAAGGCATGGGGAGGGGACAAAAGCGGATTTCAATGTGAAGAGGGAAAAGACGTAAAGAGAAATGATTTGACAAGTTCTGTCATTGGGCGGCGTTTGGCTAATTGATTCATGTTCATCTGGTCTCATCGATGCTGTACAATAAATAAACTAAGGGGGAGGGAAAGAAATGAATGACAGAGGGGAGGAAGAACAAAAAAAGCAAGGAGGCCTACTATACACACAAGGGTACTCGAGAGTACTATCTATTGCTTTTACGACAGACAGAATGCTTGCCTTTTTTATTAGCTCCTCGGGTTGGAGAATATAACGAGGCGCTGAGATGCCTATTTCTTTTACATTCAAACCCTTTATGTTCTGGATTATGTCTGCGTATAACCGTGGCTATCCAGCGCGTCAGTGAGGATTAACTGTGTTGCTGTTGGATGTAGTCGAGACATCGTGTGTCCAGTTCTCTAATAGCAATCTAGCTGTTAGAATATCAACAAAACGAGACGTCGGCAAGATACCATCTCGCATTGTCTTGTGACGCGGATACATACGGTCCAACTGCAATTGGGATGGGTAAGATATCACTTAGGACACGACAATTTTGCACGAATACGTAAATATTGACACCCTTCCTTCTAGGAGAAACAGCATTGTGTCAAACGTCAAATCATTTCGGCGTTAGGCATATGACGACCGCTATGTATCTCATCTGTCTCCATCTCCATAGTAGATCAAGAGCAACTTGCTTTGTACATTCCTCCCCCAACATAAACACGGCCGTTGGACCCTTGCAGCTTGGGCTTACCGCTTTTTCCATTTCCTCCACCACCTTGATATCCATTTCACCCCGTGTTTAACACCATGTGAAGGGCCTAGGATGAAACTGAAATGGTGTCTCAGATCGATCCAATAAGGCAGAATTGCCGTCGCAGAAACATCGCTTTGAAAATCAAGCATCTTATTGGATATGGAATACATACGCACACGTATAGAAGAAGCAGGTCAATCTTAACCCTGCATCTTCTTTCTCTTGCCGATCTGGGCAGAGAAACCAGTCTTGATAGCCGTAACGGATCGTCGTGAACCGCAGTTGTTGCAAGTGATGAAGTACAGACGGTTCTCACCCTTGTTAAGCTCGGTATCGGGCGACCTGCAAGTTTTGCAGGTAACGTACTCGACTGCGGAATAGTTGGTTAGTATGGTGGTATTATACCAATATGAAATAGAAACAAAGAGGAGTGGATGGAAAACGGAAGCAAGGGGTGGCGGTAGGAGCAGAGAGACTCCTGATCTTTGGGCCTGAGATAGCCAGCACTAGGCTTCCCCAATGCACCACCCGTGCGTGACGGATAGACATACTTATGTATTTTCTTACGACGTTTTCAATCTGCTTCTGCTGGAATCGACCCTTGATGACCAATCTCCTATTTCCGTCAACGGAGCCGTTTGTACCCAATTCGGCAAACAGGTAGGCGGTGAGATGTTCCTCGGTTCGCTTCATGCGCTTGCTGATATCGGCAATGTTGGCAAAGACAGTTTTCCTGTTGCCTTCACGCATGCACTGGGGAGGGGGGATCTTGTAGCTCTTGGTGCCGCTGAGTGAGTGGTCGGGGTTCTTTTGTGACAGGACGGTGAAGAAGCGGGAGAGCAGCATGGTGTAAGGGATGGTCTTGGACTCGTCGTGGGTCCAGACACCGGTGCCGGTCTCCATGTCACCCTCATCCTCCTGAACTGCCTCCTCGGCCTCTTCGGCGTCCTTAACCTCGAGCTGCTTCAGCTTGGCAGTAAACTCATCCTCCTCGGCACCCTCAGCCTTCTTGACCTTCTTCTTCTTCTTCTTCATGGTCAGGTCAAGACCTCCATCTTCGGCGGGGGCTGCTCCATCCTCAGCTTCGGCATCGGCATCGGCACCCTCAACCTTCTTCTTCTTCTTCTTCTTTTTCAGGAGAGACAAATCAAGGCCGCCATCTTCGGGAGGGGCAAGTTCGTCGGCGGCGGCTTGAGATGAGTTATCAGCAAAGGCTCCGAGGGCGGCAGACAAAGGCGGCGTACGAGGCGTGTGTGACAGAGCCGTCTCCTTGGGTTCCTCGGCGGCGCTCATGATGGTTATTGAGCCGTCGGTCTCGACTACTAGTTGTTCGTCGGTGAAGGCAACGGATTTACGGGACGCCTTGCGTTCGATCTGGTCCTGCGTAGTGGGGAAAAGACAAGCAAAAACGTTAGCGATGCCGAATAGCTTTTCTCTTGATGGAATTGAAAAGTTCAACGGAAAGAAAAGGCAAAAAAGACAAGGAAAATCTCAAAAGGGGATAGGCTGGAGAGTGGTACAGTACTGATGCTTGGGGATTTGTGATGCCGTCTAATAGGAAAAGCTGTGACTCAGAAGTATGACAGGGAGAAGAATCAACGGGTGGATGAACAAAATGTCCCCGGCGAGATTGGTGGGGTAAATTTGCAGTGATTGGGGCTATTTTTTTTGCGTGGCCGGTGCTGGGCCTTGTGGGCTGTGGGAGGCAGAGAGGGGCAAAAAAAAAGGTGTAGTATTAGGTAGGGAAAGCAAAGGCAGAGCAGAGCAGCTGAAGTGGCAACGCCAGGGCTAGCTCGAGGTAGAGAAGGTTTGCATGCTTCTTTGTACCCGGCCAGTAGCGGTGCAGCGCAGAGTGGTAGCAGTCAGACTTACCTGTACTTGGTTGTCCATGGTTGCGATTGTTCTTTTGAGTTTTTGTCCTTGTCCTTATGACTCTCTCTCCTTGACTTTTGTCGTTGGCTTTTGTCGTTGGCCACTAGAGAAGGCCCCTCTCTGTGCGCACGTCTCCCTCACTCAAACAGCTCTCTCCTGTCCGAATCCGACTGCTTGATTGATACTGAAGCTGGCCGCTTATAGGCGTTTGATGAGATGAGATGAGTCGAGTCGGCGATGGCTGATGGCTGATGCTTTGCGGCCCGACCATGCGCGTATCTGCACAATGATGGCGTCTTCCTGCAGAGGCTCACTGGTTCTTTTTGTAGCTGCAGAGCAATTTCGAATGAGCAGCGGCTGGGTAAAAGGTCGAGAGTTTGAGTCAGCTGCACGTCATGCCATGGGCCGTTGCTTGGGCCGATATTCGAGGAGCTGCTGGGCACTGATGTGATTGCATGGAGTCACCCAGAGGAGGGGTATCACGTGATGCCTGCTGCTGTCACTGCGATAAGATTGGGGGGGCGATAATGATAACGGCTGCTATACTGCTATAGCCGTAGGTCCTGCAGCAGGTAATCCAGCAGGTAATCCAGCAGGTAATCCAGTAAGTAGGTACGTACCTTACCTTCCAGGCTGTGAGCAATTGAACCTCCCGAGGTGGGCCATTTGCAGCCGCCTTTCGGCATCAGTACAGTAGATCCATTCATCGGCTCAAGCTCCACCTCTCGACGCCTGCGATTGCAAGACTCAAGATCGTTCACGTCGCCCATCCGTAGAGACAATCCAGCAGTCGCCCTCGTCCCCATTCATGGCCTGAGATCTCCGACAACGCCACAAAGCGCCCGCCATCTCTCGTCCCGTCCCATCAAGTCTCGCCTCCATTGAAACACCCGTCCATCTCCCTCCTCGGAACCTCATCGCAATGGCCTCAGACGAGTCCCTCGTCGACCTCCACGCCTCCTCCCTCACCGACGACAAAGACGACGTCGATTCTCTCCCCTCAGACACCACCAGCGAGCTCTACTCCGAGGCCGATTCCGAGGCGCAGGAAGAATGGGACCGCAGTCTAGAGCAGCTCCAGCTCCTCCTCACCATGATTCTAGTGCCGTGGATGGGGAAGCTCTTTGGCCGCAAGTTTGCATATTGGAGTGAGTTGTGCCCCGGCATCACCACCTATATTATCCCTTTACATTGCCAGACCAGACTGCTGACTGCTGTTCCCGCGTTTAGGCTGGGGTAAGTACATGAACTGGGTGCACAACGTAGATGTGCAAGTTACGAACAAGAAGTCGTTCAACGCTGCCGGCGCCGTGGCCGCCACTTTATAGCCATCCGTCGGATTGAGGATCGTTCGGCGTTTTTGGATCGACTGTTTGTCTTCACCAGCTGGGAATGCATAGATTGACTCCGGTTCGATATATATACATCAACCCGATAAAATCATCAGAAGTGCTGCTACGACATTTTGGCCGACTCTATGATCAAGGCCATGCAATTACGTGCTCAGAAACTCGTGGGAAATTCTCCTTGTCCAGAACATCACCACATGTAGCGCAGCACATTCGGTATCATGAAGAGAAATGGCAATGGCAACGGCAACGAGTAATATATATAAACATGACTTTGTTATTCATCCCTCAATTACTACATTAATTATCATTTCCATAATACTGTCCCTTTCCTGCCAACCATTGGCAATACTAATCCAATACCGAATATTGCCCATCGTAAATGTACGTGCTAATACAGCGTCACTTCATGTACCTTGCCAATCCATCAACTTGGCACCCACTAAACGTGTTGGCTTCTCACAGACAAGCTCTTCGCGTGTTTGTTGAATTCAGAAGACATCTTTACATTAAATCCAGCTGCCATAATTGCTAGACATGATCCACCTGAGACAAGGTACCTGTTGATCGACAACAATGTTCCTCTCATGGCGAAAGAGCGAGGCGTGTGGTGGGAAAGAGAGTAGAGGCTCCCGGTCGAGCATACTTAGACCTGCGACATGGCAGGCCGAGAAGATCGTGAAGACCGGGAAGACCGGATTGAACCGCCAAAACCGCCGCCGCTCCTAGCATCCAGAATGGTGATGGCCAAGAGCACGCTGAAGCACACCCAGAGGAACCACATGAACGCAGTGCTGGCCTGGATCTCGCGGCACCTCCGCTCGTCGTGGTGAGAACCAAAGCCAATCCAGTCGCTGGGCAAGTGAGCACCGGCAATGTTGCCGCAGTTGGGAGCTTGCAGCTCGGCGGCCAGCACGATGGCGCAGATAAAGGTGAGCAAGGTGGCCAAGCCGTCCCAGAAGAGGAGCACAATGGGCACGGCAAGGCTGATGACGAAGACTGCGACGAGGCCGTACAGGAGAGCAACCCAGGACCAGGCGGCGACGAACATGGTGAAGTTGATGGTCTTCATGTGGCCGTTGACATTGGCGGCAATGACATTTCCGATGAGAGCCGTGATGAGCAACGTCCAGATGAGTGCGATGATACGCAAGAGAATCTTGAAGAGGTTGGACATGGTGGCGGTGAGGTCCAAGCTTCGAGTTTACAGCTTGATTGGATTTGGTTTGACCCTGTTCAATTGGCGATCCAACAATCAATTGCAGATTGTAGGATTGAATTTTTCAAAGACCAGGCAGGGGAGGACGTGTCCCTGTCTGCGGGTTTCTCTTAATCGGCGGATTCTTGTCCGCGCCGTGAAAGCTGGTCTGCACACCGGGACAATCGGTGTAGGACACAATAGCTAAGCTAGCAAGCTCAGAAGCACCTGAACCCTAAGTGAATTCTGTTGGCGATATTTGTGATGATTTGGAAACGTGTAATGGAGACAATTGAAGCAGAAAAAAAGACGTCGCACACGGACCGTCGAGCCAGAGACGCAGGAGGTTCGAGTGGGAAAGGCGTGATGCAAGAGTGTCGACCGAGCAACCACGGAAAGGAAGCTTATAAGGTGAGATGGCGGGCAAGTGACGTGGGGGGGGGAGGAGGAGCTTCGATCTAAGCTGGGGGCGGGCGATGTAAAACAACACGGCAGATCAAAACAAAGTACAGCTCCTCCGCAATTGGCAGACGCGGTACCTGTCATGTGTCTCAAAGCGACAGCGAAAAATAGAAAGTTGCAGCTCCATGCATCCTGCGCTGCCGGAGCCCTCGGCACTTGCGAGGGCTTGCATGACGTTTTCGCATCCGGGCGCTGATCAAGTGTCAGTGCGAAGCTTGTTTTGCTGGTGATTTCTTCTTTTCGCTGTACCAAAAAGCTATGCTTTGAGAGTCTAAAATTGACCCGTTGAAACACCCTGACGTCACGCACGTTTCAGCGAGAAGAGAGCCCAACAAAGCATCTTTCTAAGTAAAAAAAATAAAAATAAAATAAAACAAAATACAGCCACCAAGCTTTTTTGTGTGACTTTTCGCAGCCCATCTGTCTCAAAATCCTCACCTGTTCTGACACAACTTTTTTGTCTCTGCTGCACTGTGACAAGCTGTTTCTGCTGGCTGCCTGCGCGATTGGCTCGATTGGCTGCAGCTGGACCCTACATGATACAAATTTCCCTGTTTGGGAGTAGCGGCGCGGCTGCTCGTTGGCCAGTGGACAGAATCCATGTCGTCATCGCCATCATTGGCCAGCGACCTTCCATGCCCGAAACGGACCAAGGCTGGACGCGTCAACGAATAACGACGGGCCTATGTGATGCGAAGGGAATGCTGCGTGAAGCAACGTTCTCGTGTTCGTATCCTCATCCGTCTTCTTGTTCAGGAAATGTTTACGGAGTACTAAGCATAGAATGCTGACAGAGGCGAATGGCCAATCATTGGGCCGCTTGGATCCGCCATGGTGCCATTCAAAGGACCACCTCAGTTGAGGTAGAGTGTTATAGAAAAACTGCCAATTAGAGCAAAGAGGGATAGAATAGAAGCAAGTTAGAGTAAATCCGGAGAAATTGTCCTCCGTTACAGGATCTTTTGTTCATCCTCCCCGATAACTCCGGCTATCCTCAACTATTTCCACCGCCGGCCTGAGCTCCGAGTTCCGGGATGCCTAGCCGGGCCCTATTTCGGTCGTCTTCGGCGATGCAACCGGGTCGCCCAGATTGAATAGCCGTGCCGGCAGCTGTGGCAATAGCTACGCTTGGCATGATAACTCTATAACGGTTTGTATTTATCCCAGAATCGCCATCCAGCCCGAAACAAGCAATATCCCCGTCAAAGAGGCAAAACAACAGCCTCAACTTCACCGAAAACCCCAAATTTCTCCATACCGGCTCGAGGGAGAAGATAGTAGAAGAATGTTTCAGGTAACTTTAACAGAACTTTGTCATCGGCTTCCTACCGTCATGCCGACGCAACTCAAAAGGACCCTACAAGTCTCCGCCGCCCTCGGCACAAATGACATACGCGATGGCTACTGTGGCTGAAGAGTGCTGAAACTCTGCTCGCCATCTTGATTCCTCGCGGCCCACAGAAGCCAGTCTCTCTGAATCAAGCAAGTTACTCCCGTTTCCTTCCCAGCCTGGGCACGGGTAAAGTTGCCGGTCCCACGTGGTGGCTAGGGTTTTCGTGGCTTTTCGTCCCCCCTCCATGAGCCACCTTCAGCTTTGGGAAGAAATGAGAGAGAGAGCAAAAAAGCCCCCCTGAAGGCAAAGAGTTTTGGCCTGTTTGCAGTTATAATCAAGGTGGTCGCGTGCGTGTCCCACCATCTCTGACTGGTGAACCACCAATGACACAGGAAAAGTTTGTCACTCATCTTCGTGTGCGTATATTCCACGTCACAGATCAAGGCCAGCTTCACCCTTTCACGTGGGTGAATATCATATCGGACACCCCCAGATATCTACGTAGATTCCCGAAGATCCGATCGCGCGTGCCATCCCACGCAGTTGGTATTCGGCACAAGCTTTACTAGAACTCCCCGGTGCGATGCTAAGAACCGCTCTGTTGGGCCAGATGTTCTGGTGAGGAAAACCGGAGTTGCTCAGCCAATTGGCAAGCTAAGAAAGCTAGACGTTGTGCAATGCTAGTCATTCGCCTTCCTTTCCAGTGTCGTTTTCCGAATAAGACCTCTTTCTCAAATCCAAGACTATCATCATGATCAAAATTCATGATTTCTCTTAACCGGAATTTATCGTTATTTCCGTCAAGATCTAGCAGCTCCAGTAACTTAGGAATTGCCACAGTGGAAACTCCCATCTCGCTGAAACAGATTTAGAACTGTGTACCAACGGGTCCCTTCTCGTGTTGTTGTAAACGTGGAGCAAGAGCCACTAGTCCAAAGCCTATCCTGCGCTGAAAGCAAAGCTCGTCTCGATTTCCGTGTCACAAAAACGGCGTCGACACGAGCGGTGCTTGATTCGCTCAGCCGTAAGAGGTTGAGAGAGAAGTGAAAGTAAAGATGGGTGTCACCGAGCCTTTCACTGCCAAACAAACATTGAAGCTGATTGAAGGTTATTTCGCGCCCTTCCGAAGCCTCCGCGTGTTTACAGCTTCCTTAATCGTTAAAAAGCCTGTGCAATCGCTCACAGCTGCTCTCGTCCGCGCAGCCGCTGAACGAAAGTTCCCTCAACATAGGCTTTCAACGTTGTTGGGCTGGCAATGGTGCAAACTCTCTCTTCTCCCTCTTCAGGCCGGCGAGCTGCGCCGCAATTTTGCCGCAGAGTCTGCGGGTAGTGGCAACGGGTTGCCTATGGATAGGATATTCCATCTCGTTTGTAGGGCGTAAAACGCAAAGTTGATTCTCCGCGAAGTGTTTCTCCGCGCTGGAGCCGCGAAAGTATGGAAGTCGGAGATATGGTGGAAACCTCTCCCACCTTAGAAGCGGAGCCGAGGTTCCGTTATTTCCAACCGACACTAAGTATTTCAATTATTTTTAGATGATAGAATCTGATGGGTATAATGATATGTAAGCCCATAAGCTAGGATATGGGGATAGGATGGGGATAGGATATGCACTTGAGGGTTGAGGCGTGTAGAAAAGCCAGGAGGTAAATGAGTAAGAAATAAAGTTTGTTCAGACAGATGGGCAGAAATATAGACGTAAAGTTGACAAATGTCTTAGTAACAGAACATGTTCACCTTATGTGCAAGATAGTGGCTGCGTCCTTTGGTTGTACACCATGTATGAGAGCAACAATGACACTTCTTATTCCAAGGTCAACTCCAAGTATTGCCATCTCCGGAATAATACACCGCCAAGAAACCAGTTCCGCAGTGCCAAGTTATCTTGTAAGACACCTAGCGCGTATTAGTCTTAGCAAAGGACCAAGTTCCTCCAGCAGACCAAGTTTCATCAATGGCAAGTAAGCATTCACGGTGGTAATACACTTGAGCAATCAAGAAGAGTATATCAGGTGAGATTTATCAATTGAGTAAAAGAAAAAAGCAAAAGTCTATAGGTCCTCGCTGGTATCTATATAAAAGAAATTCGTAACAGCATCAAGCTATATGTAACACCAAGCCAATCTTTTTAAACACCCTTCAACCAAACCTTCCACCTCTATCCATATAATGCACGCAGCATTGAGCGGCCCCAATCATCAAGATAGACTTGAGATGCCGGCCATGAACGCTATAGCCTATCCTCTGGTGTGGTCTCGACTTTGCATGTAAGCCAGGCTAGGCACCGTGGCTTCCGGAGGCTCGCCTTAGTGCTGGTGATGCTGCTAATCGGCCATCATCCGATGGTACTAGTCGGTCATCATCCGAAGCACGGCCAGCAGCAAGATCTCCCCGACATGTGAGATGTACGCAGGCAGTGCCAAACTCCGTTCATCGTGCTAGCCCTCGTATGCAAAGGTTCTGCTAACAGAGTCGGGTCCCCGGTTAGGCGATGCCGGGTAAAGTCGAGTTTCCAATCTTGGATAGATGTTTGCTGACGCTGGGTCTTTGGTGACCCTAGAGGCCCTAATTTTTAGGGGCGGAGGCAGCGCCAGGGGCACGCAGAAGAACCAGTTCTTAGCGGGCTTATGCGGTTCAATCGCCGTCGTGGGACCCGCCTTTCAGCAATCGCACAAATGACGAAAAAGAAAAAAAAGTGGTTTCTGAAGAAGAGAAAAAAACGAAGAAGAAGAAAGATGAAGAAAAAAGGGGGGTGGGGGAGAGTGCGAATGAGAGAAAAATCATGTAGTGCATATATGCCTGCCAATTGATATGAGATGGTGCCTGCATATGCCACGCAAGGTAAGATGGTGAATAGATGTAATGGAAATTTTTCTCTCAGGGAAATATGGTGAATTGAGATGTCATAGTGATAGATGTAGGGTGGCTAACAGCCACTGTCATGTTTCGTAAAACTTTTTTTGGTCATGATATCATGATGTGAAGAATGTTTGTCGTGATGGTGCTTTTGTTGGTGAGAGACCCTCGTTGCTCACGGCCTGATTGGCGTGGGTGTTGTAGGGCCGTCTCCTCCAGTTGGGCGACAGGCCCAATTAGGAGTTGCTTTTGTTTTCCTCGTCCTTTGCTTTCGTCTTTTTGTTTTTTGGTAATGAAGAGGGCGGCGGCCGCATCAAGAGCCCAATGGGTGTCCAAGGGATCGACCAGCACGGTGGCTCAATGGAGCAAAGCGTGGTGATGGGATGGGATGGCGAATAACTTGAGTGAGGGGAGAGGCGGCAATGATATCACGCTTCTGTGCCATGGGCCGGCGATCACCTCTTCGGGGCAATGGCCAACGCTCATGCCCTGGTGTGATCCCAGTATCGCTTGCGCGCCTTGACGGCTGTCTTGTCGCCCTGGAAGCGGTGCTGGAAGAAGTTGAAGACGGCAAACTCATCACGGGTCATGACATATGAGTCTGGCTGGGCCTGGACCTTGCCCCAGATCTGTGACAGGGCCAACTCCAGGATCTTGCTGACGGTGGGATCTGAGGCACCATCGGGGCTTTCCCGAGCAATCTCGAGGGCCTGGGCAACGGCAGCATCTTGCTGGGCCTGGTGCTGCTGGGCAGCGGCCGCCTTGGAAGCGTGATGGTGACGATTGCTCATGCTGGCGAAGCCGAGCGAGACGTCAGGCTGGCGGTGAGGCATGGGGCGGATGGGGGAGTGGTTGAGGTGCTGCTGGTACTGGATCTCAGAGGGATAGACAGACAGCATTGTACTTGACGGATGAGCAGTGGTGGTAGGGGCGATGGTCATATATGCGTGGGCATGTACGAGCTTGTACGAGTGGGTGTCGGATGGCGTGCGTCAGTGACCGGGGTATGGTGTATATATACGCACTTGTTCGGCGTAGCGTATATATAGAAGCAGCAAGGCAGTTACTCGAGGTGTCCAAGTAACATATGCATATATACCAAAGCAATATACGCCGGTGGAGGTGGGCGGGAGTATCGATCCACGATCAGGCTCTGCCAGGGAGGGGGATCCTTGCTGTTCGCACACACTCCCAGCACGCTTGACGGCTTGGCGTACGGTCCGTGTGTGGGGGCCAAGAAGCGGGTGTGAGCTTGAGTTCTCTCGTGCGTCTAGGTCTGTCTGTAGTGTCCAAGAGGGGGTTCTCAGCGAGACGCAGCCGCTCTTCTGGGCAATCTGACACTCGTGGGGACAGGGGGGTTCCCTGCTGGTGAGGGCGTAGCGGTATCAAGCAGCAGACCGGGCGCGAGTCGGCCGTGTCAGGTCGGGACACAAGAGCAAGGCGGACGTTTGGACCGGTGTATACTCGTACTTGTACTGTAGTATATCAGAGTGGTCGGCCTGGGTTCGAGATGTGTCTCGTTGGGATCGTTGCGCAGGGGCACGTGCGAGAATAGGAGGAGAGAGAAAGGCTCGCTCCCAGAAACCCGGCAGCGAAGGATAATTATAGTTATAGTTGTCGACCCGGCCTCTTGGGAGAATGAAACAACGTTTTGTTCGGGTTTCCCATCAGGACGTAAAAGCTTGACTAGCGCCATTGGAAAAGGCAAAAAAGCATCCTCGCACGCACGGAGCTGAGACAATTCGCTGGCCTCCGAGGATGCTGTTGCCCAATCGAGCATGTCCCGCGCCAGCCCGTTTGCCGCCCAAGCTAAAACGCCTCCGAAGCAGGAGAGACAACTAAGTGCGCGTGGCAGAACAAAGAGTGACAAACTGGCATAATTGGTAATCAGTGGACCCGAAGTTCTGGGACTGTTGCCGCCGTGGGAAAAGTTAAAGATACGAAGTCCATAGTACATAGTACAGGTACGGGGTACGGGGTACATGGCACAAACGAAACGTTGCTGGGCCGGCCGGTGACATTGAAGCGAGGCGTGCTCGCCATGCGAACGCCGGCACTAACAGCGACGTGACGGTTAGTCAGGCCGAAGTACAGCACGCAGCCAAAGTCTAATAAAGCGAGTGCGAAATGGAATTGACTTGACACGACACGACACGCCGGAGCCACAAAATCCCACAAAACAAGGAGAGCGGTCACGGCAGGGTAGCACATGGCGAAAGTGCAAATGCAAATGGAAATGCAGATGCAGATGCAAAAGCAAATGGCAGGCAGACGGGGAAATTAAAAATCCAAAATCCAAAACCAAAGCCAAAATCAAATCAAATTAGCCCCCCCTCCTTCGAAGCAACGTCGCCCTGCACAGAGTTTGCTGCCAAATTCCGATGCGCAGCGGAAGTATGCACACACACGCACACACAGGCCAAGACATGCTTTGAGAGGCCAAAAGTCAGAAATGCCGCTGTGCCAAACCAAAAAGTACAAAGTACGGCCGGTCAACAGCAACGTGAGGGAGTCCACTCAACCCCCCCCCCCCCCCCCCCCCCTAGCGCATGGCACCATGACACGGTGGCTGCTGGCAGTTCCTGATGGGCAGCGATTGTCGGGTTTTGATGCTCTGCCTGCTTTGCCTGCTGCAGCGGCTCTAAGGCCACGGCTCTGGATCACGGCTCTGGGATGCGGCTTCGGACAGCCCTACGTGGCCTCGACAGCTCAGCCTGCTTAGCAATACGAAAACAAGATTCCAAGGTTTGGACAAGAGACAGCCTCGCCGCTGGACGATACATACAAAAACCTACACCGCCTTGTCGTGCTGTTTGGGGTGGCACCCAGGCGATCCGGCTTGTGTCTGTAGAACCATCTCGTGGCTGGTGTGTTGCATGATAATAGTGGTGCTGTGCTGTGCTGTGCTGTGTCCTGCTACGCAGAAACTAAAAATAAGAAAATCAATAAAATGAATAAATGAATAATTAAAAAAAGGGGATCAACTCGCGGTCCCACGCAAATCTCGATTCAAGCAACAACAGGCAGGCATCCACCCAAAAGGTTTCTGTTTCTCACACGAAGTGCCCTAGGGGCAAAGCTACTAAGCCGCTGGGCTCAATCTTGTGCCTACAATCAGATCAATCTGAGTTTTTGCTGCGACTCGACTCAAGCGCTGTGTCAAGCAGACCCCCACACGCCATAAACTGACTTTGGCACCATCTGGGTCCTTGTCCAGCCCAGCCTCAACACGGTGCCAAGGCGGTCAAGGGCATCATCGCCCTGGGCTGGTTGGCTGGCCGGGGGCAACGTCATGCTGGAGCAAGTGTGGATTGCTTCTGCTTCTGCTTCTGCTTCTGCTTCTGTGGGTGCTTCTGCCTCCTTCTTGTGGGCTTCTGCTCTGCTCTGCTCTACCAACTACTCTCCGACCGGCCGGCCTTCATCTCTTTTTGGCCGGCCTGCCAATAGCAGCAATACCGGCCCTCATCAGTGAGAGCGAGTAATGCGCACGCGCCGCTCCTCCCAAAAATACGAACAATACAGCCCGAAATGGTGAAACGCGCTACTATTTTGGGATGAACCTTCAGCCCATCCCCATCTCGAGGAATGCCAGCTTGAACCTTTGTGCTCCTTGTCGCTGCAAATACACTTTCTGCTTGATTCCATTGAATAACTCGCGTGCCCAGCAGTTGCAATCTCTCTCCACATGACAGGCGCCCCCCCAGCGACCAACACCCAGCACCCGTGGGACGCGCCAGCTCAGCTAGAGAAAGTGGGCATTGCAACGACACCGTTGAAGTGTAAAGCCGCTGTTGTCGCAGCCCAATATCAGAATCCTAAATCGGATATCCCACTTCCTTCTCCGACCCCATTCTGTCGAAACAGCCTCGTGCCCTTGTTATTTTTCAGCTCGCCCTTATTCTCCATACTTTGGGCATCATGCTTACTGTCTGATCCCACACGCCTTCGCATGGGCTGGGGATACTATGTACGCGCCGGTGGAGAGAGGCTGCAGCGCCGCGAGGCCTCATCAGCCTCCTCAGCGCCTCATCTCCGCAAGAGCATGGCAACAATAAGGCAGACAAATGAATTGCAATACCGACACCATTATTCAGCGGAATGGCGGCTCTCGGAATCCAGCGCGGCGTTCGGTTGCCTCAGGGAGCCAAGGCTCACCAGCAGTCCGATGCAAAAAGTCTAAATTTTCGGGCGTCATTCAACCACCACATTGTCTCCTATGGCGCATTTTCTTGCCCTGCCGCGCGCGTGCATTAGCAGATTCTGGCACCAAATGGAAGAATCACGGCCTTTCTGATTAAATTGATTACTTGCTTTGGTTAGTAAATGCGAAGAGAGATCGACAAAGTAATGCCTCCCGCCATCTAGTTTATGCTCTTGACGCCTTTGATGAGCGTGTCAATGATCCGACGTTGAAATCGAAGATGCGGCAGTCCCCCCTTAGCTCCGGGGGCATTCCGGCGAACATCGGCGTCCCTGGCCGACTGTCTCCGACTGTTGCTCTACAAGACCCTAGAGTAGAATAGAATGTCTACATTCCGTTGCTCGTCTGCCAACCAAGCACCGCTAATAATAGGTTTCAGTCAGCTTAGGCGAACAGAAATCGCCCAACGAATCTCACAATAAGAATCCAAATATAGGTAGGTAACCAGCGACATGGACATGGACATGGACATGCGCAGCCTGGACGCTCATGGTGTTCCATCTCGCCCGGTCCCTGCCGACCTACCTAGGTTGCTGGGTATACTGTATGTACGTCGTAGGTGGATCGTTGCGGTGCGTCGTGACTCCCCACGATCGTCGTGGAGCATAGCAGTAGCCTACATGGCACTAAACGACGAATAACGACACATGCCTCTTTGTCCTGTTTTAGGGCCCCACTGAAGATGCTAGCGGCCAGATTCGACGTTACGCCTCTTTAGATGACGCCGAGAGCAGATGCGAATTGCCTAATACGGACGTTGCAATGACTCGTCGTCAACGTACCCCAGGCCCTAGAATCCATGTGCCGAGGCGCCCCTATGGCGGAATTATCTCCCCAAAACAGTTTCTCTTACTCTATTACACCTCTCCTGAAAGACCAGGCAATCAATCACAAGTGTGCAGCGGTGCAGCGGTGGGGGCATCCGGGGCTGGAAGAACGGAATCAAGTCAACGGAATTACGACTACTCGTACATGGATGGCTGAGTTCCGCCCCACGGAAGTTGAAGCACGCAAAAGTATGACAACAAGAGTGCCATCCCGTTGGCTCGTTAGAGGCCGCTGTCAGGTTACGCATTAACTTATTTTTATTTACCGCTACTCTATGTCGTGGGTAGCACTGGGGGTGCCTTGGTAAGCATCCAGTGTGAAGCATAATCAAACAATTGTCACAATACCTGGGGACTCAATCCCGTCAATGTCCTTCGGCAATTCACCCCGAGGTGCCCACAGGGAGCATTATACTCGTACTGTACAGCGCCCAAAAGCATGGGATCGGTCACAATTACCGGCATGATTGCGCGCTGCCATTGGTGGGTATCAGCACCTAACCTGCTAATTTGTCGTCTCCACAATCGGGAGACTATTGAGAGAGATGATATACTCGTACACGCACACTGCCATCGGGCACTCTGATGCGCAACGACTCATGCTGCAGCAGCGTGATGCTCAATGGCAGCGCGACAAGAAAGTGTATTCCTGTGTGTCGCATTAAACGGGGGCTCAAGAGCACGCGAATCACACACTGAAAGCGCACACGTCCGTCCACATGCTTCTGTGCCATCGACATCAATCCCTTCCCCCCCCGGTCCGCACTCCACGCTCGTTCCCACGCTCGTTCAGCACATACTTCCAAAGGCGGTAAAGGTAGCGGCGCTAGAGAATTGGCAATGCATGTCAGAGTCGAACCATGGCCGGCTTCCAAGAGATACCCGCGCAGCTCCCCCATACCTAGACGCCCCGCCGAGTCCCGGAACCCGAATTTCTGGGAGAGAGCCATTTTTTCTTCTTTTCTTTTTCCTTTTTGCCATTTATGTGTGTGTGTGTCTGTGTGCCCTGGCTCATACAGTTTAGTTTTTTTTGGGTTCCTCTTTTGGGGGCCCAATTCTTGTTCGCTGTGGTCTTGAGCGTCCCCCCGTCCAACAAAAGACTCGAGCAGCTGATATCACAGGCCTGCGTGGAGTGTGTGGCTACACAAAACGACCTGTTTCTTACACAGAGCCAGGATGATGATGGCGTTTTGATGCATGATACAAGTGCTGGTCTAGTACGAGCGGGTAGTTCCAAGAGGCTGCCGTGCGCATCGTTGCATGCTGCACGTACGGATGTACCAGGACTCGCATTTCACTCAGTCACATCACACTAAGACAAGTGCAGATCCTTTAGCATCAAGTACCTACGCCGCATTGAGATGGTAGGTAGGTACCAGGTCTGTATGCAATGCACGACTAAATAGTTTTGGCCCTGTTCTGCCCAGTCGCCGAGAAGAGAGAGGCGAGGGGGTGAGGAACAGGAGCGAAGCCTGTATGTATGTGCGTGAGAGGTGAGAGGGCAACAAGACGGGCATCAAATTACATTGTCTCGTTACCCAAGTGAGGCGAGGAGCAGCACAATCCTTCCCCAACAACGAAGGGGGGATACGGAATAGAGACGGCACAAAAAGAGAGCCAAGGAAAAAGGAAAAGACGGGATCAAAAAGTTCCTCTGCCGTCAACAAAGTCCCCCGTCCCGTGCCCTTGGGTGATGCCGCGGCCGTGGGTTGTGGTGCGGCCCTTGTCGTAAGTTTTTTATTTTCTGGGCACCCGGGGCAAGGCAAAAACGCACCACGAGCGAAGAAAAAAATTGCGCTCTTTTGCATGCGCGATTCCCTTGATTGAACCAACCAGGATAGGCATTATGCAAACCGCAACTCTAAAACAAAAAGAGGCGTGACCCTTTCGGACGGGTCCCTTGTTTTTTTCTATGCTTCTACTACGCCGATGCCTCTGTACAGTAACGGATAGTGGGCGCCAAGCTCGGCTCTCTAACTCCCTTGACGATAGGCCTGGCATCTAGCATTGCCTGGGAAAGGCAGTCATGTTTGGGGCAACGTTTCCTTTTAGCCAAGTTGGCTCTGCCGCTGATGCCGCTGCTGCCGCTGCTAATGCGAATGCTTCCGTTCCGAACCAAGGGCTTCTTGGTAGATCGGGGAAGCTCACGAATGAAGAACGGCCAACGGCCATCATCCCTGGCTCCGGGAGGAAGGGCTTGGGAAACGCCGTGCATGCTGGGAGCAAGTATTGGGTGCATCCCGTCGATGCTACTGGCGGAAGCTCGCAGCAAGACTACTGTACGGGCCCTCCCCCCCCCCCCCCCCCTCCTCTCCCCAGTCTGCAGCGTGCAGCACTGCAGGCGGGCCTTTGTGTCTCATTCAGCTATTCCGGATGCAGTTTTGCCTACATATCAGGCCCTCGGCAAATACTCCATTACCGCCCGCATATGCAATGCGATGCGTCCTCGTCCGCACATCACCCACGCGAGCATGCGGGCCTCGTCCCTGGAGAAGCCAATAGGCCGATTTTCTGAAGCCGCCGGTTGCACCTCGAAGCCAGCTCAAAGGCACGCATTGGCCTCCTCAGCATCAATGCGCGACGCCTCGACGTTGTTCTAGAGAAATTCATTTCATCTGGCCTGGCCCCTAGTCCTATAGTCCTGGCCACGCTGCAAATAGAGTTTGATTGCAAAAAAGCTGGATCGGCACCCGCTGGCTCCTCAGAGGCCCTCAAAGGTCCTCAAAGACTCAGAAACCGCCCAATTGGCAAGCACCAGAAACACGCTGGCGTCCATCCTATTTGCCCATCCCATGCCCATCCAGGGAAATGACAACGCCAGCCAAAAAACCACCCAGGCCAAGGGGCCCAACAAACCCAATTGCGGCCTAGCCAGCCCCGAGTCCTGGACGGCCGCTCGCCAGAATCTTCCGGCTCCACCCCGCCGAGTCTCCCTGAAAACTCTATTTAATGGGCTTTTTGGGCCAGGGGACAGAGGGAGGGTCTCAAGTAGCGGCAACAACGTGGCTCCAGTTACGTGGTGCGTGGGCAAGGTGGGCAGGGAAAAAAAGAGGGAACCGGCCCTTGATTTCTTTGAAGCGGTTTTAACTTCTGCTTGTTTTGGATTGCCTGTGGATTGCCTATGCACAGGGTAGACTCGAACTCTGTCGGCTAAGTCGCAGAAAGGGGACGCCCAACCGAAGCGAGTGCGTTCTTTTTTGTCACCTTGTCTCTTCCTCCTGCTCTGCCTTTTTTGCAAAGTGCATGTGAGAATCCCTTCCATTTTCCCGCCTTCTTCCCCCCATCCCACATCCCATCCCCCCCCTTAATAAAAACCACCGGGAGCCGGTTCCCGTATAATTGTCCGGGGCCGCAATTTGATGGCGTTTAGGCTTCCCACGTCGTCTCATGAGCTGCGAAACGGCCCAACGAAGAAAGTGGAAAAATCCCGCTTTGTGACATCTGGATAGAGAGACAAAGAGGCAACTAGCTTCCGTTGTGATCCGTTGATGCCCTGTGAAGTAATAACAACGTGGCTTGTGGGTTTCGAGCACACACACACGCAGAGCAGCATGTCACTCATCAGGTTGTTTATGGGGAAAACGCATCATCACCATCAACCTTGCCAGCACTCTGACTGCCTTAACCTCACCACTAACAGAATACTATTCACAACTACCTACAACCTTGCTCAGTCCCCACGTCTTTAGCAGTTTCCTGTCTCCAGTTGTTTTTTTTCCCCTTCCTTTATCGAGAAGCACCGAAAACCCAAATTCCTTAGTCGGCGATTACAGTGTGTGGACGCCTCCCCATTACAAATTTCCTGCTTGGTCATTCTGTCTGCTCTACGTGTTTCCACGAGGGCAAAAAAAAAAAAAAATGTAGAAGGCGAAACAGAGAAAAATACACCCGCCCTTTCCGCCCTCCCCGATCCTACCGCCCTGAATAATACTAAGTTGTTTTAACTATTTCCTCGTACCTTTTCGTATAACAAACTGAGTAAGGCAAAAGCAGCCCGATTCGTAGGGCCTCCTCCTCCCCCCTTCCAAGGTGCACGACTCATGTTCTGAACTTTCCATTAGAATTTTTTGTTCTAGAAGGGCTGATTTACGGCACTACGGGTTGTTTGCTCCTTGGGCGACGCCGCCTCGTTTTGCTAAAATTCCTTGGAGGAGATTACTGCTTTTCTCACCGGCAGTGGGCCTCGGGGCCCAGCTTTGGCCGCTTGTCAAAGAGAAAATGGTCTGAAAGCTAAAACGCACGTTTTGGAGGAGGCGCGAAGGCGTTTTTCCCTCTTCTTCGTTCGCCCACGGCCATTAGGGGGGAGGAGACAAGAAACGCCGCCACGGCGTCCAATTTCTTTTCTTCTTCTCTTTGAGTGGACTTTGTCATTGCTGGGGACACGCCCCCCTTTCTAACGTACTACTTGGAACTACTATACCTAGTAATGGAGGAAAGGGAATTGCCCACCGCTTGAAATGGGTTTGGCCCAGGATTGGATGGTGTTGAATTTCCTGTTGAACGCTTGGTGGGCGTCGGCCCGAGATTCCCTTTTACCCTTTCGTAGAAATCTCCTTGAAGGGTCGGAATTGCGCCCCGAATGTGGCCCGGAGTAAACTGCGGCCTCTCCTCCGCGCAAAGTCCTAGGGGGACGTTCGACCCTTTTGCCACTCTTGTCTGACTGATGATGCAATGTCCTGCTTCATTGTTTCTTTTTGAGTTCTTCTTCTTATTCCATCCTTTTCTTTTGCTTACATTTCAGTTTCCCTTCCCCCAAGTTTTGTCGTCATTCCCGCATTCCAGAACAACGTGACCCGACCCAGATCGTTGGGACGGAACGGCGTTTTTCTTTCTTCTTTTTTTTTCTCCTCCCTTATTACCTTACTACCTAGTGCCGTGATGCTTTCTCTTTGGGGGCAAGGGTTGCGTGATACGTCATGTTTTCTGATTACCAGTGACAGCTATTTAACTGGTCTTGGCTAGATATCCGCTCGAGAATCGGTGCTAGCTAGCAGTAGCTTTTTCGGCTTGGAAAAAGGGGGATTTGATGGTGTTGTCGGCTTTTAAGATTACCAAGTCCGCTTCCTTTCCGTCGGCGATTGTCCGACACCGACCACTACTGCAAGTCGTGGTGCTGCGCTACCCGTTGTCGAAGTTGTTTAGCCAAGTATGAAATTAGGGATAAGTACGAGCGGCCGACTAGCCGCCAATGTAGAACTTAGCCCCCATGCTACTAGAGTAGTTTTGAGGGTTAATTGATAGACTTGTGGCATGCAGAGTTGTTGGTAATTCTCATTGCCAACGGATACTGTTGCGCAAGCGAGCTCACTCAATGCGAGTTTGTGTATCGTATTCTATGGGAGTCTTGTCAAGAAACACCATGTCCCCCTATCTAAGCTTTTCAGTTGTCTCTGCCATGTCTCTCCAGTCTATTTGCCAAACCTGTCTACATGTGTTGTGATCCGTACGCCCGTATCTAACTGCACCACTGCGCCCTCCCCCCCATCAACGGGGATAATAGTATTACAAAATTCATACAGCCGGAAAGAATAGCATGCTTACTGGCAGATCTCAAATGTCAATCTCGGCTTGCTTCGGGTTGTCATTTATGAGCGTGGGGTCCGTTTTCCAATATTCCAACCCCATCCGCGAAGCACCTTGACCACCTTGGGCGTCACCGCCGCTGTCAATGGCACCCGGAGGAAGATGAAGCTCTTGTGGATTGCGTACGCCAGTGCTAGTTGCGTTGCCAGGCCTGTCAAAGCTATTAGCCTCCCATGTCTCATATCGTATCATATCATATTCCACGGTGACACTCTCGAAAGCAGTCGGCATGGCCCCATGACGTAGAGTCGTGCAAGACATTGCCAACGCAACAAGACATGGCCGGGAAAGGGCCGTTCAAACTCACTGGCTTCTTCTCTGTTGCGTTCCTGCGCCTTCTCTACTCCCCAGCCCGCCATTTCTACCTTGTCGCTGATTTCATTGCTGCCTAGGTGCTGTTTCTCTTCAGTCTTTAGGGACTCTCGCCATTCGTGCCATCGTGTTCGCGCTGACTCGGGGATGAACTTGGAGACTGCAGATACGACGTAATGCTCGACTTGTCCTGTTTGCCATCCCATGCTCACGTTAGCATACGCCTCTTCCACAGCATCGACGGCTGAGAGGTGGCACACGTACCTATCCGCTCCGTCCCGACCACCCTGACCAGGAGGAAGCAGAACGGGAAGTCCAGGACGCTGAGCGCAAAGTAGACGCCGACGGCTGACCATCCATACTCCCTAGAGAGCTTCTTGAATCGCCCACTGAGTGAGAGATTCTCCTGAGCTCCTTGCGCAGTATTGCGCCTCCATGCCGAGAATCCAAAGCTCCGCCTTTGCGCCCCCCTTGCGAAGCTGTCAGCTATTCTGACATTTGGTCGCATCGAAGCGCCGTGGCGCATGGTTCCCTGCAGGGGCTGAATTGAATGTATCCTCGTCCATGATGTGCTGCTATTGCTTTGGAGCTTCGTGACAGGCTGTGACGAAAATAGCCTTGCCCAAGCATCTCTCAATGCTCCGTATTGTACCGACGCGCCCTTGGCCGCCTTAACGGGCGTTGCACTCGATGGAAACGCCGCTCGAATCATTTTGTAGGATGCAGTGCAAGAGGCGCCTCTTCCTCCTCTTTAGCCCAGCGTAGCTGTTTGCTTATATGAAATTGGCTCCGACCGTGAAAGGGAAAACAAAGACAAAGTGTCTGGAATTCTCGCCGAAGCTCGCAGAAGGATCACCGGTGAGATGGAGATAGCGGAGCCTCGGAGCTCCAAGAGTCCGCACCGGCAGCAATTCGTGTGCCGTGTAGCTCAACCCGGAATTGCCGAGAAGAAAAAAATCGTATGTACGATGACGAGAACGCAGCAATTGCAAATACTACTACTCCCTCCGTAAAGGATTATCAAAGAAACAAAAGGAAAAGAGGACAATCAATCGGAAAGCCCGCTTCGCCTCCTGAGCAAAAGGATGATTGGGTTTGTTGGGGCCGGTGGGGTGATCAAGGCATGAGATAGTCGCAGCTCACATTTTTTGGCTTCTAAATTTTTTTTCTGCTAGGGCTGTTCCGACTTTTCTTTTGCCGTCAGGTCACGATGATGTAAAATAACGGCTCTCCCCGATCCGGGGCCATTGAAGGATCGGGACAGGGATGAGGCGCGCTAGCAGGGCCTGTGATGGATATCACGTGCTGTTGCTCGAGTGACGACGTTGACGACGGACAGAGAGTTGTAAAGTTCAGAGCAGATGTGAGCTGGGGCGAATGGTTGCAAATCATTATTTCTGAATAATTTTTCAAGAGAGGGATTCTATATGTATTTGATTTCTGCTGGTTGATGGCGCATCTATTACATGGCCTTTATATCCGATCTTAACCGTAGGTGTCTGTAAGATGATCGTCCTCGGCTTTACATGCTGGGTCTGAGGTAGCTACCAGGCAGGCACAGCTTTTTGTAAGAAAATCCAATCAGATACCTAAGTAGGTTATATTAATATAGCTCAATGTGTTGGAGCATTTATTCTCCATATTTTCATTGCGGTTTTTGATACTTTGGCCAAGCTAGGATGTAGCAGCTGTGCATCAAAACCAGAGTATTCTGCATCAGAGCAGACGCCCTATTCGACCCATTCATATCGGATTCTTGCTTGAAGGTGAATACGATTCAATCACATATCTACCTTTCTAGCAGATTATACTATGCGGAATTGTATGATCTACATCGTGTAACGACTTATATCGTATGCTTGACAGTCCGTAGGCGTTGGATGTCGTGAACTGCCTTGCATCATCGACCTTGGAATCTCGACCCAAAACCAAGCCGTGCTTTCAACATAAAAATTGACTCACATTAATACATGTAGTAAACGCGTCTTTACTGGGAGCCTAGCCATCCGATGTTAGGCAGTGATTCAGGGACGCTCTGCCAGCGGCTCCTTCCACTCGTTCAGTGGCATCATCTCCCCTGAACAGCCGTTCGTCACCTGCCAAGCCCTCCAACATCAGGCCAGTTGCTCCCTAAAGGCTTCTGTAACTTGATTCTGGCGCACCTCGCATCATATGGAAAGCTGCATAAATACACTTCTTCTCCTCACCGACACCGGCGCCTCTTTTCTGCCTCCTCCTCTTCCTCTCCAAAGCATGGGTACCTAATACTCTGCACTCTCAAGCTGCAACGCCTCTCCTGTGCACTTGGGCTCATCCCCTCCGACAAGACAAGACAAGATTTCGCTGACGCCTCACCTTTGGGACATGAAATCCCCCACCTTCTTCGCCGATCACCCTGACCATATGTATGATCCTGGTGGCCAGCCTTAGGGTTCACTGGAGTTGCTTCCCACACTCAGAGCTGGCTTCATGATCTGTCCTCAACCATCCAAAATTCACCCGCTGCTAGGAAATTTTGGTTGCGTATCACGCCATTCACTGTGTTTCCCCCCGTTTCACTCGTTTGACCAACTGCATCCTATTCACTCGTTTTTCCTTCTGTCGTTCTTTTCGTCACTCATTTTTTCTTTTGTCTTGTTTTTTATGCCACTTTGCCTTTTGTTACTGGCTCGTTCAGCCTCTTTTTGTGTCTCTCTTCTTCACTGCGACTTTGAAATGGCGCCCCCTCCTCGAACTTATGGGAAGAAGAAAAGTTTGCTTGGTCCCTTGGGCTCCCGAAATCGATCCAAGGCCTCGATGACTGATTCCCTTCCGGCTAAGAACCCCAGTAAGCCATTTATTATATATGACACTTCATAAGAGACGAAGCTGACTTGTACTTAGGTCTTGGTTCACAATCTGTGAACATCTGCTCCGACACCGCGAAGCGAAACCCCCGGACGCAGAATAATGCCCAACCAAACAGCATTGAGGAACTCGCGAGCGCCTTACTCGACGACAGCAGTTCAGAGCTACCAGCAAAAAAGAATGTCATAAGACAGGCAGAAAAAGACATCCTCGGTTCCCCAACTTCTTCTCCTTCAGTCATCGAAGACTCTACACCAGAAGTTGGAGAACAAGGAATCATCTCCCATTCGCCAAGCTCATTGAAGGAAAGAGCAACTAGCATTAGTCGAGGACACCAGCTGGCTGCCCCGAGAATTCAGAAAGCGTCTCCCAACAATAGGTTTTCGAAAGCCTCAAGGCCTCGTGGAAACTCAACTTCATCTCCTAAACGGAAAGATTATAGCTTGATCCGCCCCTTCACAGACCCTGTGAAAAAGTCGACCAATCGTTCCCCGTACTCTGTTGTGAAAGACACCGAAGCAGTTTGCCTTCTTCCTCACAACATTATGGATGGGACTCCAAGAATTCTCTTGCACAGCGAGTTGGCCAGAGAGGGCTGTGCTGTAGCGGCTGGTGCCGATGAGATTCAAGAGAAGGTATGTGCCATGTTGGCGGCGACGGACGCTCTAAAGCCATCTCCTTCTCAACCGCGGAAGTCGCCCATTGCCAAGATGACTCGCATGACTCCCTCAAGAGTGTTAGCCAAAGTGTCCAGTGCGTGGGACCGATGGCAAGTGAAATCGTCCAGTGGAGGAGCGAAACCGCGTGTCAAGCTCACGAAGCAGCCTGCTCAAGAAGACCCCCCTAATGGTCCACTGACTTCTCACCCTGTGTTTGTATCTCCTGCACTTCAAAGGACGTCTTTGATCGACACCATTGAGATCCGTCTAAACGAGGGTGATAATCTCAATAGAAAGAAAGTACAGCAAATTGTGGGTGGTCGTGTAGCTCGCAAACCTGTTGCCAATGACGGAAAGACCCTCAGGAGTGGCCGATCCATGGATGATGACCCTTTTGCTGAGCCTACTCTCTATCGTAGCCCAAGTGCTATTGATAAACACCCTAATATGAAGATTATGGTTGGATCCAATACAGCATCTCTGCTCATCATCGACCCCTTTGAAGCCGAAAAGGGATTCGAGAATAACCTCGAAGATAGGATCTTGAGTTCTTCCCCAGTCTGTGCATCAACACCTCGGATTCATCTCCATAGGGTTCAAACTCCCACGCTTGAGGATAGTCTCGACGAACAGTGCTCCAAACTGCCGACTCAGATTAGTCTAGAGAAGATGACCACTGACTTGACTGTATATCAATCGCAAGAAGCCATTTCCTTCAGAAAATCCCCAGATCAGAGTGGGCAGATGAGGCCGCTGCCAAACTCCGATCGTATGGCCGTTGAATTGATGCGGAGCGGATCTTCTATGGATATGTGCAATGCACAATGGACAAAGAAGCATCCATCCCCGAGCAAGAGAGATCTAGAACAGCTTGAGATAGCATTTCGATGCTATAGCGAGCTCAAAAGGCGTGGTATTGGTGAAGAAGCGGATGAACTCGCGGCACATTATACACCTTCGACTCGATATTTGTCTCCCCGAGATACCAACAGGATGATGAAGACTCGTGAGGAAGGCGGCAAACCAACATCTGGCTGCGAATCCCAGTCTCCTGCCAAGTCTCAGATGCGACGCCCGACTGACGATCTGAGGCATCGTCATCACATTCGCCTTGCTCCCATCTATCGACCAATGGTCCCACAATCTGATGAGGTTGATGAGCTGCAGTAAATGGCTTGGTTGAAGTCGTTCCTAGGGAGTCGTAGGGGAATTGGAATCGCGACATGCGCACCAAATAGAAAACGCTACCAAAAAAAAAAAAAAAAAAAAAAAAAAAAAAAGTGAGAGGGATAGAAAATGGGAAACCGGAAATTACTATTGACCCAAATGAGATGACGGGGCTTCCAGAACGGTTTCTACGCATAGGCTCGCCTGGAAACTGTGCATTCAACGGTGGTCGCACACGAGCCACATCTACAGTTGGCTTTGACAGAGTATAATAGACCGGAGTTACAAGGGAATAATCGACATGAATTTGATGTTCACAGAAATATCAAAGTAATTATTCAATAGATATTATTAATTTAAAAAAAAAATGATTGCGAGACGTTGCAAGTGTCCTCTCTATGGGTATCATTGGTGACAGTGTTATCATTCTGTGCCATCTTCAGGTTGTGTAGGTGAGAGCACCATTAAAAGAAACGTCTGCGACGGTGCGATCCACGGCCGTCTGTTCCGCGCATTCTGCGAATTCCGGCAGCCTATAATTTATATTGGTGTTAGTCATTGCATCTTTTCTCATTTCTTCCCCTCCAATGGTCAGGAGATGTAAGCGACGTCGATCATACCTTTACGCCTGGACGGCGAGTCAAGCTTCCCCTCAGTCTGGTGAGAGCGCCGCTGACTTTATCCTTGAGCGTGGGTTTGCGTTGGTGATGCACGCGAGGAGCTCGGCGAGAGAAAATGCTGCGGCGGTAGGGCCGGGCAGTGGTGGTGGTTGTTGTGTGGTGATGGCGGCGGTGGGTTGTGAAAGGCATGATGATAGTGTTGGTTGGTGTTTGGTATAAGTGGTTTGTTATTTTGATATTGGTTTCGTGTGTAATGTGTGGGTATGTAGTTATGAGATGGAATGGAAGAGGGATATTACGGAGGGAAATGAGAGGATTTATATACTTGTAATGAAGCTTAATGTTGAAACAATGGAGGATGTGATGCAAGTCATGGTGGGATACCCTGCAGGACCAAAGACGACGATCGCAACGTAATCGATGCGTGACATCTATTCAGCTTATAGAAAAGAAAACAAGGCAATATAGCTTATACTAAGATTAAGTAGCTGCATGATAGTTTATTGTGTGTCACGGTTGTACATACAATATCTTGGCGATCTATTACAAGATGCTGGATGGCCGTCATTCTACGTCACCTCTTCTGGCGATGCTCAATCAGGATGCTTGGATCGTCCTTGGACCCTGTGGCTAGAAACGTCATTTGTGGCGCTGGTGGATGGTGGGTGTGGCTGGTGGTACGTCACTGGGGGACCTGCGATCGAGATCAAGCACTTCAGAACTGGTTCCGAGGTATGTACACTAAGCTTTTCTGTTTTAGGAAATTTGAATGCTTCAAGATTCTAAGCTCTAATTCAGCCGTATAGATGGAGACAAAATTGCATGTCCAAGACAGTCGAAGCTCTTGGTATAGCCATCTTCAACGTCATCAAGCGTCTATGGTATCACGAACAACAATGCAAAACAGACTGCTAACTGCCACTTCAACTCTCGTCATCACAGAAAAAAAAAATCAAGAACGAATGTTCTTCTTCACAGTAATGAGGTCTTCCTCCGAAAGCCCCAAACCCTTGGTCACATAGCCATCCCAGCCACCAAACTGCTCCTCAAGACCCTCCACAAAGGCGGTCCAGTACTGAGGCCGCAGCTCAACGAGGTTGTAGAAGCCTGGCGTCTCCATATCGTTGGTGCCGACGCTGTCCATGGCAAATCTCAGAAGCTTCTCACGAGCGACTTCCGTACCGACACGGGAGAGCATATAGTCGCGAATCGCATCGTTAGTGGCTGTGCCAGCGAGGTGGTGGAGGAGACCGGCGAGAACTCCCGTGCGGTCACGACCAGCTAGTTCATAGTATTAGTAACCAAGAGGTGACCTGTAGCCAAGGAGAATTGCCCACCTGTGCAGTGAAAGAGAAACGGTTCCGCGGGGCTGTCTCTGATGTGTTCTAGGACCGCCTTGTAGGTTGGCGCATACGTGAGAGCAACAGCCATGTACTGGTCCTTCCAGGCAGCGCTGCCGTCGCCTTTGGCGAAATCGTCCAAGCTCGGTGTCTTGTACTCCTGCGACCCGGGGAACCAGACATTCTCAACTCCCTCAATCTCAGGGTCAGGCCCGTGTTCTCGCTCGAGCGGCTTACGCAGGTCGAAGATGCGGCGGACGTTGCCCTTGATCCAAGCCACGGTGTCGGGATCATGGCTGGCGTACTCCAGGGTGCCGCAGCGGAAGATGCGTCCGGAGGGAATGTTGCTGCCGGGCACGGCACCAATATCGCGGGCGTTGATGAGCGTCTTGGTGGTGATAAAGGGCGGAGCAGAGAGAATAGGGAAGAGAACTTCAGGAGCAATGGGCTTGCTGACACGAGTCTTGAGAAGCTCGTCGAGCTCGGCCGTTGAAATCGGAGCAGCCATGGTTATGATTTATTTGGGTACTGGTGAGAAGTTCTCGAGAGGAGTGGTTCGGTGTGATCTGGACTCTCTCTCCTCTTTCGCTCAAAGAAGCGCGGTCAAGAACGAGAAGAAGTTGTAAAGGGGGAGAGAAGGAGAATACGAAATAACAGATTGGGCCGATTGCTAGTCCAATTGCGATCTGATGCAACAAACGGTAAGTCGCTAATCGGGCAGATTACAGGGAAGCCCTTACGCTCTTTCCTTTCTGAGAAGGGCCATGGCCTGGACCTTGCCCATGATTCACCGTCAACTTCTACTTTACATCCTATTGCCATACAAACAAACAACAACATCAACTTGGGCAATCCAACAAATAAATCAACAATCTTCCAAAAAAGGTTATTGCGCAACCCCAAATCCTAATGAGGGGTTCTTCAACGCCATGCCCCTCCTTTTTTTGCGCCATTCACCCCGCCATCCCTCCAACTCGATGCTAGTGTCCGTATGGCCAGTCCCTGATCGCGGCAAAATGGCCAGTCCCTGATCGCGGCAAAATAGCCAGCCATGGATTTAACAAATCAAAGCTGCATGTCGAAGACGCTTTGACTACCTAGTAGAGATAGGGAGTCGCTCTGCAAGGGACGGGAAAAAATGTCTCGGAATTCGTTCGGAAAACAGAAACGCTTCTTTCAAAGGCGCACTATCAACATTTCAGGACCACTTTTCGTGCCCTTCATGTAATACACCAGTACGGTTGGCGTAAGCCTTGCGAAAATGCCAGGGTGAATCTGGAACTATAAAAAAAAGTTATATATCAACACCATTTGTGGGAGTGTTGCGGTTTCGGACCCGCAGCATCAACACCAACGCTGAGAAAAATGGCTCTGTCGCCGCTGCTTCGCTGGGGTTCCATCATCTCGGTCATTGCAGCCGCGGTTTTCGCCTATTCATTCCAGCAACATCCGTTTCTCTTCACGGATGTTCACAATGAGCCTCTTCCAGTGTATTGCTATCAGAACGTGAGGACTCATGATGCTGCAGACCCGTCTGCTACGTGCTTCTCCGTAGAAGATGGCCTGTTTCGCTACGTTTGGACCCAGGATAGCAGAGACTCTCCGCATCAAGTCAAGGGAGCCGACATTTCCGTTTCAGATGGCTTTGCAATTCCTGGTCTCTGGGACGGCCATGGGCATCTGCTGCAGTATGGCGAGTTCCTTCATTCGGTTGACCTCTTTGGCTCAAAGTCTCTCGATGAAGTGAGAGATCGCATCAAGACATACCTTGCTGCAAACCCAGGAGCAGGCACCAAAGGGCAATGGCTTCGTGGTATAGGATGGGATCAATCTGCCTTTGGACGCATGCCTACTGCTGTTAGTTGATAACTTCAATAGAGGCCTTTGGATTTACTCTACTAACAATTAACCTTCTTGTGAGCTTTCAGGACGACATTGAGCAAGATGACGAGCTCAGGGGCATTTTCATGATGCTGGACAGAATTGATGTTCATTGCTCTTGGGTCTCACAGGCAGTGCTGAATCTCCTCCCGGAAGAGATCCCAGACGTTCCAGGAGGTGATATTATTCGTGATCCTGGCCCTGGAGTCTTCTGCGATAATGCCATGGATATGATTATGGCCCTGTGGCCGCAACCCGGCGAAGAGGAAAAAGCTCGAGCTGTCAAGTCAGCTATGAAAGAGCTGAACAAGGTTGGCCTGGTAGGAATGCACGACGCCGGTGTGACGGCAGACAACGTTCGGCTGTATTCAAAATTGGCGAATTCTCCAGACTGGACTGTCCGAGTTTACGGCATGCTGGAATGTGCGAAGAGAAACACGTTTTGTCCCGAGGACACTCCTCAAATTTCTCATCCACACGGCATGTTTGGATTGCGCAGCGTCAAGCTGTTTGCTGGTAAGTCACTCAAACTCTATGGGCTCTTCTCAGATGCTAATGTCCTCCCCCATTCAAGATGGAGCTTTGGGGAGCTGGGGAAGCGCCATGATTGAACCTTACAGTGACCGCCCTTGGACTTCTGGTTCACTCTTAATCAATGCATCAGCCCTTACGGAGGTGACCAAATCCTGGGCTAGAGAGGGTTTTCAAGTCAACATCCACGCCATAGGAGATCTAGCCAACCGCAACGCCATTGACGCCTTTGAAGCGGCTTTGAAAGAGCAATGCGGGCAGGAAAGTCTTGCCGATTGTCAATCCAAGCACCGGTTCCGCATCGAGCACTCCCAGATCATCCACCCCGAAGACCAAAAACGCATGCATGCCCTCGGTATTATCCCTTCCATCCAGCCTACACACGCCACCTCTGATATGAAGTACGCCGAAGAAAGGCTTGGACCAAAGCGGACTAAAGAGGAAGCCTACCGCATGAAGTCCCTGCTCGACATCAAGCCTGTCCTTGGCAGCGACTTTCCTGTCGAGCCACCAAACCCTTTTCAAGGAATTTACGCTGCGGTTACGAGGAAGAGCCCGCACACTGGACTTGGGCCTGACCCGAAAAACCCCTCCGAAGGATGGCATACGCAAGAGGCTCTCAGTTTGGAAGAGGCCCTTATGGGCTTCACGCAGAATGTTGCGTATGGAGCGTTTATCGAACAGTACGCAGGTTCAATTAGGCGGGGTGCATTTGCGGACTGGGTTGTGCTTGACGAGCCGCTAGAGGACATGGATGTCGAAAAGATTCGCACTCTCAAAGTAAGAGAGACTTGGGTGGCGGGAAGAAGGGTGTACTCGCGAGATGAGACACGATGGCCATTGTCCGATTCCGAATAGGAGCAGTTACTAGGCAAATACGTTCGTTTGCATTCTCATGCTTCGAAACACGCCCCTGGCAGAGGACTTTTATGGATTCTAACAATATGGTGCTTCGTACAGACAATAATTTGACATACTCCTTTTTATTTGGCCTCTGTATCTAGATGAATATGAATTTCACGAAGAGTTCCGAGATGGAAATTCCCCCAGCAGTAAATGACCAAAGACAAAAGAAAGTCCCTATTGGAAACAAAATAACACCCCGCTGTTAACGCCATCTAAGCTACCAAGTTCTTAGTTTATGCATCTAAATCAAAGAAATCGGTTCTCTCTGTCAATATCCTCATCGTTTCTCACGCTTTGGCAATTACCTTGCTCTCAAACCACTTGGCAAACTTGACAGTAGGAATGTCAACCGCCCTCCAGAAGATATCCGCCCACCACACAACCGTGGGGATGCAGAAGCACGCCCCCAGGATGAATCCCGCATTATACCAATAACCCTCTACTCCAGTTACGCTGTATGCCCACTTCTCAAAATGGTAGCCTACAACATGCATGGCCGGCCCGTGCATAAGGTAGATGGCGTATGAGATCTTGCCAAAGTATTGAACTACTGGCAAGTTGAAGAAGCGCTGCCATCGAGGCGAATGGCTCACCGCAATGATGAAAATGACAGCACCAGTCGACTGCCAGTATCGGTACCTTTCTTCCTTCCACCACTTGGGTATGAGAGAAGACAACCATATCCACCCAGGAGTAATTTCACCTCGACCATCTGGCTGACACATCAAGTACAAGCCAAGAATACTAAATAGGGCCCAGAAGATGGGCCAAAGCTTGGTTTTGGTCGGACGAGGCTTTTCTTCCATCGGCAGGGCTGGATTAGGCTCCGGAATGTGCGCACCACGTATGTGATCATTTTCAGCAATGAGCATTCCGCAAAAAAACAGCAGAAGCTCCCATCGACTGTTACGATAGGTGACCCACATGACGAAGGCAACTGTGAGCCATCGGATCGAAGTACGTAGACGGGCGGTGCCGAGAATAGTAAGAAAGAGGTAAAGCGAGCATCGAAACTCGACGGGAATTGTCCACAAATGGACGTCGTATGCTGGGAGGAGAGTGTTAGTATTCATTGCCAGAAGATGTTTAAGATGGAGCATTTCTCCTTACAGGTACTTCCGCCAAACTTGTCCCAACTGAATACCTGAATAAACCTAAACATGTGTAATAGCCAATCCTTGTACTGGGCATACGCATGCTCCATGCGTGCTGGATGCGGCTCCACGATGTTTTTCATGTACTTTCGATCGTTTGCAAAGACTCGAGTCCACTCGTATGCACCAATCCGCAAGAAACAGATAATCATGAAAGTTGAGATTGCTGTGGGAAGATATAACCGAATCCCACGTCGAAAGATGAGAGAGCTCATAGTATTGGCGAATTCGGACCATGCTCCGTTCCGAATTAGTTTCATAGGTCGATATGATAGCGCATATCCAGAAATGACAAAGAAGACGCAGACCGCCGGAGGGCCTTGGTACCAAAGACGAAGGAATGGCAGTTTGAGAATGTGGTAATTGGTCTCGCCGCAACCCCATCCCTCGGCGATAGTGAATGCTTGATAAAAATAATGGCAAAAGAAGACAAATAGTGCTGCCAAACCACGCATGCCATCAAGGTAGGCAGTTGGAGCAAGCTTAGCTGGGCATATCTGCTCGCGAGCGTGACGACCTTGCAAAAAGCTAGGTGTCAGAAAGATGAAGAAGCGAACGGCCAGAATCCGCCACGGGGTCGATCGAATGTATCCAAATGGTGCTTTCAGGGTATCCGCAGAAGGGCTAAGGATACCAAGGTGAAAATGGCCGTCGGTATGGGCTGGAGCTGTGGTGATGCCGGCACCAGTCACAGTGCCAGTGCTGCTTTCACTGGTGTCTGTTGCAGCATCTGAACCCCGTCTCTCGTCCAGGAGGCCCATCTTCTCTTCTGATGATAAATTGTTGGCAGAGCTTTGGTGGTTCATTGCCGCGCAATATAGCAATTAGGGTTTGGGGCTCGTCCTGTACAGGAAGCAGGAGGGGAAATTCAAATCACAAAACTTGTGGATATGGGGATACGCTCGACCCGCGACTTCTTGTAGGTAATGAACGATTGCTGAAGCGAGTGGCACAATCCTTCCTCTGTTTTCATTGGTATGTGTATACTCGTACAGAATTAAGAGAACGAAGGAACACCGAAAGGCAAACTGAGAAACAAACTCAACAGGAAAGAGGGCACAGTAAAGGCGAACTAGCCGGGGAAATGAGGCAAGTGACTGGACAGGGCAGAGGAGAGGCAATCCAGACTCTCTCTGTTGTCGTCTCTCCCACGGAGTGTATGAGAGAATGAAGATGGAAAGAAAGACAGGATTGAGATGAGGAAGAGAAACACAAGGAAAAGAAGATACCTAGGTAGGTAGTTCTTGTTTACATGGGAAATGAGAACAAAGGAGGAGGTGACGAGAAAGGAAAGGATGGGAGGCTAAAAAGCGAGGATCGGTATCTCATAATAGCTCAAGTACTCCGTACATACATAGCGATGCCTCCCATGTAGATCCGTGTGAGATGCCCCTTCCGCACGTAGGTTTCGGATTCCCAAAGTCCACATTTATTTACGACCTAGCAGTAGTAGCTTGAGCAAGTACTCGTACTTGTACTGTACGAAACAAAGATTGCGACATGCGTCCCGAGTCCACTTTCCACTTTTTTATGATATCTGAAAAAGGGCATGAACATCCAAGCTTTGACCTACTTAATCCGTACTATACAAAAGGATACCTGCGTGTACGGGTTATACGCAGATATACCGGATGGCGTCGAGGAAGGAGCCGTCGATCGCAAGACGGGAAGTTGCGTCTCTTGCCGGTATCCCCAGATCTACAAAGGGTCTAAATGGAATTGTCGAAAAATAAGAATAAAAATAAAAATAAAAAACAAGGCGGTGTAGAGGTGCCATGGACAAATTTGATTGCGATATTCTTTAACCCGAAAGGCCGATTCAAGATCGACCAGTCTCCCTGCCCCTCAACTAAGACGAATATTTGACCGCCAGTGTAACCTATTCCGTGCCATTAATTGCCAATTGTTTTTATGAAACTACGGCATTATCTTGACTCTGCATCCAACAACCGCTGCTGCAATGCTCGGGTGCTTCAATCCCAACTCCGGACAGCAAAATGGCTTTAGACAGAGGTGTTTGAATCATGAATCGTATGAGCGTTCTTTCGAGCATCCAAAGTTCAGCAGGGCCCCACGGCGCCACGGATCAGCGCAAGACGGAGTATTACATACTGGTGCTGCTCCCGTCTTCTTTGGTGCCGTTCCCTTCCTAAATGGACGCAAACATCCTTGGCCAGAGCATGGAGTACAAAGAAATGTTTGCCGTTGGCTCTCCTTTTAATCTGTTGTACGAGCACGAGCACGACAGCTCTAAGCACTGCTCAAGTGTTGGTTTGCTTGGTTTCCCCAGAATCCATCTCAAAATTACCAGTGCACCCAACTGCCAGCATCTGTTTTCAGACTAGATGCAGAACCTCGACAAAAGAATGGTGAAGCAACCAACTGCTGCCGCCATCAAACAATGAAACCCCTGCCGCTCTCTCCGGCGCACTACGCACACTGCCAGGGGCGGCTGAAAAGCTTGTTTGATCAACACTCTTTTGGCTGAATCCAGCTATGATAATTGGTTTGTCGTATTACGCTAGCGACAGCGTCCACAAGCGCTCTCTACTTGCCCACACGAAGTTCCCAAACTCACGCGTCATAAGAGAAGATAGAAACGGTGTCCCTGAAAAAGCCCCCTGGACCCACGGTCGATCGCATTCGCTGGTCCCCCTTCATGACGGTCCGTCGTCTGACTTGGACTGTTGATTACGCCTTCTCCGTACAGTGTCTCCTGAGAGCTCATTTCACCGTGGTAGGCTGAGCGTTTCTCAATATTCATTGCTATAGATAATAATTTACCACGATTGACCCAGATATACTTGTACATGTAGGTAGTGACCCGCCAGCGACTCAAGTTGGCTCTCTAGTATGTACCTACCTACTTAATGGGTAGTCTACCAAGTCCTTCAAGTATCTATTACTATTGCTACCTTTTTCTATGATCTACCATGATTACTACTTCTTCTAGTATCCGTTATCACTTTAAAATTGGTGACACAAGATGCTGGGCATGCACCCAACTTGGTGTACTGGCTAGCAGATCCTCTATATGAAGCAAGCTTCTATACCTAGATCATAGCCCATCTGCATATATCCTTCCCGCCTTGCCTATTCAGCCCGTACCAAAAGCCCTGGATTCTCCTCACTGTCATATTTTCCAGCATCAATGCCTTTCTGCACTGCCGGCCTGGCAGCTATGCGATCGATCCACTGCAGAAGATGCGGAAACTTTGGCTGCATATCGGTTTCCTCGGAGAATCCCAACGACCGGTACGCTCGAACGTGAGGCCAGGTGCCCATGTCAGCAATGCTATACTTTCCTACACCATCGCCGGCGAGGTATTCGCGAGGCGACGCGGAATTCCCATTATACTGTCCACTAAGGTGAGACTCTAGCACTGAGTATATGCGGAGCATGGCTTTTTGGAAATATTGCGCTGCATCTATCGTTGATCGTTGAGCTCAACATCTTCATCTCTCTCGTTTTCTTTCGAGAAGGGAAATAAAAGGACAAGTTCACCTACATGGTATGGGTTCTTTGGTTCCTTTTATAAAATGTCTGGCGTGTCCTTGCACTGGGGCAGATGAGTGCCAAAAGAACAGCCACTGAATGGCCTGGCTCCTTTCGTGTGCGGACTCGAAGCCAAATACATTACGTTCATCGTAGTTCTCTTGCAAGTAGATCAGTATGGCCGAGCTCTCCGTAATGGAGACGACGGGTGTCGCTTCAGAGACATCTAAGAGAACGGGGATCCGACCTAGGTGATACTAGACTATTAGAACTTGCAGAAGTGTGAACGGCGCAGTAGAACTACCGTTTGGGTTCAAGTGGAGGAACCAGCTCTTCTTCTGCTCGTCTGTTTCGAGATCGATGAGGTGAGTGGTCCATGAAATGCCATATATGTCATGGAGTTCTTCTAGTAGAATCTGCACCTTTTTGCCGTTTGACGTGTTCTCTGTAAGCAGCTGGAGAGGGTGCTAGAGTCGAGACGGCGGAAAATTGAGTTAGCAGCTAAGCAAATGGACAACAACTTTTCATTTTTCTTGTCTTTATTTTTATTTTTTTGCTTTATTTTTTGCGACAACTTTTATTCTCTTCCTTGCATGGTAGCCTACCTTAGACTCTCTCAGTTGTAGAGGTGTGTCAGCACTGTATTCCACCTCCATGATTTACTTCTTATATTTTGCACACACTATGGACCTGCTAGATCCTTGAGTGCAATGTTCATGTGTAAGAAAGAAATCTCTATGTAAAGCTGGCATGGGATTTACTATTGCATTTGTTGACTCAGAACACGAATCCTTCGCAACATTTGTTTTCCCGCATTAGCATAGATGGTGCAATTTTTTAGCATTTGGACATATTAATAAGTACATACTTGTCAAAGTTGGATGGAAAGGCGTCTGATGCTCCACCGCGGCAGGATGCGCATTACCAGCCAATAACGTCTTTGCTTGTCGTAACAAGAATACTCACACAGTAGAGATAACATACAATTTGAAGACAAAATAATAACTGAAACAGCACAAGATATGAGGAACTAAGCCAGTGTTAAAGCCGTTTTGCAGGTCATGGAATGGCAGCCGTTTATCCATTTAGTCGGCACTTGAGCTTAAGAAGCGCCCTCAAATTCCATGTCCTAATATTGAACCTAGCCACGCGCGCCTAGTCTGACCATATTACCTATTACAGTAGTATGCTTGCTGTCTGTTGGTTCGTCATCCAAGGCATCGCGAGCGCCTATGACGGATATGGCTCTCCTCTACATATCCTAACACCGAATCCCTTCAACACGATTTCAACCAAACGTACGCCCGAAACATCGTGCCCAAATCCGATAGCCTAGAAGCTTCCCCCCATTTGCGTTAACAAGTCCGATCCCAGGAATCTAAAGGCCTGTGGAGACCCGTTCTCCGCCGCGTATAGGTACCCGATCGCAGATAGATACCCCCAAAGCCTCGCCATTATGCCGCGGCAACCCTCGTGTCTTGTTTTTGCTGGGCTGTCGCAGACAAAGTTGCCTCTAGTGGCAGGAGGCAGCAGTGACGGGCCCCAATCCGCGGGTTTATTATATCCATGGATTAGGAGGTACCTGTCATGGGCTTCGGTACTTTTACTTTTGGACGAGTAGCCCCATGCATAAGAGTTGCTAGTGTTAGAAATTATTTACCTAGGTATGGTATCCATCAATGGTTGAGCCAGACCGCATCTCCGCTTTGCTTTTGTTGAATAGTGACTACCTCCTACCTATATATACCTTAGAAGCCAAGATACTGGCAACTTCAAGTATTCACCTCCTCAACCATTCTCTCTCATCCTTGATCGCCTCCCATACATAGTGTGTATTATACTACACCACAAATAACATCACCATGGCCATCATCCATCTCGTTCTATTGGCCTTCAAGGAGGACGCCACTCCCGAAGCCATTGCCGAGGCACGTCTACATCTACATCTCCCCAAGAAACAACAGGATACCTATACTAATCCACCGCCAAATCTCACAGATCAACGCAGGCCTTCTCGCCCTCAAGGATAACTGCCTGCACGCAACCACAAAGGCCCCCTACATCAAGTCCGTCACCGGCGGAATTAACAATTCTCCCGAAGGCCGCAACGTGAGTCTCTTGAAAGTCCGGAGGCTGAATTAGATAATCCGGCTCTGCCAAAGATGGGAAATAGATCTTAGCTAACTGGGCGAGTAGAATGGCCTGACTCATGGCTTCAGCTTCGAGTTCAACTCTCTCGAGGACAGGGCATACTATCTCAAGGAGGATCCTGCTCACCTTGGTTTGGTAGGCAAGGCTGTTCCCCTCGTCGAGAAGCTTACCGTGTTTGACTATGAGACCGGTGTGTTCTAGATATTGGGCTACATAGAAACTAAATTTCAGAAAAAAGAAAGAAAAAGAAAGTAAAGTAAACAAATACTATCATACGCACCCCATATAATAGCCCAAATGACAACATCAAAGAGTCGTAGAGCTTGAACGAATCCATAAACTCCCATGCAGAGTAAAACAAGACGCAAAGAAAACATAAGCACATCTACCATGCATTGGTTTCCATTTTTGAGTAGGGGATTAAATTAAGAAAGAAAAAACTTCAATATACATCATTTCATTGCCCTCGCGCTCATAACCCATGCCTCGCTCTAAAGACGTAAAAAGCAGATTTCTAACGACACATGTTACAAAGTCGGCCCAATCAAATTGCAATGCCAACAAACGCCTGATCTTTTTGCCCTGGTATTTTATTTTGTCCTTTACCCGCCAACAATGGCTCATTATTTTCTCTTCATCTCTTCATCCGAAACATTAGTTGTCCAGCCAATCGAGGAATTGGGGGGTGAAGTAGCTGATGACAATGGTGGCACCGGCTCGGAGAATGCTCTCTGTAGATTCGAAAGCCATCGCCTTGAGATCAAACACTCCGGCTTTGGCAGCAGCGTGAATCATAGAGAATTCGCCACTGACTTGGTAGGCGGCAATGGGCAAGTCTTTGCCAAGTTCCTTAGCGTCACTGATAATGTCGAGGTACTGGCCGGCGGGCTTAACCATGATGATGTCGGCACCTTCGTTCATGTCACGGACAATGGCTCGGCGAGCAAGGCCACGACCTCCAGGGGGGAGCTGGTAGCACCTGCGGTCGCCAAATGACGGGGCAGAGCCGGCTGCGTCCCGGAAGGGCCCGTACAAACAGCCAGAAAATTTGGCAGAGTACGACATGAGCAACGTCTTGTGAGCAATGCCCTCCTCAATCAGCTTCAGCTTGATAGCACGAATACGGCCATCGTTCATATCTGAGGGGGCTACACAGTGCGCTCCAGCCTTTGCATAAGCGATGGCAACATCAGAGATGCGGTCGACAGACATCTGGTTGTTCAGGCTGCTGTCATCTCGCAAGATACCACAGTGGCCGTGAGAGGTATACTCGCAGAGGCAGACGTCAGCGCAGATGAAGATTTGAGGGAAGCGGCGGCGGATGAGCTGGATGGCCTGGATGACTGGGCCCTCGGGGTCATCAGCTGCGCTGCCCAAGATGTCCTTGGTGCCAGCCTTTAGGGGAACGCCAAACAGCATGACGGATCGCAGGCCCTTGTGGACGAGAGGCTCAAGGAAGCCAGTCAGTCTGTCAATGCTGACTTGGAACTGGCCAGGAAGAGAAGCCACTTCGACCATGTCATTCTCGCCGTCGGTAACAAAGATGGGGTAGATGAGCATAGACTGGAGGTAGAGTCAGTAAAGAGTATGCCCCGCATCAATTTGTTGAGATTCTCGTCTTACCTTTGTCAGCTGGCGCTCAGACTGCCAGGAACGAGCCAGAGGGTGAAAGTAGCCGCCGTGAAGCTGGCTGCCGATGTCGCCAGAGATGCTCACGCTGGTGGCTGCGGTGCTGGCATAGCCAGACATGGTGCGAGAGACGTGCGACGCCCGGTCATCGAATGTTGAGACTGAAGGGGCAGGACCGGGCCGGCGAGCGCTGTTGGCATCGCGGAGGCTAAGTTCCTGGACGAGACTGGAGAAGGACATGTTGCGCTGGTCAATTGAGCGACTTGGCTCTGTGCGAGTGGTGGTGATGCTTGGTGGGACCGGGAAACTGTGGATGGTGACACTGATGGAAGGCGGCCCTCCGATGATCAGCACAGAATCTAGAGGACGAGGAAAAGCCGCAGACGACGAAATGCCAGCACCAAACGACGGGCAGAGGCTGTCGAGAAAAAAGAAAACAAACAGTGAATTTGGCGAGTGTGTAAGAAGAGGAGAAGAAGAAGAAGATAAAGTTGAAACGAAGTCGGCTCCAGAAGTTTCGAGGGACGTTCCTGCAGTCAGATTTTTTGCCGACCCTGTGCCTGTGTGCAGCGGCTCCGCGGAGGCAGGAGCTGATAGTGCTGCAACTGCCTCGGAAGGCGCTCCACGTCGCTCCCGATTCCGCAAGCCGGCGGCCAATCAGCGCGGGTGATTTTCCAATATGCGCTATGATTTAGCGCCTTTTTAGTGGGCAGAGAGAGGAATGTTGCACTCAACGGCACTCGACGGCAAGTTTTGACTGTGCGCAACTGCTTACAGGGTGTGAGATTGTGAGATTGTGAGATTGGAGTCCGGAGGAACAGATTGATCCATGTATTGATTACTGGTCCATTGCCATGATCACGGTTGACTTGCTTCTATTAACAAGAGTAGCCATTTGAATGGAATTAATGGGAAAACGAACCAGAAAATGAACACATTACCACAGAGAAACCGCTAGGCGCCTCCCTAGCTAATAGCGTGCTGCACCATTCGGGAAGACTCGTACGAGTACGAGTACAAGGCCGTGGCGCCGGATCGCACCCGGCATTTGCTCGGCGTGCTCCGGTAACAAACACCTCAATTCTGCTCTGCGGCGCGGTGCGAAGGGTGCGGCACAACTCTTGCCACCACTTCCGTGCTGGTCCTAGCAATTGATGTCATATCCCGGGCCTTGTCTAATTTTATTGGGGATTGATTAATGTACTGTGTCATATTCCATATTCGCAACTCAATTTCCCAGTCTACACCCAGGAGCCTTGCTCGTCGTGATAGTTCGCCAATGGGGCAGAATGGTCCTGCGCGTGAGCATGATTCATCACGAAACCAGGGGATGTCATCATCTGTTACACATATTCGCCGTTCATCTCCACAACGAGAGATGTCATCTTTCAAGATTCTCGACATAGTAGAGGATGTAGTAGTACATTGTAATGTCTATCTGCGCCATACATGAAGTTATAGATGCTTCCAGCCTGGTCAAGTGCCTGCCGTGAGACCTTGCTCAGATTCGCCGTTTTTAAACAACACTCCCAACACTTCTTAACCCTTCTTACAGTCCTCGCAGAATTGAGTTGTCTCGCTTGTCCATCGGAACGTATCTCTCCTCGAGAATCTGCGCCGTTGTCCGTGTGTCCTTTGAAGGCTTCTCGTATCGTTGATTCAAAGCTTGCTGCACAGGGCTCAGCTGTGGTTTGGCCTTGTCGCCCGTCATCTCTTGAACCTGTGCCTCTGCCAGGCCAACGGCAGTCTTGGCCTTGCCCACAATCTCCTTTGCCTTCTCGCGACCCTTGTCCAGAGTTGCGCTAACAATTCCCTTTGCCTCTGTGGCTGTCTCCTCAATGACCTTCCTGGTTCTCAGCCTTGCATCCAGAGCCCGGTTCTCTGCAGTCATTTCAACGCTCTCAACTGTTTCCTTGGGTTGGCTAAACGCCCCTCTCGTAGCAGCCGCAATCTCGCTGCTGGCCTTCTGCGTCCTCTTCACAGGCTCCAGAGAGCGCCTTGCCTTTTCCACTTCTTCTACTGACTGGCCCGTCGCCTTGGCCCACAGGTACGCGACTCTGCCCTCCATGCCCTCCCGTACCTCGTCCCAGTCCGTGTGCTGCACCCAGCGCACAGCATTCTCAACCTCAGAGTTCCATCGCTGCTTGGCGACCTCGACGGCGGCTTCTCGCTGAGCAGCGGCGACTTCGGATCGGGTCGGGGGAAGCGGTTGAGGGATTGGATCGAGGAGGTGCTGGATCATGAGCGTTTGTGTGCGAAGGGATTTGCTTTGAGCCTCGCGGCTGCGCTGGTGGGCGAGAACAGAGAGGTATGCGAGAGACAGGGTGAGCGTCACGCCACCGGTCTATGTAGAGAGAGACATGTAAGCATTGCGTTGTAGAATCGGCTGCAGCATGAAAAATAAACAATGGGAAGCACAGAGCCAACTCACAAAGCCGGTTGCGAAGCCCATGGTGTCGCTGGAGAGACGATGCGAACGGGGGCGGCTGGTGAAAAGAGAGAGATTAATTCCTGAGGTGATTCTCGACAGGTGCGGCTGTGTGTAATGCCCTATGCGCAGCTTCTCATGGTGCAATTGAGCTGCGCAGCTCCCACAAGATGCAAAACTGCGTGTTTGTCAGGCCAAGCCGCAGGGGAATCTTTGCCTGCGCCGGGCGTGGGAAAAAAAGAGTGACGATGTTGGAGCTTTGGTGGTTGATTTTGACGTAGCTCGGCCGATACCAGCGTTCGACGTTCCAGATTGGGCCCGAGATTCGCCGCCAAAAATTTACACCTCCGAAAAAATTACAGCCAACCAGACGACAGCCCACCACAAAGTCTCGGAGCAGTGAGACGTTTCGACCTCAACAGCCAAAAAAAGCAACGGAAAGGCGGCCAAATCCTCTTGCAATTCGCACTCGCACTCTCATTCCTACATTCTGCAGCCCTCAATCGCTCGTCAAGCTCCAGCTGGCCGCAAATGGCTGGTGGCCTCGTCAAGTATCGGCATCTAAGCCGCAAGTCCTCGGCCAGACAGGCTCTGCTGCGAGGTCTCGTTACCCAGCTCGTGCAATATGAACACATCCAGACCACATACGCAAAGGCCAAGGAGACGCAGCGCCTCGCCGACAAGCTAATAACCCTCGCCAAAAGAAACAATGAGCCGTGCAGGAGGTCAGCGCAGGGTATCCTTTATGTTAGTGAACCCTCTTTTGTTGCAGCTTCGCTCTCTTTTCCCTTCCCCGACTCAGCTACTAATCGTATGATATCAGACACCAAACTTGCTTCTGCCCAAGCTTTTTGGCGAGCTACGGAACCGCTACCTGACCCGCGAGGGTGGCTACACTCGAGTCGTCCGCACCGAGCCCAAGAACACATACGACCAGGGCGAGAGCGCAATCCTGGAGTTTGTCGACGGAAAGAAGGATTCTCGCTTCATGATGACGGCCAAGACTCTTGCGCGGGACCGGCTATTAGGACGACCCTCGACTCCCGTGACGCTCCAGAACGTGAAGAAGGTGACCAAGTTCCGCGATGAGAAGGAGCTGGAGGACATGGTTCAGCGCTTCATGATCCTCAGCACTGAGGGCGAGGGTGCGGTTGAAGCTCAGAGTGTGGAATCGGCCAAGTTGGCAGAGAAGGAGGGCGCTGCTGCGGAAGTCATGGCAGGGGATATTGTTCCTGAAAGCGCAAAGTCTGACGAGCAAGTCAAGAGGTGAATGAGTCGATGATGCATGAAAGATGGATATGGGCTATGACAGGAAGGAAGGAAGAAAAAAAAAAGAAGAAAAGAATCTAGAGATGCGGTATACCTTTCTGAGGGATGGACGCATCATGTACAACACAACATATTTATGTACATTTATGTCTACAATAAGTGGAATGACAAACTAACTGCCTCGATATAGAGGCTCTGAATCACGATCCTTCACAAGCGGCCCCCAATGTAACAAAGTCAACATACCAAAGTATCATATTATGCTAATCACTTCCATCTTTATCTTTTGCGCCGAGTACATATTTACACGAAATCAAAGGTATCGCCACGGTCCTGAATCATCTTTCCTACTCTCTTCGAGCCCGCAACCCTCTCAAGTTTCATCACATCGTATTTGGAGAAGATAGCCCGCACCGTTCCTTGTCCAGGCTCAATCTTCATATCTTTCTCACTCTTGGCCAGGTATCCACCTGCAATCTCCTTATAGAAGATGGGATTGTCCGGCAGCCCGTAAAATATGACTCTCTGCACACCGCTGAACTGATACCGTCTGAAATGGTGAGCTCTCTCCGTGTAGAGCAGAATCCGATGTCGGCCAGTCAAGAAATGAGATCGAGCTCGAGATGCTTCTCGAACCTCGGTGTACTCAGATATCACTCCAAAAGTGAGGCCGCTCACTTCGTCGGCAGTGGCGAAATAGTTTCTCACGCGGACAAAGTCAAGATAAGAAGGAATAAAGATTAGCGTTCCACTCGAGTCCTTGGATCGCTTCACCAGAGAGGGGATAATGGCAGAGGTAAAGTAGTCAAACCTGGCTTCGGGATCCTTCTCCACGGCGCTCGACTGGAACCGGGAAAACGTTTGCTTAGCCTTGACACCCAGTTGCCCAATAACGCCGGGGTACTCTGCCTGCAGTCGGACTCTTCCCGCCCAATTATGACAGTACAGCCTCTGCAGTTCTGCCAGTTCGGGGGTATTAAAGGCAGACAAAATGACCGTCTGTCGGAAGTACTTTGCCCAATCTTCCAAATACCAATTCCTGACACGGCTAAAGTCGCAGTCGTGAGCATCCTTGGGCTGAAGGTTGAGGTGTTCAAAGATGTACTCGACGTGCTCCCAATTCTGCATCAGAAGGGCATCTGCCTGGTCCATAACGACCATCTCAATGGAGCTGAGAAAGTCAAAATCCGGCTTCTTCTTCTCTTCCTCGGATCCCATTGCCATGCGGAGACCAAGAGGGCTGGCGAAGAGAATATCGGAGCTATAGAACTGCGCAAAGTATTTTATGGTCTTGCGCGTAAATTTGACGCCGATACGGAACATGTCGTCGTCGTTGCCGCCAAACAGATCCTTGAAGTCGGCAGGCCGATCAGCACCGAATGATTCGTCGCTCTCCGCGTATGATTCATTGAACCGCTTAAAATTTTCCTGCTGGTCTGGCTCAACCAAATCTTGAATCACCTTCATCATCTTGGCACACGAGTTTCGTGTGGGTAGAAGAAACAGGACCTTGGGTCTGGTGAAACCCTGGTCCCGGAGTTCAAGCTCCGAATCATCACCAGCTTTTGAAAGCTTGTAGTTGTTATTAATCACCCTGTCTCGAGTCCTGAAGTAGAGTTAGCATCTAATTCTCTGAAGTTTGAGCTTATTTGGACCATCTTACTTGAATACGTGGTTAAGCGCATGGAGGCAAACTGCTTGTCGCATTTTGTGAGAGTTCTCCACGGACCGATCGCAAAACAAGATGTCTTTATAGTCGAATAATAAGGGTGCAAATGCCCTCTGCGCTGCATCCAGGTTGCCCATCTTATCCTTTGCCGTGTCTCGCAATTTCTGTTTCAGCTTCAAACCACCAAGGCCTGATACTGGCTGGGGAACGGGGCCACTGTTATTGGAACCGGGAGACGTGATGACCGCTCTCCAAGGCTGTATCATAGCACGAGTTGTTGTCCACTCTCCGTTCTTGGCCGCGATAACCGATTGCGAACTGATCTGTTGATCTGGGTTGGCGAAATGGGCATCGAATGGATCCGTGGCGTCAATCTCGTCTTCTGAGTCGTTGTCCAGGTCCTCGTCAACGTTGGAAGTTGGATCTCCTTCTTCTTCCTCCTCCTCATCAACCTCATCAATATCTTCCCGCGTAGATTCGGGCTCCTCCTCCACGTGCTCTGGCTGGTGTACGGCGGGACTTGGGCTTCGGCTTGAGGGCTCGTCATGTGCAATCTTCCTCCTCTTGGCGCTTGGTGCGCTTGAATCGTGAAATTTCTGCATCAGCGCCATATATGGGCGTGCGGGAGCTTCTTGATCGTCGTCGTCTGACGCTACATCTTGGAGCATTTCGTCTTCTCCATCTGAGGCATCCGATCCAGATCCATCCTCACTGTATGTCAAATGATTCGTCAGCTACATGTGGAAATGGACCAATGGTCTATACAGCAGAGCTCAAAATACTTACTCTTCCTCTTCGCCATTTTCAGCCAGACGAGCACCATCAAATCTCCTGTCTGGGCCCCATTGACTGAATCGCCCGCCTCGACCTTGACCTCGACCTCGACCTCCGCCTCTGCTTCCGCCTCTGCTTCCGCCTCTGCCTCTCCCACCGCCTCTTGAGCCGCGGCCTCTGAAATTTCCACCTCTTCTAGGACCTGCCATGTCTTTCTATTGCAAAGGAACAAAATTGGCTGCAACCCAAAGCAACGACTATGAAAAGAAGGCGAATTCAACGACGAGACAAGGTAGAAAAAAAAAGTTTCGAACGAAACTGTCAGCCTTGCATGAATATGTGGATCATACACACCAGCCACACAATGGTGGGGTAGATTCGGCCTTGCGCCACGCAGCCTTGTCGCAAGGTGAGCTGCACCAATTTTAGTGCGCACAACCCCAGCGCCGCCCGCCAAATCTGCAAATCACAAAATCGGCGAAATTTGGAGACTATCGCGAGGAAAAAAGAAAGAGAGCCAGTTTTCGAGAGAGCCGGCGCCACTCGTTTTTTTCTTCTCCCCTTCCCACCCCCACTCTTCGACCTTGTCATACGCATCGCAGGGAGAAGGAAAAAAAAGTTCGACACTTTTTTCTGTTGTCGAGACATTTTTTTGCCCAGTATGGCTGCCGCTACGGAACGGTTTTTGCACCTCGCTCGCCCGCTGGCTCACACGAATATCGGGCTCCAGACGAACATTGCCCCGCTTACTGTCCAGATCCAGCCCCAGGTATATAATGCACCGTCACGATAGAACCCCTTCAGTTGCCTCGATATAGAACCGGGAGGGACATGAGGAGGAATAGAAGAAGAAGAAGAAGAAGAAGAAGAAGAAACAAGTTCATTGGCTGATGTGTCGCTGTGGCTAGGCTGTCCTCTCCATCCTCGATCACGCCGTTCGACGAGATGTCCGTGAAAACTCCCAGTCCACGCGGGTCATTGGCGCCTTGGTAGGCACCCGCTCTGAAGATGGAACCGAGGTCGAGGTCCGTTCGTGCTTCGCCATCCCCCATACCGAGGAGGAGGACCAAGTCGAGGTCGACGTCGAATACCAGAAGAACATGCTCGCCCTGGTCCTCAAGGCCTCCCCCCGCGAGTCCCTGCTCGGCTGGTACACCACCTCCCACGAGCTCAACAGCTTTTCCGCTCTGATCCAGAACTTCTTCGCCGCCCCTGACACCGGCACCTTCCCTCACCCCGCCATCCACCTCACCATCTCTACAGAGCCCGGCAAGGATATCGAGACAAGATGCTACATCAGCGCTCCTGTGGCCGTCAACGCCGAGCGAGCTGCCGAGAGCTGCCTTTTCATCCAGGTTCCTCACAAGATGCTTTACGGAGACGCCGAGAAGAGCGCCCTCGAGGCTGTCGCAAGCGCCCGGGACGTCGAGTCACGGACAGCACCCCTGGTATCAGACATTGAGAGCTTGGGTCGATCCATCGAGCAAACCATCGGCCTTCTGGACCGTGTCAGCGAGTGGGTCAACGGCGTATTAGATGAGGATGAAGAGCCCAACAATGCCTTGGCCCAGTATCTCATGAGCGCCCTGTCTCTGGCCCCCAAGGTCGACGCTTCTCAAATCGAGCACGACTTCAACAACCACATCCAGGATGTTCTCATGGTCAGCTACCTGGCCAACACCATCCGAACCCAGATCGATCTCTCCCAGCGACTGGCCACGGCCAACCTGGTCAGCAACGAGAAGGAGGAGGGCAAGGGTGACGGCGAGAAGGGTGGCCAGCGCGGAAACAAGCGTGGCGGACGTGGAGGTGGTCGAAGCGGCGGTCAACAGAGAGAGCCTAGAGAGCCTCGCGAGCCCGTCGAGTAAAGGAAACGGCGAGAGGGATATTAGCAGCTATATAACTGTTCCTTGGGCTTAATTTGTTTTTTCTTTTCCATCCTGGCAACTAAGCCCCTAGAAGGAAAGACCCTACAAAGGAGAGGGAAAAAGAACATGGAAGTGGAAAAAAGGAGTCCGCCTGAGGCGTCTTTGGATGGACGGATGGGAGAGGAACTGGGCATGTATTGCGGCATTGTCCCAGCAATACACAGACGCACGAACACAGTATCATCACGGCGTTGTGGTATGCCAAACTTCATTTTGGCACTTGAGATATTAGATATGAATATTGATTCGTCACGCAGTCTCTTCCTGGCCTCGTTCTACGAACATGGAGGATTTGAGTGCCCTTGATGTAATAAGATGTGTTGTGATGCTAGAGCGAGAGAAAAGGCCGATTTTGCAGGCCAACGGCAAACACTGAAGAATCAGCAGGGAAATTGTGTAATTTGTACTCTGTAATTCGTACAGTATTAGCCCATCCCCTATTCTCATAATATCGCTATGTCTGTAGTCACACGCGTTACGAAGTACAACTGCTTGGTTCAATTTGTTGGTACAACTGCTTGGTTCAATTTGCTGAAAACACATATCTCACCGTGGCCCACCTCCCAAGTGCAGAGCAGAGGCTTACAATGTCAAGCTCTTGTAGAAATACATTGTGAAGCCTGGGACGAGATTCAAAATAGGTGACAGAAAGGTCCTTCAAGTAGCCCTGCTATTAGACTCTATATAGGTGCTTTATGTCAAGCAATATTCTCCGTAGTATCGCTATTCATGGTATGCCCCAACTCCATGCGCCAGTAGGAAAGCAAACAATTCAATGCAATGTACATTTTCCATAGCCCTCCTCAACGCACCTCACGCAAATGATACCCTCTTCTTGGATCCCTTGGCCGCTTTTGAGCCCATCTGTGATAGGCTCTTCAGGCTTTCGTCTTCAGCTCCAGTACCCTTTCTCTTGCGCTTCTTCCTCAGAGACTCCTTGGTGTCCTCAAACTTTGCTTTCTTCTCAGCTGCCTTCTTGTCGGCTTCCGCTTTCCTGGCCTCGCGGATCTCCTCCATCTGCCGGGCCTTGATCATCTTCGACTCGATGTGGCCTTCCTTTTCGGCTTGCACGAGGGACAGGATTGTCGTCATACTCTCCTAATCACATAATTAGCATTCAATGGATTCCCTCGAGACGCAATTCCATCGAGAGCAGCTTACCTTGTCGTCCACAAAGACCTTGCCCTTCTTCTTGCCCTTAGGCTTTTCGACACCAATGGGCGTAATCATATTCAGAGTAGGGATGCCCAGCTCCTCGGCCGTGTACGTCTTCTTCTTCGGCCGCTTCATCAGCAGTGCACGGTTCTTCTCCTTGACCTGCTGAGACACAACGGGGCCCTTTGGCTTCTTGGACTTGGACTTGGAGACGCCATCGGTGGAAGATCGCTTTGCGCCGCCCTTTCCAGGCGCGCCCGTGCTGCTCTTCGAGCCCGCGTGCTTGTTCTTGATTGTTTTCGTCTTGCTGGGAGCCATTGCGAAAGCTCTTGTTGCGCGTGATGCAGCAAGTTGAATCTGGTGATTTAGCACCTTGTAGGCAAATCTACAAGCTTTGGTGTCGCGCCGCAGAAATTTTTGGGCTTATCGGCTCTTATCGGTCGCATCGAGGGGCGATAACAGGATTGCCTTGGATAAGCAGGTAACTCTGTACTTTGTGGTACTTTGTGGGGTGGGGGATCTTGGTGGCATTAGCATTGGCCTGCCATCTCGAAAATCCCAGGTTGCGCATTGGATAGCAAGGATCCGGCCTGAGACTCGGTGCTGCGTCAGACGTACGGGGTAACATGAGCTGTCATTTCAGAGTCCTTGTTTTGCAAATAGTGGAAATGCCCAAGACCTGCTACCCGTCTGTGCGACGCTTGATGATGACCTCACAAGTATTAGCCCCGTGTACATGTACTTTGCCGTGTGTATAGTCCAACTTGGACGCCGGAAGCCGCATTCATCATCCCATGGTCTATACGGAGTACACAGGTATTGCTATCAATGCGCCACAGTACTCTATTTTTATTTTGTTTGTGTCCTATCCGTCTTCTTCTAGGTCACTGCTTGCCAAGCGATAGTTCAGCTATGCGGCCCAGCTGCCCATGGAATGAAAGTCTCGTGCTTCAAGAGTGCACAGCAGAATGACTGAGACATCACATCTTCAAGATATAATCGGCTCTCGCACTTCGAATCCGGCGTGTAACATGATCTACTGTAATCGGTAACAAGGAAGCCAGAAAGCTACCAATGATACAGCTGCAGTACCTGGCAACAGATATTTTGGCAGGTATGGAGGCTGAGACATTGATTATGCACCTAAGATAGAAGGTAGGCAGCCTGTCAGATATACAGCATCATTGTTTTCGCACAGGGTTAGAACCATGCCTTGCTCTAAACGGTGATTCCATGCAAATAAAGCTTTCAAATCGTATCATTCAAGAAAGCCCAGAAGTTCAATAGCTCGGTGAGGCCCTATTACGCCCAATGGGCAGCCATCGGGCTAATATGCGGTCACGTAGCAGATGATGGAGAAGCAGAAAAAAGAAAAAAAGGAACATGGAAGCAGTGTGACGTGAGCCAAGTCTGTCTAAGCTCTGTACGACAAAGCTTGCAATGGAACCCTTCCTTCGTTGTTATAGCCTCCTTTCCTCCTTTCCCCCTCGGGAGCAAGTTCGGTATGGTCTTACTATATGGAAGTCATCCAATGACCTGGAGGCCCTTGATGAACCTCCATCTCAAACCCAACTCCCCCACGGAATGGAGCATCAAGCAGCCCCCTTGCATCTGTCGAAAACACGTGTAAACTCAGCTTACTCTGCATTATTGGACAGATCAACGCCTAAGCATCGATTCATGCGTCAGTAGGTAGCAACATGAGACTAATGCCGCACACCACATGCACTCGTGGTTGCAGTGCTCAGCTGCTACACGGAGCACTGACAAAAAATTCTACAGGCGTCTGACGCGCTGTCGGTTCCGGCTTCAAGGGCCTGAAAGTGGATTCATGTGGGCTTCCAGAATGGCCGCTCCCCCAAAAAGCCCCCAGGGAGGGCTTCTATCCAAGCCGCTAACCGTAACCCGTAACCGCTCGTTTGGTACGGCCGGCAATGTACCTGCTAGCACTCGTAAATTTCACCAACCGTCGATGTCACGCAGAATTCTTCCACCTCAAGAACCCCAAAGATCCACAACCTCACTACATAATTCTCCCCAAACCCGAACAGCTTTTTCGTCGACACATCGCGCAATAACCGCCATCACTCCTCTTGCATCGCTCTTCTAAGCATCCAACAATCCTCCTCGTCTCGCGACCGCCTCCTCGAAGCCCCTCCATCGCCGCTCCGATCACCAGCTTTTTCTAGTCTCCCCTCCTTCTCTCGCTCCCTCCCGCATCGCATAGTTACAATTTTTTTCCACGTCTTGTCACCAAGTTTTGAGAACCGCGCATCTACAAACACAGCATCGCCCCCTGCCACGCCTCATCCAGCGACACACTCCGACCTCCGTCCGACCCTCGAAAACCCTTTCCCGAGCGAGGCGTCCCTCCCCTCCCCGCATCACCGGCATCAAGACCAGACGAAACCCCCAACAAGGCTTAATGGAGAATCTATGGACTCGTCGAACCAAGTATGATGACCCCACACGCTTCTCCTACGGCGCAACTCTTGTGACTGACCTGCCGGCGTCTAGCTCGTCAAAGCTTTCCCTCACTACGCCTTCCAATGGGGCCAACGGCTTGGGGGGAGGTGATCCCGCCTCCCGCAGTGCCACGGTGAAGTCGTCGCATGGCAAATCGAATCCTTTCAACAGTACCCCGGGAAGTGCGCTGGTGTCTCCGACGGGGGGAGCATCCAGCGCGTTTGGTCTGGGATCGGGGGCTTTTGCATCGTTTGGCTCGTTTGGCTCTGCCAAAACGCCAAAGTCCGGCGGGAACCCTTTTGAAACCGCGATGGGCTCGGCCGTCGCTAAGCAAAACGCCCCCAAGGACGCGGTGAAGCCCGTGGCCAGGCCGCCCAACATGGCGTCCATCTCCGAGTCCAAGGCCTCGGGGCCACTGACCGGGGTAACACAGATACACATGCTGAAAGACGCATGGTCTTTCTGGTATAGGCCCCCGATCTCGAAGGCGCACGGTTTCATCGAGTATGAGAATACACTGCACGGCATCGCTACGGTGCGGTCGGCGGAGGAGTTCTGGCAGATCTACTCCCATCTCAAACGGCCGTCAAGCCTGCCCGTCGTGTCCGACTATCACCTCTTCAAAAAGGACATTCGGCCAATATGGGAGGATGAGGTCAACCGGAAGGGTGGCAAGTGGGTTGTTCGTCTTAAGAAGGGTGTGGCGGATCGGTATTGGGAGGATCTGCTGCTTTCCCTCATTGGCGACCAATTCGGCGATGCCGGAGAGGACGTCTGCGGTGCCGTCCTGAGCATGCGCAATGGCGAGGATATCTTGAGTATTTGGACCCGAACCGACGGCGGTCGCGTGCTCAAGATCCGGTATGTTTAACCCAGAATTTTCCTTGTATCACAACTTTCTACGATCCAGTCGACTAACCTCTTTGTTTGCCGCTTTAGCGAAACCATGAAGCAGGTACTCAACTTCCCGGCGAACACCCGTCTCGAGTTCAAGTCGCATGACTCTAGTATCCAGCAGCGAACTGCTATCGACGAACAACGCCGCGAAAAGGCCAGTCAACACCACAATGACAAACGCCACACAACCAACGCAGCCAAGCAGACCTACGAATAAAGAAGAAGAAATAGCTTGAAGTCCTCAAGGCCCGCACAGCCTTACCCTCTTGTGATCTTATTACGCCGCCAAACTGTGCCATGTTTTCGTCCTTCTTGTCGGCTATGATGGAATTTTCCCCAAGTTTATTTGTACACTACCGGGCAGAGCGCTTGGGTATGTTGCAGACCCGTTGTTTTGTTGCTTTTTGATTCTCTCTTCCTGGTTCCTGTACGTCCTCTTCTTTTTTTGTCTGTTTTTTAACTCTATATCTTGGGTGCGGCAGTTTTCTGGTGATTTCTTTCGCGGATGGAAAACTCTGGGATGTACACTGGGAGACAAACTGATTTGCTCTACCTGGAAAACGGTGGGCGGAAGGGCGGGTTTTATTATGTGGATAATGTACTATAGCTTGATGGTTTTTAGCACGGCAAGCCTGGCGGCGGCCTGTGCCTACGAAACAGCAAAAAAAAGACAAGAAGGAATGAAATAAAAAGATGCTCTTGCGCAGGCTGACGAGCCTGCGAGTGTCCGTTCTATTTCGTTATA